GTCGCCTCTTACGACCAGCATGGGTTGCTGAAGATCAATTCTTCCCCGGGTCTTCACGGGTCTAACACATGCTTTTGTTTTGTTTGTTTGTTGTTTAACGCCGCACTCAGCAATATTCCAGCTATATGACGGCGGTCTGTAAATAATCGAGTCTGGACCAGACAGTCCAGTGATTGACATCATGAGCATCGATCCACGCAATAGGGATGCGATGACATGCATCAACCAAGTCAGCGAGCCTGACCACCCGATCCCGTCAGTCGCCTCTTTCGACAAGCATAGTCACCTTTTACGGCAAGCATGGGATGCTGAAGACCTGTTCTACCCGGATCGTCACGGGTCTCTGACACATGGTACCCATGTGCGGATAGAAACCGGGCCTTCGGCGTCATGAGCGAACGATGTAACCACTAGCCTACCCCACCGCCCCTCAATCCTTTTGGAAAGTGTGATGTCCATGTTCAGGTTACCTTATATCTTCAAAGAACAAGAGAGGGATGTTGTTTCTGAAAAGCTCAGTACGTTAAAACTCCCACTTACTCAATCATTACAAATGCTATTTTTTTACAAATCTTTGACAGAAGTTAAATTTAAGACAAAGCTTGACGAGTGACATATACATTTTCGTCTTAATGAGCGTTTATCTTGAAACAGACCATAGCGCAGTTGCGTGAAATCGTGTAAGGTCAAATGAAACAAAAGCTGTTCGCGGACCTTGCGAGCTGATCGTGCGTTGTAGGTCGTCGTGAAGACAATAGCTCCCAGGTGTTGCACATGTACTTGTATACCTGTTGTGTGGATAACATGGATATTACAGAATGTGTACAATATACAGAAGTGTAAGATCTATGGGAAGTGACTCCTCTTATCCGGACTTCATATGCCCAGAATATATGTTACAAAATATTAGCCTGGATAAGTGAGTAAGTTTGGTTTAACGCCGCTTTTAACAGTATTCCAGTTATATCGCGGCGTGTCAGCTTAATGTGGGAGGAAAGGCCGAAGTGATGCAGGTCTCAGACGTTTACCACTTCGGTGAAACCCACGAGCACGGGTATGGTGCTGACAAACCTGGAAACATAATCGGGGCGAACCGGGATTCGAACCAACAATCATAGGTTTCTGGCGTGCCCAAGGGACGCAACTCTTAGACGACTGGGCCACCCGTGCCCCCTTAGCCTGGATAAACTTCCAATCAAATGTAATTGTCAGATCTGTCATCATTAGAAGTTGGACATATTTTAGGTATTTGATCAATTTATTAAATGATATTTATCTCTACACGCACAGAAGTCTTAAATCAAATAAACACTTGATGTTTATATCAGGACAAAGCCCAAATTTGGCCTGCATGAATTTTGTGTGAATCTCATAGTTACCTTGGATTGAAGCAGTGTGGAACCCCACTGACACCTTGTATTGAAGCAATTTCGAACCCCACTGTTATCTTGTATTGAAGCAGTGTGGAACCCCACTGTTATCTTGTAATGAAGCAGTGTGGAACCCCACTGTTACCTTGTATTGAAGCAATGTGGAACCCCACTGTTATCTTGTATTGAAGCAATGTGGAACCCCACTGTTATCTTGTATTGAAGCAATGTGGAACCCCACTGTTATCTTGTATTGAAGCAATCTGGAACCCCACTGTTGCCTTGTACTGAAGCAACGCGGAACCCCACTGTTATCTTGTATTGAAGCAATGTGGAACCCCACTGTTACCTTGTATTGAAGCAATGTGGAACCCCACTGTTACCTTGTATTGAAGCAATGTGGAACCCCACTGTTATCTTGTATTGAAGCAATGTGGAACCGCACTGTTATCTTGTATTGAAGCAATCTGGAACCCCACTGTTGCCTTGTACTGAAGCAACGCGGAACCCCACTGTTACCTTGTATTGAAGCAATGTGGAACCCCACTGTTACCTTGTATTGGAGCAATATGGAACCCCACTGTTATCTTGTATTGAAGCAATGTGGAACCCCACAGTTACCTTGTATTGAAGCAATGTGGAACCCCACTGTTACCTTGTATTGGTGCAATATGGAACCCCACTGTTATCTTGTATTGAAGCAGTGTGGAACCCCACTGTTATCTTGTATTGAAGCAATGTGGAACCCCACTGACACCTTGTATTGAAGCAATTTCGAACCCCCACTGTTACTTTGTATTGAAGCAATGTGGAACCCCACTGTTACCTTGTATTGAAGCAATGTGGAACCCAACTGTTACCTTGTATTGAAGCAATGTGGAACCCCACTGTTACCTTGTATTGAAGCAATGTGGAACCCAACTGTTACCTTGTATTGAAGCAATGTGGAACCCCACTGTTACCTTGTATTGAAGCAACGTGGAACCCCACTGTTACCTTGTATTGAAGCAATGTGGACCCCCACTGTTACCTTGTATTGAAGCAATGTGGAACCCCACAGTTATTTTGTATTGAAGCAATGTGGAACCCCACTGTTATCTTGTATTGAAGCAATGTCGAGGACAGATGTCCGCAAGATTTATGTGATGTAATCGTAGCCCTCATTGGTCTGAGCGCTCGCTTGTTTCCCTCTCGTTTTAAGCAGGCCGTGTTGTGATTGGTTGGTACCATGTCAAAGCGGCCGTTTCCTTGGCGTTCACGCCACACTCAGCAATGTTCCCGCGTTGTGACGTCGGTTCGTGAATAATCGAAACTGGAACAGACAATCCAGTAACTGCCATCATGAGTTTGGATCAAAGCAAACGGGGTACGATGACATTCATCAACCAGCGAACCTGACCACCCGATACCGTTAGTCGCCTCTCACGACAAGTATGGGTTGCTGAAGACAAACCCTAACCCGGATCTTCACGGGGATCAAAGCGGCCCGAATGTATTAACGGGTAATGGAGGGATGTGTTGTGTATACAAAATGTGAAGCATTGACATGCTTTGATGTCGATATCTATAGAAGACGCATGTTATATGGGGGGTGCAGATTTACCTAATGTACAGCGAATGGCGAGTGACCTCTGAATTGCCGTTTCTGTAAATGCGGTTTGCAGCTGGGCAGGTAATAATAAGTGCATTTATAATGCGCCAGATTCCATTCACCAAGTCGATTCTCATGGCGCTACACTATTATTACCCCGGTCAATGGATCCGTGAGCACTCAATTTTTATTCTCAGCTCCCCGGGGAGTATACAACTTGGAACGGTGAGGTGAAATGGAGTTTAACGTCGCGTCCAAGATTATTGCACTTACACAGCGACGTGCATGCACGTTTGAGTGTGTGGCTGCTTGTACTAGTCGGGACTGATGCCGATTTATAGCGCTAGCCCACTGAGATACCATGCCACAGTTTAACATATATACTAACAGTATACTGACTCCGAGCTGACCAGTTCTTGTTTTAGCCCCTTAATGCCGAGCGCCAGACAGGGTAACAAAAAGTACCATCTTTTAAAGTCTTAAAGTATGACGCGGCGGAAAATCGAACCCCGGACCGTCCGCTCTCCGGGCGGACGCTCTACCACTAGACCACGGAGGCGGTCCACGCCTCGAAACGATATCTAGCACTATGATATATATAATATATGATAAATAAATAGCTATAACAAATTGTTAAACAACGTTGTAAATACTTTAATTGAAACTATCAAATGGCCGGCCAGTCTTGAAATAACAGGTTTGTGTGCCCCAGACTCGAATATTTCCAAACAGCCGTGATACAAATATTATGCTGAGGTGTAAAACAACAACCACGCACTAATTGTCGTGTTACGAAATTTAAGAACTCGGTTCACCTCGATCCCATATGTCAGTCGTGACGACATCAATATGAAGTTATATTCTTAATTTTCAGTACCATAAAAACAATATTTGTTTCGGTAAAAAACGGCCGTCATGTTGTTCAAAATTATGCGGGAGTATTTTGCTGTTTACTTTAAAATCATGCACTTCTCAAATGCCGCCCAAGATGTAGACTGGTTCCCATTCGTTCCTGGAAGGCAGACACACTCCGGCGCAGTGGTGACTGACCACTGTCACAGACTAATTTTTTAACCGCCTCCGTGGTCTAGTGGTAGAGCGTCCGCCCGGAAACACACACACGTACATGCACGTCGCTATATAAGTGCAATAATCTTGGACGCGACGTTAAACCCATTTCACCTCACCTCACAGACTAATTTGCATATCACGTGAACGGACTTTTGTCTTGTTTGTAAACAAACGCGCTGATTCTGAAATCAGGACAGATTAGCCCAATGCAAGTATTTGGGGGCGCTTTACACATTGTTTTGCTGAATCATTTCGATATGCTACTACAACTGCGACAGTGTGGTGCATGAAAATATATCTTTACACCACACTCCGGCGCAGTGGTGACTCAGCATAACACCACTGCCACAGGGACCGCCTCCGTGGTCTAGTGGTAGAGCGTCCGCCCGGAGAGCGGAAGGTCCAGGGTTCGATCCCGGGCCGCGTCATACAAAAAGACGTTAAAAGATTGTACTTGTTGTTACTGTCTGGCGCTCGGCATAAGGGGGCTAAAACAAGGACTGGTCGGCTCGGAGTCAGTATACTGTGTCTGAGTGGGGTATTCATGTTAAACTGCGGCATGGTATCTCAGTGAGCTAGCACTATAAATCGGCATCAGTCCGGACTAGTACAAGCAGCCACACACACACATACACGTGCATGCACGTCGCTATATAAGTGCAATAATCTTGGACGCGACGTTAAACCCAATTTCACCTCACCTCACCTCACTGCCACAGGCTTATTTGCATATCATTTGATCTGACTTTTCTTTTGTTTGTAAACAAACGCGCTTTTTCAGAAATCAGTATAGAACGGACTAATGCAAGTATTTACCAAAGATGGTATGAAGGTAACGGAAAATGCCGAGTGAAACAATGCCGATTGAAGCGATCGTGCTCAATTATGACGTCATAAAAAGGGCGTCGTTCTACATAATGGTTCATGACGTCACCATGTTATGACGACATTCACTTTGTGATGAATATTGCTATGGTGACGTCAACACATGCTCCGTAGTCGTAATAACGGCAAGGCGGATTTATGCTGCCTGAACACTGTGTCATTGCACAAGGAATTGTCCCTGCGTTTCAACATAGTCGGATATTTCGTCGCTTCAAAAATCTTCTCAAATTTCAAATTCAACGCCTAAAGAATCAAAAGCCTCGGAAATCACCAGGTCAGCGGAGAAACATTTTTCCAAGAACGAATGTTCAGTTGGTGTTCATTGCATCTAGTATTTTGGAGATTGCGGGTACATTGACCATCATTATGGAAGGTTTAGACGAGGCTCAGAAAGCGTCCATGCTGAACGGTGAGTGTTATACTGGATACCTGTCAGTCATATTTGTTTTATGCTTGTAGAGAAGCGACGACTGACTGCGTGGCTGAAACATAACATTGGCCCCATAACATTATGTACAAAGATAGGAAATACCAGCCCAAAATAATCAGGGGAAATGATCCTGCTTGCTTGTATGGTTTTATATGATTAAATCTCGAAATTGGATATCAAAGCAATTCATAAACATCGAATATCACAAATCAACATCGTAAATCTACTGGAAAATTATCAATATTACATCATATTGCAGATAGAACACATGTCCGAATTTTCCAAATTACCTAAGTAGGATGTTACAACTTGTTATTCCACTATGTTTGTTTGTTTGTTTGTTTAATGCCGCAATCTGCAATATTGCAGCGATCTGTAAATAATCGACCAGACAATCAAGTGATTGACACCCTGAGCATCGATCCACGCAATTGGGATACGATGACATGTATTAACTTAGTCAGAGAGCCTGAGCACCCTATCCCGTTTGTCGCCTCTTACGGCAAACATGGGTTGCTTAAGACATTTTCTATTCTATTTTCTAGGGGTCTATTCCCCTATGTCACCTATCTCCTCATGAAACCGTCGATTTTGCAGAGATCGAAGTGAAGCTGGGCAAGATCTCGGACAACCTTCAACAACATGAACACATCGCCATGCTCCCAAATCTCGACCGCAAGGTGGCGCTGCTGAACGCTGAACAGAAGGAGTTCCTCCACATGCTGTCTGCATTCCCAATGAACCTGGTGAGACGGCAAAATATGAATTACTCGCAGTTGTATTGCTTGAAAATTATTGTATTATTAGTGTTATTGGTCTTTGTGTTTTTGTTGTTTTACAAATAGGTATGACTGAGTTTTTGGTGTTCTGTTCGATCTCCTTAAAAACCGCCGTGATATTGCTGGAATATTGCTAAAAGCGGCGTAAAACCAAACTCACTCACTCACTCCTTAAAAACGAGGGTTAAATGATAAGGTCTGGGTACACATAATATAGAAGGAATCGCGTGATTGTGAAATCTTTTTTGTGGATATTACATGATGTCATAGAGGTATGTCCATAAAAAAAATACTTCAGTCAACAAAGCTAGGTGGTTTTTTTAAATAACAATGTTCAACTTCAAGATAAGTTTTGCTACTGAATGAAAGAAACATTTCAACATGGCTAGATACCGAAAGATGGTTCATTTTGTCAGAATTAAAATTATTATACGTATTCCTCTACATACAATTTCAACGAAAAGCGGTGATAAAATCTCGTGGTATTCTTTCTTCATTTCACTTAAATGTAAAACGAGTTGTGTTGGTCCCCAAAATGGTAAAAAGTCTTCTTCTTTTTTCTTTCTTCTCATTTCAGGTATTTTATGTCAATGGGTCTCGCAAATGAACTAAAAATATTGAAGGCCCACTGTTGGTTATTTACAGGCCGCCGTAAAACGCCGTATTGCTTGACGGCGGGGTAGACTAGTGGTTAAGTGTTAGGTTTGTCACGTTGGTGTTGGTTATTCTTCACACCAGACGGTAGAATGGTTTCGGGTAGACTGCAGTATAAGGAATTGTCACATGATCAGACATGTGGCGTCTTACGTCATTTATGTCCCGCCCACAAACAACACAAAGTCGACACCACGAGAATACGGCTTTACTTTCTATCGTAAAACTCTCGGCCCCCTTAGGGGCGGAGTTTTGGACCATACTTTTCACGTCCTGCTCATTTTTGGGGTCCTTTTTGCACAAAAATGCCTCCTAACGGATTTCGTGCGCGCTTATATATACGCGAAGCTGTCGAAGGCAGCGGTTTTCTTACGGAAACACCCGAAGTGGGGAGCCAAATACTGCAGTTGACCCGAATGTGTCAATCCAATTATTGGTGTCCCCTTAAAAGTTCATAAAACAGGCGTGTTACTCACGCATTACATCAGAATTAACACTGTTTCCACGTATTGACAGGAAACCCAGGCGACTGTCGTAGCTTTAAGGCAGAAAATGGACGATATTATAACCACAAGCCGAGAGAGTGGGAGTATTCAAGGGGAGTTAACCCTCGTCAGCCAGATGAAAGAGTTGCTGGCCTTGCTCCAGATGATAACTGTCAATCTGTCGGAAGCGTACATGAATAGCAGTGAACGGTAAGTGAGTGAGTGAGTGGTGTAAAGCCACTTTGAACAGAACATCACGGTTTGTCGACTTTATGTGGGAGAAAAGTAATGCAGATTTTAGGCCTGTACCATACTTGTGAGTGAGTGAGTATGGTTTTACGCCGCTTTTAGCAATATTCCAGCAATATCACGGCGGGGGACACCAGAAATGGGCTTCACACATTGTACCCATGTCGGGAATCGAACCCGGGTCTTCGGCGTCCATACTTGTGAAACCCAAGAGCACGAAAAACCAAGAATCATAATCAGGGAATCTGTTATTCGAATCCACGATCATAACTATGTAAATATCTCGGCCAGCACCAGGGTCGGGAAAACCCGTTACTGATCCATATCATGAGCAACGATCCAACGTCCCCCCGTTCCAGAAAGATGTCGAAGTGCTACAACTGTCGTAAGTCTATGTCAAATTCTGGGAGTTGCGGTCGCCTTATGGCTACGATCGCTTTGTGAGACGGGGCCCGTGCTGTCGGGAGTACGAGGACACATGCTCACGTCAATCAGTAAAATCCACTCGATCCCAATGCGTGATAAAAACATGAGGTACCAGAGTCATAGTGTTTAAGCATTCGTTATCGTTCGGCTCTATATATCGTTTTGTATTTTGTGTCGTGTCTCCACAATGTGATAGTCGTATCACCGGGCACACGGCATCGCGATTTACAGCGTGAGAACAAAACTTGATACTTGTAGCCTCCCCCTTCTTGCCGAGGGCGATGACGCACTGTGGCGACGTCTCGTGGCGATACCAGACGACCCCAGCAATGAGGAGATGTCTCTGCAGCAGATTCACGACGAGTTGATGGTGGGAGTCACAGGATCAAGAAGCGGCCTCATTACGTCCAGCGAAGCTAGTGAAGATATTAACACAGAAGGTACGACAGTTGTCAGTCATCAGTTCACTTCGGACCTGTGTATTGGTAGAGTCAATAGACAGGTGGCCATGTCAGTCAAAGATAAAGATCCGGTTTATCTAACTTTTATTCTTCTGTTCTGCTCCATGCCAGTGATCATCTGGTAGACAGCAATTAGCAATACTGCAGCCGTATCTTGGCGGTTTTGAAACAATCAATTCCGGGACAGAAAAACCAATGGCCGTTGGCTTGAGCAGCGAACACGCAGTCGGTATGATGACACATTATCTGCTAGTCTACACATTGTGATCAACGAATCCCAATGTTAGTCTTACAATACCCAATCAACGTTTAGTCGGCTCTGACGACGATCATAGAAAGCACGAAAGTACTTGTAATTTGTGAGATACCAACCATTCCATATTCAGCCACTGGTTCAAAACACGCAATATTTTTCTCTGCAAGGTGGGGCCAGAAAAAACTTTTTTCTGGAATAACACATTTTTAAAAAATATCCCAGGTCCACACAACCCCAAAGATAAAAATGATCGGTTCGTCAGAGGGGACTAAATAGGGTGGTTAGTGTTGGACTGCGTGTCATTGTTCCCCCGAAAACGTTCCTCAGTCTTTGTCACTGGTTTGGCTGGTCCAGGCTCTGTTATGTTCTGGCCACCGTGATATGCCTGGAATAATGCTGTGGCGTTGAACACCATTCAGCCACTCATACATAAACCTGGCGAGATGTAACCAACGACCTGTGAAAATCCGGGGTAGAATAGGTCTTCAGCAACCCATGCTTGCCGTAAAAGGCGACTTTGCTTGTCGAAAGAGGAGACTAACGGGATTTGGTGGTCAGGCTCGTTGACTTGGTTGATGCATGTCATTGATCCCAATTGCGTGGATCAATGCTCATGATGTCAATCACTGGATTGTCTGGTCCAGAATCGATTATTTACAGACCGCCGTCATATAACTGGAATATTGCTGAGTGCGGCGTTAAACAACAAACAAACAAAGATGTAACCAACACCGAGTAATTTGTATGTTTCCAGATGGGAAAATCGGACGGAATCGATCTCGAAACCGCCAGAAGAGAAAGGGCAGGAGGAATGTGTCAAGTGTCGACATCCCAGCAGCGGCCCCCGCTGACTGGGGTTCTGACCATGACTCCACCCAGCCACTCGACCTGTCTGTAGCCAATGACAGGAGCAGGTCTTGTGAGGAGGACTCGGAGTTGACGCCAGTTCCTCATCATCAGTTCCCCAAGAGGCCTCGATCTGACTCGCCCATGCCACGCGGAGGATCCTTCGGGTCAGGACTGGACCATGGCTACTCGTACGCAGTTGCCTACACGCCTACAAAAGACGCAAGTTCTACGTCTGCGACATGTTCAGCGTGTGATGTACCCAAGATGGGAGATATGATGACAAGCGACGTGAAGCTCCAGAGCTGTGTGAGTGAAAATGGCACGGAGCATTCCGAAGCGCTCTCGTCAATGAGGAGCCATGCTGGTATTGGCTTACCCGTTGGAAGCCACATCCGAGTCACCTCATCAACTGACACCGAAGGCTGTGTGCATCAGTCCTTCCAAACCGAGGAGTCAGAGCTTGGCACTGATATCTCCCCAGTCCAATGTTTGTTCCCGGCATATGCCAAGCCTTGCGTAAACTCTAACGTGGACCCTGGGGTTAATGCGTCGCAAGAAGTTGACTCGGCAATAGTTCCTGACATCAGCCAGTCGATTATCAGCAATATTTCAGTTCAAACGAGTCAATACACCTCTCCCGCAGACAGCTTTGAATACGCTTCTCCCGACTCCGTGAACGACCGCAGCCTCTCGAATGTTTTTGAGGGCATCCACATCACACCATCTGACAAGTCCGTGCACAGCTTCACCTCCACCTTCTCCGACAGCTACTCCCACCTCGACAGAGACACCAGACGGGTTTATAAAGGCGTGTACAGAGGCATCGGCCTGGGGCGCAATGTCCAGAACACCTCCGACCGGATAGTGACCGGGGACCTCGATGAACAATCTTTCCTGACCAGGTCGTTCATGCTGGATGACATACCAAACCCGCAACCAGAGCGATCTTTCATGAGCTTTGCCTCCTCTGAAGACACAAGCAGATGTTTTGAAGATCTTGAAAGAGTGTGTGCAGAAGATATGTTGTGTGAAGACACTAAACGATCTGAATCTCTAGGAGGTGGTGTCGAACCTGTTGGAATTCTTGGATTTTCTGACAAGCAGGTGCCGCCAGTGAAAGGACGTGGACCCTTGACAGATTCAAAGACTGGGGTTGTCGAATTGGATGTTATTGCAGCGCCCGAGCTATCCGTGACGAATATCTTGATCCTGTTATTCGTGTTACTTTTGGCGGTAGGGGTCTGCATTTACTTGAAAGGAACCGGGCTGACTGCACTGCTCAAGTATTACTCGTGGTGGGAGATCCTCTACAAGAATATTGATGTGACTAAAATTGGCGAGACCTTATTCTGAAGGAGGATAGTCACAAAATGTACCCGATCGTTGTACCATGAACTGCATAATCACGTATCTGAACAAATGGGCTTCGTCCAACGATGCGATCTTAGTAATGCGCCTTTTGAAATTCCATGACAAGAGTGTAAACTGAGGAAGGTCTTTGCGCCAAGGGCCACGTGCCACAAAGCGATCGTAGCATGTTGAAGCATAGGAGTTACGATCAGCTCAGCGCTACGATCGCTTTGTGGAATGGGGCCCTGATCGTTATGGCAGCGGTGCTCGATATAGCTTCGTTTTATATCAGTATCGTACGCATTCATTACTGCTTCATGTAGAACCAAAAACACTCTAATGGTGACCTTCCACATATTGCTTGGTGAAGATTGAGACTTAAATAAAATGACTCAATTCATATTTACGTTGTAATGTAACGTAATCACGACTGGGGAAATTTAACATCATATCTTGAACGGGGCTTTAGTGTAACGAGCCAACTCTTTCAACATAAGGTTATTGCACTGTCTCTCTTGATTCCAAGGTAGAGTCAGGGTATCATAATATTCCTATCCTTTTCATCAAAATTATGTCTTTCACGCCCAAGGGAAAGTTTCGGCAGAGAATCAGTTAAACTCTTGCGTTGACGTATTGAATTTACAAAATTCATCCAAGGCATCCTGTGGTCAAGGCATCCTGTGGTCAAGGCATCCTATAGTCAAGGCATCCTATAGTCAAGGCATCCTATAGTCAAGGCATCCTGTGGTCAAGGCATCCTATAGTCAAGGCATCCTGTGGTCAAGGCATCCTATAGTCAAGGTATCCTATAGTCAAGGCATCCTGTGGTCAAGGCATCCTATAGTCAAGGCATCCTATAGTCAAGGTATCCTATAGTCAAGGAATCCTGTGGTCAAGGCATCCTATATTATAGTCAAGGCATCCTGTGGTCAAGGCATCCTATAGTCAAGGCATCCTGTGGTCAAGGCATCCTATAGTCAAGGCATCCTGTGGTCATGGCATCCTATAGTCAAGGCATCCTATAGTCAAGGCATCCTGTGGTCAAGGCATCCTATAGTCAAGGCATCCTGTGGTCAAGGCATCCTGTGGTCAAGGCATCCTATAGTCAAGGCATGCTATAGTCAAGGCATCCTGTGGTCAAGGCATGCTATAGTCAAGGCATCCTGTGGTCAAGGCATGCTATAGTCAAGGCATCCTGTGGTCAAGGCATCCTATAGTCAAGGCATCCTGTGGTCAAGGCATCCTGTGGTCAAGGCATCCTGTGGTCAAGGCATCCTATAGTCAAGGCATCCTATAGTCAAGGCATCCTATAGTCAAGACATCCTATAGTCAAGGCATCCTATAGTCAAGGCATGCTATAGTCAAGGCATCCTGTGGTCATGGCATCCTATAGTCAAGGCATCCTGTGGTCAAGGTACATACACTTCTGGTAATCGCAATGCAATGCACCAGTGTGTGTGTACACCAATGACCGCATTACTTTCCCGAAAGTACATCCTTGTCGTCAGCCCTGTGAGCGGTCTATATCCATAAAACGGCCGTGTATTAACTGCATGTTGAACACGTTGGGTTTCTGGGGGACAGATGAATTCACAAGGGACAGATAATCGGTAATTCCGAATTGCTCTCTTAACGCCAAGATTGCCGTATAGGTGTCGTAGCTAAAAGAAATATTTACAAAGCCTATCCTCGAAGCTGCCTAACGACAGGTAACATGGCTGATAACAGACGTCGTGTTGAAGCAAACGATTCTGTAGTATCGTCAACTGTATCACTTCTGACAACAAAACCTTGTGGTTTCCACTTGCACTTCCAAAACACCAACAACAGATCCAAGAAAACACACCACAATCACCGAAAATACCGATTAGGACTTCTGACTAACAGACAGTCGATAACTGATGATAGCTAAACAATTATCTCACACAAAACGTTTTGCGAATGAATCTACACTTTTCCTTTATTTCATCTTTGCTTCGTATCGAAATGCATGACCGATGCTTTTTCATCTTAATTTACAAAGTGTGCACCACCTTGTCGACGTCCATAATGTACATAGCTGGATGGTATGCTATTTAAAAAAAATAATTTTTTTGTCCATGAACAAATGTTCCATTAGGAATGATAAATGAAACCATTGGGTAAAAAGGCTTTGTATGTCTGTTCACGTCTTCTGCACTTGCTAGAGTATTTCCGTCGTTACCGTATAATGAGTAAGTGATTTGAGTTGGCGATATTTTCCTTGTACATTATTCCAGATATTATCAGGGTGTGTCAGCTTAATGTGGGAGGAAAGCCCGAAGTGATGCAGGTCTCAGACGTTTACCACTTCGGTGAAACCCAGGAGCACGGGTATGGTGCAGACAAACCTGGAAACATAATCGGCGCGAATCGGGATTCGAACTCACAATTATAGGTTTCTGGCGTGCCCAAGGGACGCAATGCTGCACAGCGAATCGCGGCGCCATTGAGGACTGGGACACCCGTGCCCCCGTTGCCTTACAGACACGCAGATCCTGTCGCAGAGAGTCATCGTATCCGAGTGAAAGACCTGATTTTAAACAGATTGCAATGATAATAATATTTAAAATGTTTGTTCATAGCTTGTGATAAAATGTATGTGTTCCTTATCCTGGAAGGTACGTCTCGATGGTGCCAGATGTGAAATCCTTCACAGTGACAGTTTACAGGAGATAGCTCACAACACGAAAATCCCGAACATTTTCAGAGAGCATATCTGTCGAAAGGAGTGTCTGAGGGGGTGCGCATTGTCCATTCAATGGACCATGCAGGCAGTCTGTTATGATGACGTCATGTAATAAATTTGAGATGTCACGAACAATGGATGGCGTCATAATATTTTCTGAACAATCATATAAAGTAAAGAATTGACAGCAAACACCAAAAAGTCAGCTTGTTCTGGCTGAATATGTCATCCTGGCTGGAATAGTACCAGCCCTAGTTCGTATGGGACGTGATATCTTTTTTAGCGAACTCAAGCCGACTCTAAACTTGCCTGTGGCATCACAGGATAAAATGCATACACAGTTATGGATGCAACCTAGCTGTTGAAAAGCTGAGAAAGGACCTTAACTCTGTAAATTTCGATCTCATTAAATATTGTGACCAGTAACATCAGTGAGTAAAATTTCAAGCATTATTTGGTCAATATTTGGAAGCAGAAAGACAGATGGACAGACAAATGGATGGATGACATTCCTGTACCCATGATCCTTTGTGGCAGGAAATACTAGTAATAATCACATCCATGTCAATACTGAACCTATCTCACATAAAACAAAACACAAGTCAGATGTCATGTATGTATTTATCATCAGGACATGATACTATGGTATATACTAGATGCAACCCATTAATATATATAGTACATCTCACACACGCTCACAGCTCACTGTAGTCACACTATCTAACCACACAATACACAGGACTTTTTCTAATGAACCTCACACTTAGCTTTATCCTTGTTATAATCAAACAGTTATCCTACAAATAATTTTTGACACGACTGTTTAATTAAAATTCAGAACTTAACACAAGCATCATACCTCTCTGCATGAAGACCTCCAAAGGTCACCTTGGGTGAACATTGACGGTTGAATCTCAATGTAGAATGTTAATTTTTCTTAACAATTTTGTTTCATTTTGATACCACCTCGATTTGCAAATTTCAATATTAACAAAAGTAAACCGACACAGATCACAAATTATCCCTGGAAAGTACTCTCTTTTGGGTGTAGATGACATGACACTGAGAAAATGATTTGGCCTTTATTTTTTACATTCAGAACTGGTGGCTTAGTTTTGTTTTTGGATATGCAAGTTGTATGATGGGGCTTTCCTGATGCAGAGGGATATCGTATAAGAGAAAATTATCTGATTATAATGTGATTGCTCATAACAAGGTTTCAGCCAAGATTCCCCGGTGTACAGGGCCACCCAACACACCTGGTGGAAGCGTTAGTTTTTGTGAAGCAGTTGTCCACTTGAACTGAGATTCTAATCAGACACTATTTCTCGGCTAACTCAACAATTCGAAGGGACTGACCATTAAACATTCACAATGAGTGAGTGAGTGAGTCTGGTTTAACGCCGCTTTTAACAGTATTCCAGTCATATCACGGCGTGTCAGCTTAATGTGGGAGGCAAGCACGAAGTGATGCAGGTCTCAGACATTTACCACTTCAGTGAAACCCACGAGCACGGGTATGGTGCTGACAAACCTAGGAACATAATCGTGGCGAACCGGGATTCGAACCCACAATCATAGGTTTCAGGCGTGCCCAAGGGACGCAACTCTGCACAGCAATCACACCTTAGACGACTGGGCCACCCATGCCCCCACATTCACAATGACAATCAAATAATGTTTGGTGTAAACTATTCACAACCCGCGGCAAAATATTCATAATTCTTTTTTCCAGAAGCTTGTTGAACAAACTAAATCATTTATGTCCTTTACAAATGCAGGCTTCCCCAACTTCCCAAGAATACTTAATACATAAGCCCCCCTTTATGGCACAAACTATAATTTCACACATTGATACCCATTAATATCTATTTCGAATTTATTTGTTTTCTTTGTGAATACCTCTATCCAATGTATTTTTTCAGCTAGTAACTCATGTATGGACATCTTCACAGTTAAATCTCTCCATTAGAGCTCTGTATGGCACATTTTTACATGTATATGTATATGACCAGATAACATGCATGACACAAGACTGGCCTTGTGATGGCAATATCTCAACTGACTGAAATAGTGAGTGAGTTAGGTTTAACCCTGCTTTGAACAATATCCAGATATATCACCTTGTGTCAGCTTAATGTGGAGTGAAAATGATGTAGGTCTGCGCTGCGATCCCCAAGGTTGGTTGGTTGCTTGCTTGGTTTGTTGTTTAACGCCGCACTCAGCAATATTACAGCTATATGACGGCGGTCTGTAAATAATGGAGTCTGGACCAGACAATCCAGTGATTAATATCATGAGCATCGATCCACACAATTGGGATACGATGACATGCTTCAACCAAGTCAGTGAGCCTGACAGCCCGATCCCGTTAGTTGCCTCTTACAACAAGCATAGTCGCCTTTTACGGCAAGCATGGGTTACTGAAGTCCTATTCTACCCGGATCTTCACGGGAAAGACCCAACTGACTGAAATGAAGACATCTCAGGGGGACAAAGGCTAATCTATAACTTCATCTCAACAATGAAGAAAATTCAGAACTGAAAAATCTTTGTTTGAAGATTGTCAAGAATTCTCATAAAAATGAACATGTTCTCTTGAATCGTTATTAACCTGTGACTATCCATACGCACTTGTTAACATGTCACCATGTCGTGAGGGGACGTATTTCCGAGATACATTTGTGAGTGTTCAAAATGGTTTTACACTGATTTTACTTTTTAGCAATATTCCAGCAAGATCACAGTGGGAGGACACCAGAAATGGGCTTCTCACATTTTGAGACTGTGCGACATCAAACCCGGGTCTTCTGAGTACAAGCAAACCCTTTGTAACCACCACTTGGCCACCTGTGTTCTAATCAGGTGCAAAAGCTGCGCAAACACTGATCTAACTTTATCCACACATACATCTGATCTCAACAATACCAAAGGTCCTGTTTTCATCTTCCCTTCTCGCAAACATACCAACACTGTGAATGGTATCAATCAATCTGGCAACAAGTCTGGCAACAAGTCGTGTAGGAAACATCAGCTCTGATTACATTCCTGGTCTCCATTATAAGAAACCAAATTGCTTATTGTATTTACACTGCATCATAGAATGCCTTGCTCATTCTACATGCACTCCTCATGTACTCCTACACAAGTCTATGTAATTGCTGAACCTAACAAGCCACAGTTATCAAGAGGGCTTTGGCGTGGGCGCGTTAAACGATGCAGCATCTTTTGCCGACTTGAAAGCAGTGGGTTGGGACATCTTTTCTTGTTCCTGCCTCCAGAATATCTTCTTCTGGTGCTGCTTCACTGCATCCTGCACGATGGAGTCGATCATCTTCTGGGTCAGCATCCCGTCCTCCGAGGAGTACGCTTGGGCCTAGAGAACAAGGTGACAGCACTTTTTGAAGTTCACCAAACTCAACAGGAAACCACAGAAATTCAGAGCACCTTATTATCAGGAGTGTTGCTTAAAGTTACGTCACTACTTGGGTCGTATACTCCCAAGGGAGATGAGAATGAAAATCGAGTGCTCACTGATCCATTGACCGGGGTAATAATAGTGTAGTGATTTGAGCATCCACTTGGTGAATGGAATCTGGTGCAATATAAATGCACTTATTATTATTATTATTATTATTATTACTCCAGCTGTATCATGGCAACCTGCAATGATCTGGACAAGCATGAAGTCATAAGCAAGTTCCCATGTTTCATTCTCAGCACCCTGAGGAGTATACAACCCAAGCTGCCTGAAGAAGGTTAACAGATTCATTACCATCTCATAGTACCGGGTACCCATTCACTTCTGAGTGAACAGGGGCATGTTTTGAACAGAGCCATTTGCTTAAGAAGACACCACATGTGCTTCATGTGGGGCAGGACCGAAGCCCAAGAAGCTTTCTGGAGCCAAGCTGCCAAACACGGTCACTCATCCAAGTACTCTTCATGACCAACCTTGCTTAAACTTCACCTGATGTGACCTGTGCACTGCACACAGGACCACATGCCTCCACACATTCTCTGACGTCACAAAGCCTGACCACTAGATAACCCCTTGCCACAAAGACAGGGGTCCTCGTTCCCTATTCTAACCCAGGTCATCCATAGAGTTCAATAACAAAAGTAGTGTGTTGAAGTATCTTTGGACATTATCTTGTAGTACTTTACTAGCATCATGGCCTATCAGCATATTCTTGGACAAAAGCCTAAATCAAACTCCGTGGTGAAAGGAATGGACCCCGATGTGGCAGAACCAGAACTCACCTGCCACGCTACTCCCAGCTTGGCGATTTCACGGCCAGACAGACCCTCCGTCATGGCAGCAATCTGAGTACACTTGACTCCATAGTCGAACTGGTCCACCTTCATACGCCTGAGTGAGTGCAAAACAAGTTCAGTTAGCTTTCACTCACAACATGATTCACAGTAAAGTCACAACATGAAAAAGTATACTATAGCAGAAATATAATAGTGAGTGTGTGTGAGTGAGTTGGGTTTAACGTCGCTTTTAACAGTATTCCAGTTATATCGCGGTGTGTCAGCTTAATGTGGGAGGAAAGCCCGAAGTGATGCAGGTCTCAGACGTTTACCACTTCGGTGAAACCCACGAGCACGGGTATGGTGCTGACAAACCTAGAAACATAATCGGGGCAAACCGGGATTTGAACCCACAATCATAGGTTTCTGGCATGCCCAAGGGACGCAACTCTGCACAGCGAATCGCGGCGCCTTTAATGACTGGGTCACCCGTGCCCCCTCTGAAATATAAAAGAAAAATAATTCTCCCCTAGAACTTCCATATTAATGAAAAACCAGTCCTCTCAAGAGCAGATATTTTTTTTCTTAATTCCCCTTTTCATGGACCCAAATACAATTCTAGTCATCGCCCTGGGCCCCCTTCCACAAAGTGATTATAGTGCTATGACTGTCACAACTCTATCATAAAATTTGGGAGCTACGATTGCTTTATGCTTCAGGCCAAATTGCAGAACAGACCCCAGGCCTGTGCTTATTCTGAAAAGTCATCCTCAGGCCAAATTGCAGAAAAAAGGAAAATTCCAACCATTCAAAACTCACTTCATTTGTCTTCTAACTGTAATGTAACTATATATATCAACTCAACAGTAAGGATTGCCTCAGTTATAAACAGAAAGTTTCACAACAACATCTAGGCTCAGACTGTCAATGGATGACATTAGTGAATTTGGTTCAGCGCTGCTTTGAACATTATTTCATTGATACCATGGCACGTCGGTTTCTTCTCACAAAAAGGTCTGAAGACATTTGCTATTTCGTGAAACCCAAGTGCACAGGTATGGTTCTGACAAACCTAGAAAGATAATCGGGGGAAATCGGATTCCAACCCATGATCATCTGTTTCTGGAACAACTGAGAAGTGCAACTCTGCAGAGATATTACAACAGAGGCTCATATGACTATGCCACCCCTGCTCCCTGCTCTAAAGAACACAGAGGCGCTCGGGTAGCCTAGTAGTTAAAGCGTTCGCTCGTCACGCCGAAGACCCGGGTTCGATTCCCGAAATGGGTACAATGTGTGAAGCCCATTTCTGGTGTCCCCCGTTGTGATATTGCTGGAATATTGCTAAAAGCGGCATAAAACCAAACTCACTCACTCACTCTAAACAACACAAACGAAGCTGCTGATAGACTAACAGACCTTTTCTTCTCGGCTGCGGGCTGCAGGACGTACAGACCAAAGTAGTGTCTGACCATCCTCTCTCTCTCCTCCAGACTTGGGACGTCGAACTCCACCATCTCATCCAGTCGATCGTTGATGGCCCAGTCAAACTGCTCGGGCTGGTTACTCGCCAACACCAGCATGAATCTGACAACGGAAAAAGATGGTGAGCGATCTGGATTATCACAATGTGAAGAAGTTCGTAGAACAAGATTCTGTATGACCATGGAACATATTCCTGTTTCCATGGCATAGATCAGTGTTGGAAGTTTTTTAAGCCCTCTTTTAATAATGGCTAGTAATATCCACACGAATTATAGCTACAGTGATGATGTCAATCCTGCTGGGGTAGCCGTTGGTGAGGAAAGACACTGTATTATTTGTTTGTTGAAAAGTGATGCAGGTCTCAGTTGTTTACCACTTTGGTGAAACCCACCGAGAATCATACTCAGGGTGAACTGGGATTTGAAGCCACTTTCATAGGTTTCTGGCATACCTAAGTGACGCAACTGTTTGTTTGTTTGTTTGTTTGTATACGCCACACTCAGCTATATTCCAGCTATATTACAGTGGTCTGTAAATCATCGAATCTGGACTGGACAATCCAGTGATTTACATTAGCCTCGATCCAGGCAATTGGGATACGGTGACATGCAGTCAACCATGTCAGCGAGTCACCCAATCCCGTGTTTTCATTGAAACATTGCTAACGTGACGTTGAAAATAAACTGCCCCAGTTCACTCACTTCTTGGATTGTTCTCCAGTTCTGTAGAGAAACGCGTTCAACGTCGCTCTCATGTCTTCACTGATCATTTCCTGAAAAGAGGAAAGAAGGAAATGTAAAAAAAAATAATGAATTGTTGTTTTCGCTTGCATTGCAACACAATGCTGGGTAGCAATCCCAGTTCTCAATGCGGTTATTTAAAATTATTCTTGTTTGTTGAGAATATGTTTCTCAGATAAATTTCAACAGCTATTATTAAAGTCATTAGTGTCAGATTTGACTATTAATTACCGTGCTTCTCTTCCTCAAGAATGCATCTGCTTCATCAACAAACAGCAGCACTCTGGAATACCAGTAACAAAGTTTAATGTTTGAAATGTGTTTTATATCTATCCATACTTTCAAACCAAACACCCATTAGTACAACATGAAAATACCCTGATACAAAAGTATTCTTAAAATAATATCTTAAGCCTAAAATTATTTATCATCTTTATAACAAATTAATGCTTATTTATAACTTACATCCAGTCAATTGTCTACTTGATCCATTTTTGTTCAAATGAATTTTGTGAATTTTTGTGTTCCACCACTACTTAACAAATGCTCCCTCTCTTAACTTGGGTTTTACAGCACTTGTCGCACAATGTCAGTAATATCAACACTCGAGACACAAAGAATGAGTTTCACACATAGAACTGTAAACTGATGATCTGGGTTGACAAGTTCATTCTGTTAGCTAACAGTAGCAATGCCACACTAAATTGACTGATCCCACAATCATCTGCAAGACAGCTGCAAAACTTAATTTTTCCACCATAATATCAAAATATTCTCATTTCTGCTATCCTTCAACAGACAGGCAAACCCTATCATAAAATGACTGGTCCGATTAATTAATACTGGCATTTGTTGCGTAGACCCTCACTTTTGTCAAACAGTAGTTGTAAGGCCAGCAATACCATGATGTCTGTACTTACCCTCGCCGACTCGTCTGTGCCCAGTCGAACACTTTGTGCATGGCTGTGACTCCCTCCTTACCCATGGGTGCAACGTCGCCGCCCGTCATGATGGCGTAGTCCATCCCAGAGTGCTGGGCTAAACTCTGAAAGTAGCACAAAGTGCCTGATAAGAATCCGACTACAGTTCACAGCAATAGGGGAGCACGGGTGGCCCAGTTGTCTATGGTGCCGCGATTCGCTATGCAGAGTTGCGTCCCTTAGGCACGCCAGAAAACTATGATTGTGGGTTCGAATCCCGGTTCACCCCGATAATGTTTCTAGGTTTGTCAGCACCATGCCCGTGCTCGTGGGTTTCACTGAAGTGGTAAACATCTGAGACCTGCATCACTTTGGGCTTTCCTCCCACATTAAACTGACACACCGTGATATAACTGGAATAATGTTAAAAGCGGCGTAAAACCCAACTCACTCACAGCAATAAAAGCATAAAAGCTGTTTTGGGCCAGGTTCTGGGTCAGATTGCAGATGTGATTCAAATGATTCAAAACACACTTTGCAACAAAGGTAGGCCAGTGGCATCCAATAACTGGCTGGCAGTCAGGGATTGGCATTAGAGTGACAGGGTTCACTCAAGGAATTTTCTGACTTTGGCCCTTTACGGAAAATTTCAAATATTCCAGAGGAACACTCACACACACAATTGCCACACAGTATAAAGTTAAACTGCCCCATTGTATTTAAAAAATGTGGGCCTTTTTTCAAACATTGGGGCTAAAAGCACAACGCCCCACCCCAGAATTATCCCAGGAGTGACAAATACAAGGGTCGATATGCTTGTTGCAGCTTTAGAAGCTGACCATTTGATATTCAGGGGGTTCAGGGTGGGCATCATAAAAGAAATATAATTTGGTCCTGTTTTTAAGAAATGTTCTGTGCCGCCATATGAGAATCTAATCAGTAGGTCACAGTCCTTGTTTTTGCCCCTTAATGCCGAGCGCCAGACAGGGAAACAACAAGTACCATCTTTTAGCGTCTTTTGGTATGACGCGGCCGGGGATTGAACCCCGGACCTTCCGCTCTCCGGGCGGACGCTCTACCACTAGAACACGGAGGTGGTCTGAGAAAAAGTGAACATGACATGTTGGAACATGACAGCTGTTTACATGAGGAAAGAGGAAGGATGTTCCCAGTCAGTATTTACAGTATTCAACATTTAAGACAGCATTCCTGTGGCCAACAAATCCCCATCATGTTGGCCAGCCTAAAATCAACTTAATGTACCTTAGCAAACATGGTCTTTCCTGTTCCTGGTGGGCCGTACATGAGAATGTTCCGGTAGTAACCCTTATTCTTCTTGGTGTGGTTGGTGGCAATAGCAACATCTCGTAGTCTCTCCTCCAGGGAGGGCTGTCAGACACAAAACATCACAATAGTAATTAAACTAGCAACAAGGTATTATTTGCACCAAGACTGAAGGAGTTTGAACAGCATTTCAGTCATTTCTAGCAGTGTTCAAGTCTCAAACGACAGGTGGGCTAACTGGCCTTAATTTTGACAAGCTTAAATATGTGACAGTGTATTTGTCAGACGTTTGATTCTGCAAAAGAATCAATAACGTATATTCAAATTGCAAATCATGCATTAAATGTTATGAAGGGAGGTAACTCTGATCTCACAAGCTCTATTTGTTTAGGATACTAGTTTGATTTTGTAATTTAGTTAGTCTAAATTGATCCATAACAGAAACGGGAGAACTTTTTTAATTTTGATCAAAATAAAAAATCTCTGCTAAACTTCAGGAGACAGTTGGGCTTGGGATATTTGAGGACATTTCAGAACATTTAGCCTCACTAAAATTTTGCTCGATGACAACAGCGGCTATTTGACAGCATGTCATCTTAATGTGGGGGCTCACAGTAAGCTGTGGAGATACACTCTTTGGTGAACCCATTTTCACAAGAATGTGGATAACAAATCAAAGAACAAAAATCTGAACAATTTATGGTTCGAACTGAAGAGCAGCGGATGCTAGCATTGGTTAAAGCAGTGTTCAAAATCATTTCACTGTGTGCATGTGTGGCTGCTCGTACTAATCTGAATTTATGCCAGCCCAGAGCAAATAGAATCTTTTAACATCTTATGGTTTGACGCTACCAGGAACCACAGACCTTCCAGTCTCCGGGCAGATGCTCTACATCACAGAGGCAGTGTGGTTCTGGCATGGCAAAGGGAGGCAACTCTATGCAGCGAAATCCATTTTATACTGAATCTGAATACGTAATGCTTCCTGATCCACTACTCACAACAAAGACCCTTTATCAGGTGGAAGTGAGTGAATGTTTATTACCTCTTGTCCAGATAAACTAAAGGCTGATATCATGAGCAAATCTACACCATCACAGCACGACACCATTCACAATATCCGATAGGCAGACCACTGTGACATCATGACCATGACATCACAATCAAATGACATCACTTATATCTTGGCCACTGTAGCCGGATAGCTCTACCATTTAACACTCAAGACAATGGTTATTACTGTTTACAAACTGATAAATAGAATATTTAAAAAATATCAACACTCGTTTTTAAAATCCTCAGCAAGCCTGTGTTGACAGATGTGATGCAATAGGCACTCGGATGAGATTCTCTCTGTACTTTATGACCAGTAAGGAGTGCTGTCCAGCTTCTCTGCTATGGAATTCCTACCAGTATGGCTCATACACAGAGTTCCATGGACACACAAATATTGCCATGCCTAAAGGCCAAATAAAAACTGCAACTAACGGTACTGTAAAATCAGCAATGATTGCCAGATATTTTCATGTGTGATCTTTGTCACTAACAGTGTGTATCATTGGAAGAAAGTTGGGGAACAGCTGGGTAATCGGAACCACATCACTTTCTTAATCAGGAAGGCAAAGTGCTGGACATACCCTAAGAATGATTCCTTGTAGTGCATCCTGAGGTTTCTTTTGAAGTTTCTGTACAGTCTGCAACATAAAACATCCAGAATGTCATTGTTATCAACAGAGAGTATTGAATGAAAATTTTCAAACATAATTGTCATAATCCTACTGTCACTCACTTTATGTGTGCCATCATGTTAGACTTCACTCTTACTGGGTGGGTGGTTGAGTGCGTGGCTGCGTGCATGAGTGAGAGTTTTAACTCAGCTTTATTCCAGTTATATCATGGCATGTCATTTTGGAGTAAAGCACGATTGGTTGGTTGGTTTGTTTGTTGTTTAATGCCGCACTCAGCAATATTCCAGCTATATGACGGCGGTATGTAAATAATCGAGTCTGGACTAGACAATCCAGTGATTCTGCTATTGCTCTTACCTTTACTGGATGTTTGAGAGCCTCGAGCGCTGTGAACCGTGAGGTCTCTCGAACTAGCGATGGCTTCCCCAACCGAGACTCTACATATTTGGCAGCGACACCTGTACCATATTTAGCAGCGTACACGCCGATGGCCACCAATGTCAGGCCGGCAGCCTGGGAACAGAATTAGAGTGACAGTTGTACAAGGGCTGGTCTGTGTGTTGCAGCTTTAGGGGACGATTATTTGATATTCTGGGGGGTGGAGTACTGAGAATTAAAAACAAATAATGATTTTGGTCCCACTTAAAGAAGAAATAATGTCATGAAATTAAAAAGACATGTTTGGCTCCTCTTTCAAGACCGTTGACTGAAAAACTCTCTCCGACGAAATGCATTAGAATATGACACAAATGGTCCCATGAGACATGAAGCATAAGTCCATTGGATATTCACTATCACAATTCTTCTTTTTTTGCTGTTCTTCAATGCCGCATTCAGCAAAATTCCAGCTAAATGATGGCAGCCTGTAAATAAAGGAGTCTGGACCTGATAATCCAGTGATTGATATTGTGAACAATGATCCATGCCATTGGGGTATGTTGACACGCAATTAACCCTATCACTGAGCCGGACCTCCCAATCCATTTGATCGCCTCTTTCAACCAGCAAAGGTTACTGGTGACGAAAACAATTATTCAGCAAAAGCAAATGTATATATCATCATCATTTAAGACCTACCTCTTCGTGGGGAATCCGGTGAAAACTATCATTTATACTTATCCTGACTCATACTTATTGCTTATCTCTCTCTCTTCCGAATAGGTAGTGGAAACGTCCTGTGCTGTTCCCAAAGAACAGAGAAAACAGCTCACCCAAACGCACCCTCACTCTGCGCATGCGCACCGGAACCATGTGACCAAGCCCATTAACTCATCACTCTCTCTTTTTCGCGCCATCTTGGCAGCTGGAAATTTTTTCTGTGCATCGTAATCCAAGATTTCCTTAAAAATTAGGTGATCAGGCTCAGTGATTTTGTTGATTGCATGTCCTTGTATCCAAATGGCATGGATTGATGCTCATGTTGTCAATAACTGGATTGCTCCAGACGGGATTATTTACAGATCAGCATTAACGACGAACTAAAGTCCTACTTGGCTTTCCACGAACAGACTTACTGTGGCAGACACCTTGTCCCAGTCGGATATGAATGCTTGGAACCCAGTCCCCAACACCGATCCTGCGGTTCTGGAAACAGAAGTGTGGCAGTGTTGTACACAAACTCTGCGTGTTCAAAATATCTGTTATTTATGTGTTTTATTTGTTGTGTGACACCTCAATCAGCAATATTTCAGCTTTCTGATGGTGGTCTGTAAATAATCAATTCTGGACCTGACAATCCAGTGATTGATATAACGAGCATCGATCCACGCAACTGGGGTACGATGACATACAAATCAACACCCTAACACATGTTCAAAGCGCTACATTAATACCATGGTCAATGCATTAGTATGTGTTCAATTTAAATCTCAGCTCCCTGGGGAGTATACATCCCAAGCTGCCTGTTAGACACGAGGTTACAATCTCATCCTACTACGTCCCCATTCACCGCTGAGAGAAATGAGGCATATTTCAAACCGTCCCTTGCCATAGGCGACACCACATGTACAACATGTGCTTCAGTGTGGGGCAGGACCGAAGCCCTAGAAACTCTCACGAGATAAGCTGCCAAACATTATTCTGCAACCAACGTTGCTTTACTTCTCCTGACCTGTGACCTGTGACCCGTGTCCACAGGACCAGGTGCTACTCACTTGATTGACTCTAATACTGTCTGTCTTTGCTCTTGAGCCTTCAGCTTGATTTGGTCTCGGATAATATCCTGATTCTCCCGGTCTATCTTTGCCTTTCCGCGAAGCTCAGCTTCTATTCTCTTCATCTCATTCTTGTAGCGCAAATCAGCCTCGTATTCAAGAGTTGCTGGAAATATATTTTTGGTTTATTGAATGCCACACTCAGACATATTCCAGCTATATGACGTTTGCCTGTAGATAGTAGAGTCTGGCCCAGAGAATCAAGTGAACAACAATCCACACCATCAGAGTACGATGACACCGTCAACCAAATCACTAAACTTAACCACCTTATCCACCCCACGCAATGACTAAGTCGCCTTTCGACCAGCTGAGGACCGATTCGAATTCGGAATGATGATTATGATCATGATAATGATGATGACCTTACCTTTTCTCATCTCTTCCTGTTTTTGTACAGATTCTTCTTGCCTCCGTAATGTCTCTTCCTGAGTTCTTGCCTAAAAAGCAAATTCAAGTTCTTTAGCATTCTAATTGTGTTATCAATTTAACTGTATTAAAACAACAATACTTAAACACACACTTGTTCTATTATTAGTTGAAAGGACAATCCTAATGATTTGAATAATCAAAATAAATGCGTTTTGTTGCTTAAAGCTGCACCTTGTAAATTATCAAGTCTGGACCAGACAATACAGTGATTGACATTGTGAGCAACGATCCACACCATCAACCAAGTCCCGGTGCATAATGTCGCCTCCTACGACAAGCACGGTTTGCTAAGGAGCAATTCTAACCTGGAATCAACACGGGGGCAGCCCACAAATGATGACGGGGACCTATTCTTCCCCAGAATCCCATATTAAGACAAGGTTAAACAAGCCACATTCACCTGTTGTGCTAGCTGCTCCTCGTAACGTTTTCTGGCCAACTGGTCCTGGTACTGAGCCCTCTGTTGATGTTGTTTTGTCTCCTCAGCCAATGTTTTTCGCTTCTCATCTTGTGCAACTCGTATTTGTTCCAATTTCATCTGTTCAAGTTGGCCTTCATATTCCTACAAAACAAAAGCATCAAGCTTCACCGAAAAAAAACAAAAATACGAAATTTTAAAGGTCAATACTTCATTCAGTTGGTAACAAAATGGTTTAAATGATTCAACATTTATTTAAGAGTAACCATTTACATCATGATTTCAAGACAAATATCAACACAAACAGATTCCTCATTTTCAGATATTTCAAGCATCAAGCATGAAGACAAACAATCAGTTCTTGCATCCTTATGATCTGGACATGACTATCAGGAAATCCTGTCAAGAACAATTCAGTAATTCTTTTCAAATTTCTGGCTCTTTATAAATACTAACCAAACAAATAGTACTAGTAGAGAATGGACGAGTCAAAAATATTCTTACGTTAAAATAGCTGGTATACAAAAAACAATTAATGTACAATAATTGTGCAGAAGAAATAAATACCTTTATTTTCTTTTGATGTTCAAATTGAGTGGTGATTTCTTGTTGTTTTGTGAGTTCCAAAGCTTCTTTGGAAAACTCTGAAAAAATTCATATTTCGGTGATGCAAACTTATTTCATTTAATTATCATGCTTATTGTGTCATGTCTCCAGGTATTTTTTGTAACCATTGAGTATTTACTCATGTTATCATGCACATTGTGTATGTTGATCTTGACAGTTTTCTTTGGGTATTCAAAATATTTATTACTCCCTTGGAGAGTCTATTGGGTACATAAAAGCCAAAGAGAATCTCTTTTTCCAAAAACATAAAATTTGCAACCATTTATGGGTTGCCCCAAGTGTGTCACATGTTGCATGCATAGTAATACAACTAACACAGAGCTTTTGTGCATCATTCACTGCAGTAGACAGAGGTCACTCACTGCATTCAACAAGTAGATATTTATCTGTTCTGAAATGTCTTCACTGGGTTATAACACAGTGTTGTTATTCTTAGGGATTTTGACAATTTTCCTGCATATTTGTACTCGGGCAACTCAAAATTAATTGGTAATGGTGATTTATTTTACCTCATCAGCAAAAAACACTGATTATCTGGACCGCTGATCAACATATATGAAATTATAATACAAAATATAAGGTGATTTCAAATAACGATTTCCTTCATCATGTTAATAATAACAAATAATGTTAATGGACACTGCATATATACTGGTGTTAACATCCATTAAATGGAACTCAATAAATTCGAATGATGAAACATCTTAAACTGTTGGTAAAGGTCACATAGTTTGACTTTCATAAGCATTCAAAGCACATTAATTTACCAAATGGACTCAAAATGTTAAGTGACACAACTAATTAAAAAAAATATGATATTAATCGGCTGACATTTATTGTGGAGCAAGTATATAAACAAAATGGTATTCGTACTAGATGTTTCGAGATCTTTTGCAGCTTTCGCAGCCCTCTCCAATGCTGCAGAATCAAACCGGTATGCATCCATTTTAGAAAGTCCCTTTCCCCCATCGCCACCCTTGGAACCTGATCCCTTGTCGTCACTTCCCGGGGGTGGGGGCGGAGGGGGTGCAGGGTACTGAGGAGGGTTCCCCTGCCCGGTGTTGATTCCAAACAACCATGACATGCTTGTCTGCTAGATTTTTCACGTGGTTCCGTAATACATGCGCATTGGAGGTCAACGATACATTCGAAAACCTGCATCGGTAATTTAGCGATTTCGGAGTTTGTTCTGGGCAGGATCTATATTACGTTTTTTTCGGTATACTTTATGCCATATACTTAAGATCATGCAGATTTGTGTAATAATAACTACAAATTATAGAAATGGGCAAAGGCATAAGCAAATGTGATTATTTTCTAATTTATCATATAGATTTTTATGAATAAATATACACAACTCATTTCATTTTCTTGAAAGAATTGGAGTGTACTGCAGGGTGTTTAGGTGGGCTGGAGATGATATGTTTTCAATCAGAATTTAAACACATTCTGCGTACATTTTTTGTGTTATTCCCAAAAACTGTGGAGACATGTATGATTATTTTCACTCCCTATTAAACCAGTTTGAAAGAAAAATTAATCAGAGGTGCAATAATTATTTTTTTGACCCGATGCATATTAAACAACATCTATTATCTAAGCTACCCTGGGCAGTCTTGACAATATACATGTGATTTCTTGCATACACACGCAGAAGAGTGTCCACTATCACTGTCCATGTCATCATAATCATCATTAATTTGTAATGATCGATAAATGTATCATCCTCGTTTCTCCAGTGTGTGTGGTTTGTTTTTTTTATCTCATAGTCATAATACCAGATAATTACGCAGAACGATTTTATGATGTATCTGGTAATGATGTTTTCGAGTTTTTCAAAAGAGATAGATTGTTATTTTGAACAATACCCCTTATAGGGAAGGGCGGTCGGGTAGTGGTTAAAGCGTTCGCTCGTCACGCCGAAGACCCCGGTTCGATTCCCGACGTACGTACAATGTGTGAAGCCCATTTCTGGTGCCCCCTGTCATGATTTTGCTGGAATATTGCTAAAAGCGGTGGAAAACCAAACTCACTCACTTACTAACTGTATGGGTCAGACGGGAACAGGTAAAAAAATACACACCGAAAGTCAAAAGGGTCACATGATAAAGTCTACATGTGATGTGTAAATAAGGTTAGTTTCAATTAGTTTGCTCTCTTTCATAAATCCAAAGTGTACTTTATATTTATAATGTCGCCACTTTTGCTTTGTGGCCGTTTTAACGATTTGCTGTGACCCTCTTGGCCTTTTGCTGTGGCCCCCTTAACGCGTCATGTGTTTGTGGCCGTTTTGACGCGTGGACTTTTGGCTGTGGTTATTTGATGGTGATGTATTTGATGCAAGTAAATACCACAGTTATGTTTTGTACATGAAATTTGCACTGTTTCAGCGACTGTTTCAGTCAAGTAACGTACGTTGTGATAACGTTTGTCATGTTCAGGTCAAACCCTTTTTTCAAGTGTATACTTTCTTTTACCCTGCGACCGCCTCCGTGGTCTAGTGGTAGAGCGTCCGCCCGGAGAGCGGAAGGTCCTGGGTTCGATCCCCGGCCGCGTCATACCAAAAGACGTTAAAAGATGGTACTTGTTGTTTCCCTGTCTGGCGCTCGGCATTAAGGGGCTAAAGCAAGGGCTGGTCGGCTCGGAGTCAGTATACTGTGTCTGAGTGGGGTATTCATGTTAAACTGCGGCATGGTATCTCTGTGGGCTAGCACTATAAATCGGCATCAGTCCGGACTAGTACAAGCAGCCACACAAACACACACACGTACATGCACGTCGCTATATAAGTGCAATAATCTTGGACGCGACGTTAAACCTCACCTCACCTCACCCCGCCCCACCCCGCCCCACCCCGCCCCACCCCGCCCCGCCCCACCCCACCCCACCCCACCCCACCCCACCTTTTGCCCTGCAGTTTAGTATGTATCCACTTAATATTTTGACAATTTTGACTGACAGTGGTCTGCTTTCGCCAGAAATATGTGGCGATTTCACCAACTCTGTTGATCCGCTCTGGCGCTGTTCTTTTCACACTGACATCTCTGCAGGTTAGAATACAGTTTTGTTTAAATTGTTGAACTGAATGAGCGAGGACACAAAATATTTCAATATTTTTCATACAGTAATTCTTACTTTCAGTGAATACATTCCGGTGCATTTGACGAACATTATCATTTTTTGCAAGTTATTGAAGAAAAAATAAGACAATTATGAGTTTATGAAATGTAATCAATAATATGACGATGTGTTTTCTTTACAGTTCTATCCAGGCGTGTAGAAATAGGATCGTAGAAAAAACGGCCATCATCCTCACTGCTCACTAGTTGAAATATAATTATTTTTAGTGGCCGATCTCACTCCTCTTTGGTCGTTTATTCCCTGAGAAGAGGAGAAAATAATTGAAGTAATTTTAGTGCACTTATGCATTTTCAGCTGTTTTCACTATTGCACGGCATTGCTTGAGCACATTTTTAATAATTTCTTCATATAAAAGAATGTGAGGTGAACACTTATTGGTGATTTCCCCTTGTTTAGGATTCTGCCTGTAAAACAGAAATCGGTCTGTTTCCGTGACAACTGTGTCTACTGGTTAATACAATGAAGAGAATTTACATTTTTTTAACTCTACGGGTCTTTTTCTAAAAAATATTAATCTGAATGTGTGTGCGTGTGCATAATATTCTGTCCCCATGAATGGGAAAATTGATACAATATTCACCATCACACCCAGACCGATTTGTGCTCAATTACAGAAATCCATTTAATATCCACGCCTACTTTTAGAACTTACCCAAGAGCGATAACTCTAATGTGAATAGGCCTTTGGTTACTGTCTGTTTCTCTTCATTGCGGCCCATCGATTAAAGTACACTAAATGGCCTGGCGAAAACAAATTCCCCAAAAATGTAAGCACATCAACTCAACAATCAAAATATATTTCATCACTCAACATTCTCACATTCTGCAGTTAGACAGTTTTTGCAAAGGCTACCAGCGATAGAAACTATGTAAATAAACCCTATATTTACTTATATCTCTGAAAAGAGGAAAGGTAAATACATCAGTAATCAAATACAATGTAAATAAACCCTATATATTACTACAAACATCGTTGTTATGGTTATTAAAAATAGAGGTGCCGTTTTCGCCCGACTCATGGTAGCCGTTTTCGCCAAATGCGGTGCCGTTTTCGCCAGAGAAATCGGTGACGTTTTGCTGAGGTGCCGTTTTAGCCTGCACCCTTTTCGTCCACTAGCCTCGTCCTTGTAATGATAACATACAGAAAAACCCTTACATATGGCAAATTTCTACTTGTTCTTATGATACCTTAACTACTAGCAGGGAGTTTGGCAAGGACTATAGGACTAGTGCCAATTTCTAACGCTGGGTTACAATATTTTTGAAGAAACAAATGAAAGCTAGAATACGAAACATTTCGTATTTTTATTATTCAAAACACATGAACTTATAAATATATTAATTTTATGGTCTATGCTTTGGCATAACCTTTGTTAAGTGTTAAAATGCAAAATCAAAGGGCTGTTTACTAAAAGCAATCCCACAGATATGTATGGTCACACAAGGACTTGTATGCTACATAAACAATTTGCATCATCAGTTTATGAAAGAAAATATTATCTCCGTGTTAAAGGGTTTTTGGACGTTAAAGAAACATTTGTAATGTCTTGTTAATTGCAAGAACAAGTGTAAAACATCTCACTCACTTATAAAAGATGACTTTATCTTAAAAACAGGCCATCATCTGAGAATTTTCAATGTCTGTGTGGCACCACACCCCTTAATTGTTATAGCGTGAGTAATAGGGATAAACATGACTCTCCCAAAACATATGATGTCCGAAAACCTATGAGCAGATTATTTTCCAAGGCCTGTTTGTATGTTGTCTTCTGTAAAGAACTCCGCAGAAACCACAAGAACAATAAAGTTGAAACTATTCATACAGCTACATTTGTGGGATCAATACACAGTAATTATGTGTGGAATTTTTAAAGTTTGACTTTGCTCTCACACTTTCTAAAAATGTATACAGTAAAACACGCTTATAACGAACTGACGGTTATTACGAACTTAATTTTTGGTCCCGGCCATTTGTTGTATGGATGTTGTATATATATGCTTATGACGAACTACGGTTATAATGAACTAAAATTACTGGTCCATTTGAGTTCGTTATAACCATAGTTTACTGTATTTGGCTCTGTCAACATCTTCTCTGAAATTGCTAGACTGAGGGAGCTGAACTATGGCATGTATTTACTTGGTTCAAATCATTATTGTTTAATATTCATGCTGATGGCAACTTTGGTTAATTGGGTGTCTTTGTTGACATTTTAAGCAATTGACTGCATACCTTGTGAGCTGTGTTTATCTCTTTATGTCAAAAATATGCAGACGCTTTCTGCTGATCAAGGTTAAGAAGATGAGGAGACTAGCTTTTTATGTTTGTTGCTCACCTGTAGGATCTCAATGATTTCAAATCACTGGTCCCATGGAGATTCTGGGTTAGAATTGGTCCCCTGCAATCTATACTGGTCGTAAGAGGCAACGGGATGGATGGGATGGTCAGGCTCGGTTTGTTTTGTTTGTTTGATTGTTGTTTAACGCCGCACCCAGCAATATTCTAGCTATATGACGGCGGTCTGTAAACAATCGAGTCTGGACCAGACAATCCAGTGATTTACATTCATGAACATCGATCCACACAATTGGGATCGATGACATGCATCAACCAAGTCAGCGAGCCTGACCACCCGATCCCGTTAGTCGCCTTTTACAACAAGCATAGTCGCCTTTTACGGCAAGCATGGGTTGCTGAAGATCTATTCTAACCCGGATCTTCATGGGTTTTGAGGCTCGGTGACTTGGCTGATGAAGTTTCATCCTGCCTAAATGGCGTGGATCATTTGTCTGATGATGACTTGATTATTTACTGGCAGCTGTCACATATCTGGAATATTGCTGAGTGTGGTATTAAACAACAAACACACACACAAATCACTGGTCCTGATTATTGGTTTGTGGCATTTGTCTCAGCACTTATCCAGCTCTGTTGTGTTATTACATTATTGATAATTCTTTGAAAAAAATCAAATTCACTCTCACAGTCACATCTGTTATATCAAGAGGATCAAATATTTCTTATTGTCATGTATATCTTCAGCAGATGGTCCAGTGTACACAAAAGAAAATGGATTACATTCATAAAGGATAAAGGCAATGCAAGATGGCTTATTCTACACAGCTGAATCCTGCAGAGATTAATCCTCAATCTTAATCAGTGAAATCCCAGTCCCAGCTCAACGATACCAACATGGACAAGAAGACTCGTTCCTTAGAGAAGCTGTCCATGAGGGAATCTCTAACACTGGTTTGTGTTACTTTATTGATTACATTGTATGTCAGGTCAATACACTATTCAAGAGGGGATTGTGTGGTCACAATGGCTGTGGATAGTGAGTGAGTGAGTATGGTTTTACGCTGCTTTTAGCAATATTCTAGCAATATCACGGCGGGGGACACCAGAAATGGGCTTCAAACATTGCACCCATGTCAGGAATCGAACCCGGGCCTTTGGAGTGACGAGCGAACGCTTTAACCACTAGGTTACCCGACCGCCCCTGACTATGGATAGTAGAACATAGGGCAACCATATTGGGTAAGAAAGAGGGTGAGGATTGAACATTATGATGGCTTCTTGAAAACTTTTAAACATGCTATGATCCCCTTTTAGATACATTTTAAGTCCAAAACCCTGTAGGGATTCCAGATTACAGTAGGTCCCCAGTACCCTATGCTATTCATATGAGACAACCAAATTCCGGATAACAGTAGGTCCCCAGTACCCTATGCTATTCATGTGAGTCAACCCAAATTCGGGATTACAGTAGGTTCCCAGTACCCTATGCTATTCATGTGAGACAACCAAATTTGGGATAACAGTAGGTCCCCAGTACCCTGTGCTATTCATTTGAGACAACCAAATTCCGGATAACAGTAGGTCCCCAGTACCCTGTGCTATTCATATGAGACAACCAAATTCCGGATAACAGTAGGTCCCCAGTACCCTGTGCTATTCATATAAGACAACCAAATTCCGTATTACAGTAGGTCCCCAGTACCCTGTGCTATTCATTTGAGACAACCAAATTCCGGATTACAGTAGGTCCCCAGTACCCTGTGCTATTCATATGAGACAACCAAATTTGAGATAACAGTAGGTTCCCAGTACCCTATGCTATTCATATGAGACAACCAAATTCCGGATAACAGTAGGTCCCCAGTACCCTATGCTATTCATGTGAGTCAACCCAAATTCGGGATTACAGTAGGTTCCCAGTACCCTATGCTATTCATGTGAGACAACCAAATTTGGGATAACAGTAGGTCCCCAGTACCCTGTGCTATTCATTTGAGACAACCAAATTCCGGATAACAGTAGGTCCCCAGTACCCTGTGCTATTCATATGAGACAACCAAATTCCGGATAACAGTAGGTCCCCAGTACCCTGTGCTATTCATATAAGACAACCAAATTCCGTATTACAGTAGGTCCCCAGTACCCTGTGCTATTCATTTGAGACAACCAAATTCCGGATTACAGTAGGTCCCCAGTACCCTGTGCTATTCATATGAGACAACCAAATTTGAGATAACAGTAGGTTCCCAGTACCCTATGCTATTCATATGAGACAACCAAATTCCGGATAACAGTAGGTCCCCAGTACCCTATGCTATTCATTTGAGACAACCAAATTCCGTATTACAGTAGGTCCCCAGTACCCTATGCTATTCATTTGAGACAACCAAATTTGGGATAACAGTAGGTCCCCAGAACCCTGTGCTATTCATACGAGACAACCAAATTCCGGATAACAGTAGGTCCCCAGTACCCTGTGCTATTCATATGAGACAACCAAATTCCAGATTACAGTAGGTCCCCAGTACCCTGTGCTATTCATTTGAGACAACCAAATTCCGGATTACAGTAGGTCCCCAGTACCCTGTGCTATTCATTTGAGACAACCAAATTCCGGATTACAGTAGGTCCCCAGTACCCTGTGCTGTTCATACGAGACAACAAAATTCCAGATTACAGTAGGTCCCCAGTACCCTATGCCATTCATATAAGACAACCAAATTCCGGATTACAGTAGGTCCCTAGTACCCTGTGCTATTCATATAAGACAACCAAATTCCGGATTACAGTAGGTCCCCAGTACCCTGTGCTGTTCATACGAGACAACCAAATTCAGGATAACAGTAGGTCCCCAGTACCCTGTGCTGTTCATACGAGACAACAAAATTCCGGATTACAGTAGGTCCCCAGTACACTATGCTATTCATTTGAAACACCCAAATTCCGGATTACAGTAGGTCCCCCGTACCCTATGTTATTCATATGAGACAACCAAATTTGGGATAACAGTAGGTTCCCAGTACCCTGTGCTATTCATATGAGACAACCAAATGGTTTAATGGTTAGGCTCAGTGACTTGATTGCATGTCATCAAACCCCGATGGTGTAAGTCATTGCTCACAATATCGATCATTGGATTGTCTGGATATCTCAGTGGGCTAGCACTATAAATCAGCATCAGTCCGGACTAGTACAAGCAGCCACACACACACACACGTGCATGCACGTCGCTATATAAGTGCAATAATCTTGGACGCGACGTTAAACCCAATTTCACCTCATCTCACCTCTGGATTGCCTGGTTTATTTACAGACTGTGACATATAGCTGGAATACTGCTGAGGGTGGAGGCCACCAACAAACACACACACATACACACTTTTATCCAAAACATGCAAATGTTGTAATTGTCATTCTGATGTACAGTCCGAGACCAGCATCACTTCGGGCCTTCCTCCCACATTAAGCTGACACGACGTGATGTAACTGGAATACTGTTAAAAGCGGTGTTAAACCCAACTCACTCACTCACTCTGATGTACACGTCTGATCGATTTCCTTACAATGTGGGTCAGCTGGTGGCCATGTCGTACAAAGTTATGTCCCCTTGGCATTCTGTAATCCTATGATCATGGATTTTCCAACATTCTCTTTGGACTTTCCTTTCCAAATAGACTGACACACCGTAATAACTGAATGTTGTTTTATTGATCTTCCTGCCTCAGAATATTTGTGAACAAGAAAATAGATTGATCTGCTGAAATAGCCAGTGAATTTCATTAATTTTGTTATGTCCTAAAATACATTATTTCAGCTATTATTTGCAAAATTACCTTCAAGTCAATCCTGATAATTTTTGATTGATATGTATTATTTTCTGCCTGTTGGCATATTGATCAAGAACATTTGAAAAGCAAGAAAATGTATTGGTCTGGTGTAAATATTGAATATATTCACTTGGGAATGTGTTTCCTCTACAGGATACAGCATCTACATCACTTCTTCCCAAATCTGCCAGTGATGAAAGAGTGCTGATGGGCGTGGCACCACGACAGCGCTCCCTGGTGAGGAGCAATGAATCTTCCCAGTTGTCCGTGCATAGCATGGTGTTGATGACAGAGGTTGTTCCAGCCAATGGAAACCTCATCAGTGGTAAGATGAAGTGTTACAACTGATGGATATCTCCCATGAAGAATCAGCCTTCAACAACCCATGCTTGTTGAAAGAGGCGACTAACGCTAGGGTTGTCAGACAAGATGACTTGGTTGATACATGTCATTGTTTCCCAATGAGAATAGGTCTTCAGCAACCCATACTTGTCGTAAAAGATGACTATGCTTGTCGTAAAAGGCGACAAACGGGATCGGGTGGTCAGGGTCGCTGACTTTGTTGATGCATGTCATCGATTCCAATTGCGTGGATCGATGCTCATGATATTAATCACTGGATTGTCTGGTCCAGACTCGATTATTTACAGACCACCATCATATAGTTTGACTATTACAGAGTGCAGCTTTAATCAACAAACAAACAAAACTGATGATGTAATGCAGTAGTCCTGTCCTAATGGCAACACATCAATGAAAAGTGAAAATATAAATAGTTGACATCAATAAAATACAAGGTTTACAAATATTTTCTACAACTGATTTGCCTGGTCCACACTACAGTATTATCAGGCCACTTTGACATACCTTGAATGTTGCTGACAGCGGCATAAACAACGGGACCCGTGAAGATCCAGGGTAGAATAGGTCTTCAGCAACCCATGCTTGCCGTAACAGGCCACTATGCTTGTCGTAAGAGGCGAATACCGGGATCAGGTGGTCAGGCTTGCTGACTTGGTTGATGCATGTCATCGATCCTAATTGTGTGGGGGGGCACGGGTAGCCCAGTCGTCTAAGGCGCCGCGATTCGCAGAGTTGTGTCCCTTGGACACGCCAGAAACCTATGATTGTGGGTTCGAATCCCGGTTTCACCCCAATTATGTTTCTAGGTTTGTCAGCACCATACCCGTGCTCGTTGGGTTCACCGAAGTGGTAAACGTCTGAGACCTGCATCACTTCGAGCTTTCCTCCTACATTAAGCTGACACGCCGTGATATAACTGGAATACTGTTAAAAGCGGCGATAACCCAACTCACTCACTCACTCACCCAATTGTGTGGATCGATGCTCATGATAATAATCACTGGACTGTCTGGTCCAGACTCGATTATTTACAGACCGCCTTCATATAGCTGGAATATTGCTGAGTGCGGTGTTATACAACAAACAAACAAACACAAACAATGGCCAGTCACTTTCAAATTGATTTGTACAGGTGATGATCATTCCTGGAGAATCCCATTGTCAGCATTTTCTGACAAGAAGGCTGTGAATCAAGACCCGAACACACGACTAACACGGAGAATGAGGTGACCAGATCATTTTATTTCTTTGTTGTTAAACGCCACACTCATCAATATTCCAGCTAAATGACGGCCATCTGTAAATAATCGAGTTTTGCCCTGACAATCCAGTGATTGACATCATGAGCATCGACCTACACAATTATTAACTACACATGCATCCATGTTGCTTTGTAAGTGCAAGGACCTTGAAGCACAGTAAACCCTTATGGTGTAAAAGCGATTGGCACTGCCATAATCTTACAACAGAGTTATGTCCCTTAGCTGGATCCTTTTGGGTTCCTCTCCCAATAAGCTGAAATGCCATGATTGAACTGAAGTGTTGTTGAAACTCATTCCATCAACCACTGATCCATGACTGTAGCTTGGTGTAAGCCACACTGACTGACTGACTGACTGACTGACTGACTGACTGACTGACACTGACTGACTGACTGACTGACTGACTGACTGACTGACTGACTGACTGACTGACTGACACTGACTGACTGACTGACACTGACTGACACTGACTGACTGACTGACTGACTGACTGACTGACTGACTGACTGACACTGACTGACTGACTGACTGACTGACACTGACTGACTGACTGACTGACTGACTGACACTGGCTGACTGACTGACTGACTGACTCCTCTCTTGCTGTTACAGGTCGTATTACAAGGCCCAGGATGAGCTGATCACAGCCTACGAGACACTGCAGCACGGTCAGCACAACTCTGAGGGACCAGAGTATGGTCAGAAAGTGGCTTCCATCATGTCCAAAATCTCATTTGCTGCTAATTTTGTAAGTAGCTTTCAAACAAGTCTTATGTTTGTCATGTGTCTTCTTTTTGTAAATAGACCGCCTCCGTGGTCTTGTGGTAGAGCGTCTGCCCGGAGAGCAGAAGGTCCGGGTTCGATCCCTGGCCGCGTCATACCAAAAGACGTTAAAAGATGGTACTTGTTGTTGTCCTGTCTGGCACTCGACATTAAGGGGATAAAACAAGGACTGGTCGGCTCGGAGTCAGTATACTGTGTCTGAGTTGGGTATTCATGTTCAACTGCGGCATGGTATATCAGTGAGCTAGCACTTTAAATCGGCATCAGCCCGGACTAGTACAAGCAGCCACACACACACACATGTGCGTGCACGTCGCTATATAACGTGCATTAATCTTGGACGCAACGTTAAACCCCATTTCACCTTGACTCACCTCTTTTCGTAAATGACGTACCAGTAACAGCCATTGTCAACCCATCACTGGGTTTGTGTACCAGCTCAATATATATGATCATGATCAAGGTTGCAGGTGCTCGCTTGTGGCCAAGATTGTGGCAGCATCTCTGTCCAGCTCAATCTCTGTTCGATCTATATATGATCATGATCAACGTTACAGGTGCTGCTCATGGCCAAGACTGTGGCAGCATCTCTGTCCAGCTCAATCTCTGTTTGATCTATAGATGATCATGATCAATGTTACAGGTGCTGCTCATGGCCAAGACTGTGGCAGCATCTCTGTCCAGCTCAATCTCTGTTTGATCTATAGATGATCATGATCAATGTTACAGGTGCTGCTCATGGCCAAGACTGTGGCAGCATCTCTGTCCAGCTCAATCTCTGTTTGATCTATAGATGATCATGATCAATGTTACAGGTGCTGCTCATGGCCAAGACTGTGGCAGCATCTCTGTCCAGCTCAATCTCTGTTTGATCTATAGATGATCATGATCAATGTTACAGGTGCTGCTCATGGCCAAGACTGTGGCAGCATCTCTGTCCAGCTCAATCTCTGTTTGATCTATAGATGATCATGATCAATGTTGCAGGTGCTGCTTGTTGCCAAGATTGTGGCAGCATCTCTGTCCAGCTCAATCTCTGTTTGATCTATAGATGATCATGATCAATGTTGCAGGTGCTGCTTGTTGCCAAGATTGTGGCAGCATCTCTGTCCAGCTCAATCTCTGTTTGATCTATAGATGATCATGATCAATGTTGCAGGTGCTGCTTGTTGCCAAGACTGTGGCAGCATCTCTGTCCAGCTCAATCTCTGTTTGATCTATAGATGATCATGATCAACGTTACAGGTGCTGCTCATGGCCAAGATTGTGGCAGCAGCTCTGTCCAGCTCAATCTCTGTTTGATCTATAGATGATCATGATCAATGTTGCAGGTGCTGCTTGTGGCCAAGGCTGTGGCAGCATCTCTGTCCAGCTCAATCTCTGTTTGATCTATAGATGATCATGATCAATGTTGCAGGTGCTGCTTGTTGCCAAGATTGTGGCAGCATCTCTGTCCAGCTCAATCTCTGTTTGATCTATAGATGATCATGATCAATGTTGCAGGTGCTGCTTGTGGCCAAGGTTGTGGCAGAGTCTCTGTCCAGCTCAATCTCTGTTTGATCTATAGATGATCATGATCAATGTTGCAGGTACTGCTCGTGGCCAAGATTGTGGCGGCATCTCTGTCCAGCTCAATCTCTGTTTGATCTATAGATGATCATGATCAATGTTGCAGGTACTGCTCGTGGCCAAGATTGTGGCAGCATCTCTGTCCAGCTCAATCTCTGGATTATCTATAGATGATCATGATCAATGTTGCAGGTGCTGCTTGTGGCCAAGACTGTGGCAGCATCTCTGTCCAGCTCAATCTCTGTTTGATCTATAGATGATCATGATCAATGTTGCAGGTACTGCTCGTGGCCAAGATTGTGGCAGCAGCTCTGTCCAGCTCAATCTCTGTATGATCTATATATTATCATGATCAATGTTGCAGGTACTGCTCGTGGCCAAGATTGTGGCAGCAGCTCTGTCCAGCTCAATCTCTGGATTATCTATATATTATCATGATCAATGTACTGCTCGTGGCCAAGATTGTGGCAGCATCTCTGTCCAGCTCAATCTCTGTTTGATCTATAGATGATCATGATCAATGTTGCAGGTGCTGCTCGTGGCCAAGATTGTGGCGGCAGCTCTGTCCAGCTCAATCTCAATCATCTCCAGTTTGGTGGACTCGGTGGTGGACCTGCTGTCGGGGATCATCATCTGGTGGACGTCCAGCACCATGAAGAAGAGGAATCCGCACTTGTACCCAAGTGGTCAGTCAACCTTTCTGTACAGAACAACTCTCATAGAGTACGACCCGTGAAGATTCCGGGGTAGAATAGGTCTTCAGCAACCCATGCATGCCGTAAAAGGCGACTATGCTTGTCGTAAAAGGCGACTAACGGGATCGGGTGGTCAGGCTTGCTGACTTGGTTGATGCATGTCATCGATCCCAATTGTGTGGATCGATGCTCATGATGTCAATCACTGGATTGTCTGGTCCAGACTCGATTATTTACAGACCATATAGCCATCATATAGCTGGAATATTGCTGAGTGCGGCGTTAAACAACAAACCAACCAACCAATCATAGAGTACAGTTATTTACTGCACTACTGCACTGCAAGGTTTCAGGCTTCTGTTACACCCTGGGGGCATTGTGAGGTAGAATATGTGCCAAGTAACTTACTGAACAGGATGGATAAAGGAGGAGAGGAGACGTAAAAAAGTTATATATATATTCTTTTGTGTGCACTTTAACATGTCAATGGCTCAAGTTACTGCCGATGCTAACTCAGCATCAGAGCATCAACAGACACTGCTGTATGAGGGATTTGTAAAAATGTATTAGCTTCCAATAACCTGCAGCAGTAGCAGTGTGTGTGTGTGTGTTTGTGTGTGTGTGTGTGTGTGTGTGTGTGTGTGTGTCTGTCTGTGTCTGTGTCTGTGTCTGCTTGTACTAGTCCGGACTGAAAAACCATGCCGCAGTTTAACATGAATACCCCACTCAGACACAGTATTCTGACTCCGAGCCGACCAGTCCTTGTTGTAGCCCCTTAATGCCAAGCGCCATACAGGGTAACAACAAGTACCATCTTTTAACTTCTTTTGGTATGACGCGGCCGGGGAGAGTAGTAGCAGTAATATCTCTTGTGCTTTGTCCATAGGGTATGGCATGTTGGTATTTTTATCCCCCGCCCAACAGAAACCGTTCAATATTTTTTCATCAAACTTTGCAGGTCTGTCAGGTACATGCTGAACTGGTGCCTTTTGCTATTTAGAAATTTTAGAATTTTTTATTTTTTACGTTTCCATGGCAACAATATGGACTTAGGTTCCAAACTCTTCTTTTTTTTCAATTTCCATAACAAGTTCCACCTCGGTTAAAAAAGGTAAGGGTTTGTTTAGATTTAATTATGTCATAAATTCTGCAACAGGGGCGGGGGATATAGCCACGTTAGTGGCAAACTCTTGGTACTATCATATTGAGTACCCATCACATTCTCACTAAGTCACCTATTGTTGTCCCTTATCTATGAAGTATTTCCAGTGGGTTCAGCATGGCATGTGAGTTAACCTAAATTTTACCTTACCTGACGCTACACAGTGCTATAGGTGTAGCGTCAGGTAAGTATAAAAACATTGCATTTAATCAGAAATGCTCATATTTATATTCCAGGTCGAACAAAGTTAGAACCTGTGGCGATTGTGATATTATCAGTTGTGATGTCGCTAGCATCACTGCAGCTGACCATTGAGTCCATACAGAAGATCATATCTCTGGCCAATCACGATGGAGCTGTCCCCCAGTTTGATGTTGTGACGATAGTTATTGCAGCAAGCACGGTCGGTGAGTGAACTAGCATGTCAGGTGGTCAACTGATACCTATTGGGGGCGTGGCAACTACAGCAGAACATGGATATAACGAACTACAAGGGACCAGAGAAATCAGTTCATTATATGCGTTGTTCGTTACACACGTTTTCGCTCGGAAACGTCCGCCATCTTGGATAAGACAAAACACAATACACGTTATTGCAGTGTTACACGTGAAATCTTCATGGCCTAATTCCACTGCAAGTTCGTCAGCTTTGGTCTTTCTTGGTTTTTATGCCAGCTTTCCTCTTACTATTGCCCGCCATGATAGCATATGCAAGTGTACTGACACTTAGACACAATCTCATAAATTGTATATGTTTAATGTTTGTTTTACAGACAAGATTACATGTACAGGTAAGATTAACACAATGCAAATTTAACAAGGTTGATCCGTCACCGCTGATTGTATTGCTTCGCCGCCATTGTGTTGATTCACCACTGATTGCGTACAGTTAATTGTTACAATAGCGCCCCCATGAAGATGTGGGTTGGAATTGGTCTTGTAAGTTAGAATTGCTGGTTGGTGTCATGTGGTCAGACTTGGTGGCTTGGTTGATGCCTGTCACATTGCATTGATCGATGCTCATGATGTCAATCACTGGATTGGCTGGTCCAGATTGGATTATTTTCAGACCATTGTCATGTAGCGAGAATATTGCTGAATGTGACGTTAACAACAAACAATACTATCATGATGATAAATAAGAAGAAGGATATAGTACTGCAATAGTTGTACAACTACAGTATTGTGATAGTAGATTTAATTTTGACCAATGCACAATTCCTGTGTCGTGATGTGGTGTCAAGTCTAACATGTTCAACAGTGTCAAGGTTCAGTGGGTCTATGTTGTTGTTTCAGTGATAAAGTTGGCGCTGTTCCTCATGTGCTACTTCTATCGGCGTCACGGTAGTTCTGTGGCGATTCTCATGCAGGATCATCGGAACGACATCGTCTCTAACACGGTCGCCATCGTCTGTGGATATCTTGGTAAGTTAATTAACTGTTCTGGTCGGCATCATAAATGGGCTGGCAACTTGTAGAATTAATGTGTTGCAATTTTGCAGTTATCTTGTACAGTATTGTCAGTATTCTAACAAGTTTGGTGTTGGGATGTGTGTGTCTTCATGTGTCTCTGTGTGTGTCTGCTTGTCGCCCAGACATATATAAAAAGATAATCTCAGAACTAATCAACAGGAATAGTCTGTGAATAGTTCAGATAACTAAAGCACACAGTCTACCCAGGATGCATTGGGGTTTTCTTGCAGAACTGCCTGGCGATCGGCATTAATGGCATAAAACAAGGAATATTCGGTCCAGAGTCGGTATACTGTGTCTTAAACACCACCTCACCTCACCTCACCTCACCTCACCTCACCTCACCTCACTGTAAGGGGCGGTCGGGTAGCCTAGTGGTTAAAGCGTTCGCTCGTCATGCCGAAGACCCGGGTTCGATTCCCGACATGGGTACAATATGTGAAGCCCATTTCTGGTGTCCCCCGCTGTGATATTGCTGGAATAAAACCATACTCACTCGCTCGCTCGTTCACCTCACTGTATGTCTGTCTGTCTGTCATGTATTTGCCAAGTTTGTACCAAATTGCTGACATAGAACTTATACGTGTCAACTCCAGGATCAGCCCAGTTTGTGGGGATTGTACAGGACAAGAATGTGGTGTTCATCGACCCCATCGGTGCCATCATCATTGGCTTCTTCATCTTCATCAGCTGGTGGAGGACTGGAGCCGGTGAGTTTTACTATGCTTTTTTCACCAGTGATGACAACTGAATTGGTTCCATAGATTTGAGGGGCATAGGGGTAGCCTAGTGGTTAAAGCGTTTGCCCGTCAAGCCAAAGACCTGGGTTCGATTCCCCACATTGGTACAATGTGTGAAACCCATTTCTGGTGTCCCCTGCCATGATATTGCTGGAATATTGCTAAAAGCAGCGTGAAACCAAACTCACTTACTCACTCAATAGATTTGATCTGATTTTCAAACAGCCAGTATGATTAAGTAAACTGGACAAATACAGGAGAAATTATGAACATGTGTGACGAACAGAATTTCAAATGACATGTTTCCTTTTGGTTGATTTTCAATCTCATTAAAATCAGACCTCAGTTCTTGCTACGGCTAAACAAAGATCTGAGGACATCCCATTAGGGGTCACGTCAGAACGACCTTTCATCCGACCAATCAGAGCAGCGCTTACCAGATTATGAACGTGACAGTCGGAATGTGATTTCTAATCATGCAACCTCGAAAACTTTTAACTCTGAACGAATGTTACGGGTTTAATGACTGAATCAATACAATCTAGACCATCCATTAGCCATTCCAGAATGTTCTTTTGTTCAGGTTTCAAATTTGTAATCGAAAATTTGTCAAAATATGTTTCAAAGCGTAATCGCCAATTTGAAATTAGTGCCGTAAAGCACGAAAAAGCTGCCTTCTGATTGGTCATTCCATTGGTCAGTCAAAGTTCGTGCAAGGTCGGTCTGACGTGACCCGTAATGGGATGTCCTCAGATCTTTGTTTAGCGGCAGCGAGAACTAAGATCTGATTTTAATGAGATTGGTTGATTTTCTTTGTTAAGTACACTTACACTTAGATTCTAAAGGAACACCTCTCCATCCTTAACTTGTAGCATACTTGAAAAACAATGCATATTTATCCATGTCTTTTATGAGATGCTTTTTCTGCACAAGAATCAGATACTCTTGAGTAATGACAAGTGATGCCTGGCGTTCCCAGCAAGACAATGTTGCTGTGATGTTTTGTATCTCAGACGTAGAGGACTGGAGACCCTTGGGTACTACTGTCCCTCTGTCTGTTGGCACTATGCCCATGACATTTGGTTCCTGAAAATGGTACATGGCTTAAGCGCTATGTAGTTGTCATCGTCAATACAGGTTTCTTTTACACTGCTATCTTCCATCACCCGTGAGCTGTGCAGAGTTGCGTCCCTTGGGCACGCCAGAAACCTATGATTGTGGGTTCGAATCCCGGTTGGCCCTGATTATGTTTCTAGGTATGTCAGCACCATACCCGTGCTCGTGGGTTTCACTGAACTGGTAAACATCTGAGACCTGCATCACTTCGGGCTTTCCTCCCACATTAAGCTGACACGCCGCGATATAACTGGAATAGTGTTAAAAGCGGCTTTAACCCAACTCACTCACTCACTCACTCCATCCCCCATGAGTACAGCTGGAATATTGCTGACTGCTGAGTAAAACAATAAACAAAAGCTCCTAGCCTTACATTTGCATCAATGTGTGTATGTTTCCAGAGCAAATCAAACTGCTAACTGGACACACGGCTAAGCCTGACTTTCTTAGCAAGCTAACCTGGATATCTCTGAACCATCACAAAGAGATCACTCACATCGACACAGTGAGGGCGTTCCACTTCGGCAACAACTACCTGGTGGAAGTGGACATCGTGTTGCCGGAGACGATGTCCTTGGGGGAGGCGCACAACATCGGGGAGTCGCTGCAGCAGCGCCTGGAGAACCTGGACCGGGTGGAGCGAGCCTTCGTACACCTCGACTACGAGACCACGCACAGACCCGAGGAAGAACATAAGACTGTATAGAACAGTTGGTGGTGCAGGAGTTGATGATGAGAGGAAGAATGTGAAGTGGTGGAGTTGATGGTTAGAGGAAGAACATTGAGTTCGTGTAAAAGATATTTCACGTCTTTCCTCTGACTCAAAATCCTCCAACAATCCTAAATTATGAATAAGAGAAAGAAAATAGAGTTAATTATAAGTAAGAGTTAATTATCAGAATCTTGGATGGAAGATGTAGATTCCGGAAATGGAGTAAGGTGTTCCGTGTATTCATGGCCTCAAGCACTTCTCCAAAAGGTCTTGTCAAACAGACTCCTTACAACAAAATCATGATACACCCTACAAAGGCAAGGTAACGAATCTCAATGAACCTTTCTTTTCAACCCACCAGGTTACGGCATTTACTTATAGTTTGTATCATAGAGGACATTGTTATTACAAGGCATTGGGGTTTGAAGTCATGATTAAGATTATTGAACTTATATTTGCGTGTGTGGCGACTTGTAATGGTCCAGACAAATGCTGATTTTATAGTGCTAGCCCACTGAGATACCGTGCTGCAGTTTAACATGACTACCCCACTCAGACACAGTATACGGACATCGCCTGCTTGTTTATCCACTTAAAGCATAGTGTCAGGCAGGGTAACAACAAGTACCATATTTCAACATCTTTTGGTACGACCCAGACAGGGTTCTAATCATTGACCTGCGGCCCTCTTGTACTTTGTGTCTCCCGGACTTTGTTGTGTTGGCAGTCCCCCTGTTGTGTTGGCAGTCCCCCTGTTGTGTTGGTAGTCCCCCTGTTGTGTTGGCAGTCCCCCTGTTGTGTTGGTAGTCCCCCTGTTGTGTTGGCAGTCCCCCTGTTGTGTTGGTAGTCCCCCTGTTGTGTTGGCAGTCCCCCTGTTGTGTTGGCAGTCCCCTTGTTGTGTTGGCAGTCCCCCTGTTGTGTTGGCAGTCCCCCTGTTGTGTTGGCAGTCCCCTTGTTGTGTTGGCAGTCCCCCTGTTGTGTTGGCAGTCCCCCTGTTGTGTTGGCAGTCCCCTTGTTGTGTTGGCAGTCCCCTTGTTGTGTTGGCAGTCCCCCAGTGAACATTCGAGTTAGAATTGGTCTTCAGCAACCCATGCTTGTCGTAAGAGGCGACTAACAGGATCGGGTGGTCAGGCTCCCTGACTTGGACAATGCATGTCATTGTATCCCAATTGCGTTGAACGATGCTCATGATGTCAACCCTGGATTGTCTTGTCCAGGCTCGATCGTCTGCAAGCATGGACTGCCTCTACATCTTCTAACCTTGCAATGTATCTGCTTGGGCTTAAATGATACACTCTGTCACTACATGAAGCAATATATGAATCATCAATGGAAATAACTGATGGCCAAAGCACACTATGTACCTGAGTGTCAAATTATTCAGTAGCTGGGCATATATCATCCATATTGTGTTTTACAGTTCACTGACATATCTATAATGTGCTGTGTATGTATATATGTTTTATTTTGTGTTGATACTTCACTGTTTGATTTATCATCTATGTGGCGTTTTGGTGAGAGTGGAGTTGCCTCCCTTGTCTATTAGTCTCACAAACTCCTTCCCAGCACGTGACACCTTCGTTACACTCTCGGTAACGTCGCTGCCACCAGTGTGGGCGCGGCCATTACAAGAATCTGAAAATTTGCCCTCTAACCCCAAATGTTGTAACGTTTATACTTTTATTTTTGTCTTTTGGAATGCCAATACAGTTATTTTTGAAAAGGTTTACGACTGACCATATTTCCCAGATGAATTTAACTTTTTGTTTGTTTGATCAGATTGGTTCGAGACTGCAGACGGAAAATCACCCAAATTCCCCCTTACATTCTTACTACACCAATAACATGATAGTTGAAATGAAATAGGAATTCAAATAGTCGAAGAAAGGAAATAATTTAGTTAGGCCAAGAGTATTCGGCGTCTTGGCTGTCATCGCTTGTTTGTAAGCATAATGGTCCGTCTGTTGCGAGTTCAACTCCAAACATGGCTGTGACCACATATGACAGTGGGGAGTTTTGACTGGTGGCAGCGATAGTATAGAGAGCTCCGCGAATGAGCTATCGCTGTGAGGAATTTGTTAGTCTCACAGGGCAGGAAACGTTGACGCTGCCTTCAGCCTTGCTTTGATGCGAGTCCTCTAACGTCCTTTGACATATGTGGACCTGTAAGCCACTTCCAGCTCATATCACTTTTACACAAATCCAGTTTGGGCGGCATCGACTCAGTGTCAAATCTGTCTGCTCAATAAGATGTAATGTAGATAATGGTGGCAGATGAAACTTGATGTGTGATAATGATGTATGATAATAATGTGTGATAATGATGTGTGATAATGATGTGAGATAATGATGTGTGATAATGATGTGATATAATGATGTGATAATGATGTGTGATAATGATGAAAAGTACTCAAAAAGAAATGTAACAGTGATCATATATACTGACAACTGAAAAGTAATCATAATTTTGATGATACTGAGACTTAGATATTCAAAGAAACAGAGATGGACTTTAAAATTAAAATTAATAATGATGTGATCATAGTTACCATGGTTACGTTTGTATTTGACTTTTAAGCTAAAGCCATTTCTGTGCAGGGTCTGCTTGTATGCACTGATATGTGAATGTAAATGAATCCAGAGACTCACGTTTGTTGTAGCAAATGAATACAACAATTCTCTTTCATTGTTGTTTCGTCCAACAGACCCATAGAACAAATGTACTAATATAATGTACACATATATATTTTTGTTTTATATTTCCATGGATATTTACACACCCATATTACAAGCATAATATTGTTTTCTTATCATTTATTAAACAAATAGATTTTGTCAATCTCATTTAAATCAGATCTAAGTCCTCGTTGCCGCTAAACAAAGATCTGAGGACATCCCATTACGGGTCACGTCAGAACGACCTTTGAACCGACCACTGAAACGATTAAATAACAAGAAGTTGACATCAGCCAATTAGAAAGCAGCTTTCTCGAGCTTTACGGTACTCGTTTCAACCTGACGACTTCCATTTTGACTATGCTTAAAAAATATGTTGACACAGTACTCTGAACAAACTGAAACTGAACAAACGAACATTCCGGAATGTCTAAAATATGGTGGCGATTGTATGGCAGTGCTTCCCACGTACTGTGCAACGTCTCCTCCGTTCAAATTTGTATCCCAAGGGAGCGAGAGATAGATGATAATTTTGACGGAATCAGTCGTACAGGCCGTAACTGTCGTTCGGAATACCCCATTTTAACGTTTTCGAGATTGCATGATTCGAAAACACATTCCGACTGTCACTTTCATGACCTGGTAAGCGACACTTTGATTGGTCGGACGTAAGGTTGTTCTGACGACAGCGAGAACTAAGATCTGATTTTAATGAGATTGAGATTTTGTTTACAAAGGTACTGCTTTCATGTTGGAATGTTGATGTTTACTGATATTATTTTAATATGTCCCTGTTTTGTTTCTACTTGGTGTGGTTATTGCTACTCCTGATGAATGGAAACAACTGTATTATTCCAAAATGACCACCTAAATAGATATTTTTTATTCTGTTGCAGTGGGTCTTCCGTTATATATTTTTTATTATCATGTATGTTACTAATTAAGATATGGTTGCTTTCAATCATTCTGGGTATTTTGTTTTTTTGTTTTGTACTTTGGATCTGAAGAAATCACTGAGGATTGGGATCTACAAACCTGATTTGCAATGTGAATGTAGCACACAAGTCTGATGCATCAATAGCTGATTGATTGATGATTGATGAGTAAAATGTGTTATGGGTGTTTGGGCAACTAGGCCCATTTACACCTTGCCCATAAAAAAGGTTTGCTAAGTACCTAGATATTTTATAAAGTATCAAAACTGCCACACGCTTTAATTTAAGCGAGAATGACATTCTGAACATCATGATGAACAATATTCCTAGAACATAGCTGTAAACACTGGTGGAGTTACCTCCCTTGTATCACTGATGAAGTTACCTCCCTTCTATCACTCATCAGTTTGTGGTTAGAATTTTGGCTGGTTGTACATTCATTTTTCATGTAAAAAATTAATCACTTTCCCGTTTTCTGCACTATTTCCTTTCATGTAAGTCAGGATTTATTGATGTTTCAGGCACAGTGTACAGCCTCCAAGCTGACCAGTCCTTGTTTTATCCCATTTATGCCTATGTGTCCAACCACGGGAGTCCGTATCTAAAAATAGACACCCTCATGCATATTCATGACCATCTCCACACGCGAGCCCGAAGGAGATGGTCATGAATATGCATGAGGGTGTCTATTTTTAGATACGGACTCCTGTGGTCCAACGTGTCCCTGGTAATCGCTAAACTTTCAACATAAAGTATTCCTCATTCAAAGAGTGAAACTTACTGTGAACGTATTAATAGCATCCATCATGTTAATAGCAAATAACAAATTAATTTGGTGGATTTGTGTGGGTTGCCATTTTCTTTGTGTTTCCAAAGCTCTGGCGCATAAAAATGATATGTTATTGTGTCATTGTAACCAGACATTTCACATGGTGGTAACGACTAACATCTGCTGTTTTACCTGTGAATATCCGGGTTAGACTAGGTCTTCAGGAACCCATGCAAGCCGTAAAAGGTGACTATGCTTGTCGTAAAAGGCGACTAACGGGATCAGGTGTTCAGGCTTACTGACTTGGTTGATGCATGTCATCATAGCCCAGTTGGTGTAGATCGATGATAATGATGCCAATCACTGGATTTACAGACAGCTGTCATATAGCTGGAATATTGTTGAGTGCAGCATTAAACAAACCTTTTACTACTTAAATGAGTCAACATGGTGAATGGCGTATTTTCATCCCCTGCAAAGTATGTTATTGCCATGTTATTAGTTTTACATGAGTGAGTGAGTGAGTTGGGTTTAACGCCGCTTTTAACAGTATTCCAGTTATATCGTGGCGTGTCAGCTAGGAAAGCCCGAAATGATGCAGGTCCCAAACCGGGATTCGAACCCACAATCATAGGTTTCTGGCATGTCCAAGGGACGCAACTCTGCACAGCGAATCGCGGCGCCTTAGACGACTGGGCCACCCGTGCCCCCAATTTTACGTGACATATGGTTTATTTGCTACTTACACCATCCTTGCTCAATATTTTCATGATAGGATAGCCGTGTTGTGTTCAACAAAAAGACATGGATTATCTCCCTTTGACCAGTAGTGAGTGTAAAACGAACCTGTCCCAATGTCATCTCATGTGAAAAAAGGATTAATTGTTTGTAAAGATCGCCAAGATCTTCAAGTTAGTCCTACTCCGAACTTGCTGTAACACATCTTCCCGAGGCAAGCGAGTTAAATGACTATCAAAGTCCAGTTTCTATCCTTGCCGAACTAGGCTGGTATTATATGGAGTTACATTTTGGCTGGACTAACGAGTCTATGCATAGTCCAATCAAAATTGTGCACCGAAATCGAAATCCGGTTCGCAAACAGTCATGCAGATTTGGGTCGAGTGCAGGATTTGCAAAGCATATGTACTACCAACTCGTTGTCAACAGATATTTTACTAATCTTTTCATGTTTTTAATTAAGGTGCTCAAGTGATTTGATGCACTTCGCAATGTAAGACCCGTTTTATCACAATATAGATCTTGAGTTTTGATCAGATCGTCTTGACTAGGTGCCTGGGTGCCGCCATTTTGCTTGAAGCAAATGCAAGTGATGCGAGAGGTGGAATTTAAATGGTCCATAGGAGGGGCTTAGAAGGGACATAACTCGTAATAACCACTGGTGGCGCTACGATCGCGCCCAGGAATACCCGCCTTGTTCGGCAAGGGTGGGAACTGGACTTTTACAGTCAGTTAACTCTCTTGCCTCGGGAAGATGGCTGTAACATTACCAAACAATTTTTTGTTATAATATTGATTAATCAAATACTTCCACATACCTCATTTCAAATGTTATTTATCTTTTTCTTTTAATAAATTGTTGTGAATATCTTTGGCTTGTTTGTCGTTGTATTTGGACAAAGAAGAACAACCACATTTTAACAGTAATTCTTTTTTAGCTGTGTTTCTTATACCCATATGACAAGAACACCCATCTTCCTGTGTGTCTGTATACTTATGTGGCCTAGATGTATGTTAACATGTAATCTCATTCAAATCAGGTCTTTAACTCTGGATCCGGGGTAGAATAGGTCTTCAGCAACCCATGCTTGCCGTAAAAGGTGACTACGCTTGTCGTAAAAGGCAATTAACGGATCGGGTGGTCAGGCTCGTTGACTTGGTTGATGCATGTCATCGATCCCAATTGTGTGGATCGATGCTCATGATATTAATCACTGGATTGTCTGGTCCAGACTCGATTATTTACAGACCGCCGTCATATAGCTGGAATATTGCTGAGTGCGGTGTTAAACAACAAACCAACCAACCAACTCTGCATATTATGAAAATAATTATTATAATATTTTGCATGTACAATAATAGGTTTCATAGAAATCAAGAAAGAGGATATAGTTTAGGGCCAACAGAGAGCTTGGAAGGGTTTGCATCACAATGAGCAGTGGGACATTATAATAGTGACGTGCGGTGGCTCTGAGACATGCAAGACTTACTTAAGTATTCTTAATCCAAATTTAGGTTGGTTGGTTTGTTTGTTTTACGCCGCACTCACTGAAGTGTGGCAGTATTGTACACAAACTCTGTGTTCAAAATATCTGTTATTTGTGTGTTTAATTTGTTGTGTAACACCTCAATCAGCAATATTTCAGCTTTCTGATGTTGGTCTGTAAATAATCGAGTCTGGACCAGACAATCCAGTGATTAATATCATGAGCATCAATCCACACAATTGGGATCGATGATATGCTTCAACCAAGTCAGCGAGCCTGACCACCCGATCCCGTTAGTTGCCTCTACGACAAGCATAGTCGCCTTATTACGGCAAGCATGGGTTGCTGAAGACCTATTCTAACCCGGATATTCACAGGTAAAACAGCAGATGTAAGTCGTAACCACCATGTGAAATGTCTGGTTAGGATGACACAATAACATATAATTTTTACTCGTGTATAAATCACCTTGATTTCACTGAATTTAGGAAGGTTAATTCTGCAGGGGACATAGTTCCACATTGAAAACACTGTTTATCTCTAAACTCGAAATCAGTTTTTATGCACAGCAAAAAAATGTTCAATTTTCCTCCACTGACCTGAACTTTCCTATTTTCTTTGAGATATGGATTAATGATTGAGGTATTAAAATCAGGAACATTATATCAGTTTTAACAACAAAAACGAAAGTTGATTTGTTCCTCATTCCAAGAAATAAATAAAGAATTATAAGATATTCTGTCTCTAACAAAAATCCCCCAGAATAGTAAACGCCTAGACTCTTAACCTCTACCATTCAGCCCTACTGCATGAGGTACCGGTACATTTTTGTTTTTGATTATCAGAACAATGAGTATGTTTGTACACCTCTTTTAGCAATATTCTAGCACTGTCAGAGCACAGAATACTGGAAGACTTCACACAATTTCAAGTGGGGAATCAAACCCGGACCTTTGATGAGATGAGCAACACTTTAACCACTGGACCACCCCATCGCCCCTCGTTAGAATGATGAACCACATTGTGAATATGAAGAGAAACACAATTGGTAATTCAGAATAAAAAGCACCTCACATAAACCCATGCAGAAAGGACACCTGTGGCGGTCCATCAACTCTGCCTCGAAACTCAATTACCGTATTCGACGTTATAAGCGCCCAGGGCGCTCTCAAAATTAGAAATAGGGGGCTCTAGTTAGAATATAATTTTGGTGAAAGCGTTGAAAGATCGTAAATTTCGTGGTTTACGCTGACAACCTGAAAAGATACAAAAGAAAAGTCTGTGCGTATTATACATGACAGATATATTTTTTTCCAGAATTGAATTGCAGTAATGAAGGGTGCATATAACACATGAGTGCTTATTATACACGAATAAATAAGTCTTGTGTTCATTGATTAATCGCAAGGGTGCTAACTGGGATTGTTCACAAGCCAATATATCAGCAAATATCGGCGTGGGCACTTATTAGAGCGGGACGCTTATGACATCGAAAATGGTATATACTGGAGTAAGCTGAAGTCAAGTGTAATGTATGACACATCATGCATTGATGCATGTGTCTGATAGTCTGGTCCTCATGGTTAGCATCAGTTGTCTGGCAAACTGGCATATCCATTTCTTAAATAACTGAGGACAAACAAAATTTAAAATTGGTTTAATAAATCTGCCAACTCTAAAAAATAAGGAAAACAATGATAATGGAAAGGTTTTTTTATTCCGCCGACCAGATATGTTTAAAAAAAACAACTTATTTACAGTCGCTATACATAAATATAAATTATTGAAAATACTATACTCACCCCCAAAAGAAACGCGAACTACAGAAGCATATAGAGGAGGATGTAAGTAAAGAGTGAGTGAGTGAGTGAGTGAGTGAGTGAGTATGGTTTTATGCCGCTTTTAGCAATATTCCAGCAATATCACGGCGGGGGACACCAGAAATGGGCTTCACACATTGTACCCATGTCGGTAATCGAACGCAGAGTGGGTGAGTGAGTATGGTTTTACGCCGCTTTTAGCAATATTCCAGCAATATCACGGCGGGGGACACCAGAAATGGGCTTCACACATTGTACCCATGTCGGTAATCGAACGCAGAGTGGGTGAGTGAGTATGGTTTTACGCCGCTTTTAGCAATATTCCAGCAATATCACGGCGGGGGACACCAGGAATGGGCTGTTGTAAAGAAGAGATGTTTCAATGTGTACCAATGAATGACAAAACAATCAGGTAGGGTTACCACAGTGTGTCTTTATTCTTATCATATGCTGCATGTGATTTCCAAACATTACACGCTAATCCGGAGTCAAGGATCTATGACGTCACATGAGCTTTGGTTTGTTTGTTTGTTTTTGCACCAAACCAATTTAATATATCTTGAATATGATTAATTCAAAGTATACGAACCAACACGTATGATATTCGCGATTCTTTTGTCGGTGAGTATATAATTAAAACCTGTTGAAAATGTATCTTAAAAACTTCAAAGCACAAAGACTTATGATAATTTGCAAGAGGAAATAAATAATATATTGGATATTGTATTTGTTATCATGGTGTGTTTTTTCTAGTTTTTTTCCCTACATACCCACCTGAATTTTGGGTCAAAGCTCTGTAAAAAAAAAGAAAAAGAAAAAAAAGGTCTGGCCTGATGATCTCGAGTAAAAGATGATGAATAAGATGCCAGAGATCCTGAGTAATTTGCATTACAGAAGCAGAGTGTGTGATCATGAGCCTTGCACATGACATTTGAAGATAACCATGACACGTCTTCGTGACAGGTTGAGTTCCTGTTCCGGATTCCCATCACAGATTAAAGAAAATGACCTCAAACTTGTTCCACGCTCTGAAATGAAAGCATTTGCATTGGTCATGTAGAACGTTTTAAAATAATAATATTAATAATAATAATAATAATAATAATAATAATAATAAAAAGATGGCAAATATTCAACAGCAGCAAGCCTGACTGTTGACACTCAAGATCTATGTAGTTTTAAGTGTTCTATTAATAAAATCAGCATACAATGGCCAGTTGCGATTGACGTCATGACTGAGACAAGCCCGATATTAACTCATATCCTGCAACCCTGTGAAACAACACCTTGAGTGGACTGGGTGTTACCATGGTTACACTGCAATACAACAGTATTTCAGTCAACTGATGTGGGAGGAAGGCCCAAGGTGACAATTTTGTGGACATACTGTTGACGTACTGGTAAACCAGTCTTAAGGACGCAAATCTTGCAAACCTAGGATTCAAACCCCAGACCACTGGTACCTGGTTTGACTGCACCAGGTAAAGCCCAGTAAAACAACATTGTGAGGTGAACCTCCACACCAGTAGATGTTCAAGAATGTCTTCTTGTGCCTATTATTGGCTAAAAACATTGCATGAAACTCCCTTCAGGAGACTACCAGAAGGAGTTCAAGCATGTCTTTTTGTGCCAATTATTGGCCATGAACACAGCATGAAACTCCATTCAGGGGACTACTAGAAGGAGTTCAAGCATGTCTTCTTGTGCCAATTATTGGCTAAAATATTGCATGAAACTCCATTCAGGGGACTACCAGAAGGAGTTCAAGCATGTCTTCTTGTGCCAATTATTGGCTAAAAAAATTGAACGAAACTCCCTTCAGGGGACTGCCAGAAGGAGTTCAAGCATGTCTTCTTGTGCCAATTATTGGCTAAAAAAATTGAACGAAACTCCCTTCAGGGGACTACCAGAAGGAGTTCAAGAATGTCTTCTTGTGCCAATTATTGGCTAAAAAAATTGAACGAAACTCCCTTCAGGGGACTGCCAGAAGGAGTTCAAGAATGTCTTCTTGTGCCAATTATTGGCCATGAACACAGCATGAAACTCTATTCACGGGACTACTAGGAGTTTGAAGCATGTCTTCTTGTGCCAAGTATTGGCTAAAATATTGCATGAAACTCCATTCAGGGGACTACCAGAAGGAGTTCAAGCATGTCTTCTTGTGCCAATTATTGGCTAAAATATTGCATGAAACTCCATTCAGGGGACTACCAGAAGGAGTTCAAGCATGTCTTCTTGTGCCAATTATTGGCTAAAAACATTGAACGAAACTCCATTCAGGGGACTACCAGAAGGAGTTCAAGCATGTCTTCTTGTGCCAATTATTGGCTAAAAACAGTGCATAAAACTCCATTCAGGGGACTACCAGAAGAAGTTCAAGCATTGTACCCATGTCTGGAATCGAACCCAGGTCTTCGGCGTGACGAGCGAACGCTTTACCCAATAGGCTACCCGACCGCCCCGGGACTACCAGAAGGAGTTCAAGCATGTCTTCTTGTGCCAAGTATTGGCCATGAACATTGCAAGAAACTCCATTCAGGTGAAATGAGTCATTTTGAAATCATTATGACTTCACACAATTGTTCTTGCAGATGATTCTAAACTCTAGCTATTCTGAACCTACATTTTGTGACAGTAAAACAGAAGCAACTATTGGTCATTATGCAACATGAGAGAAATATATCAACCAAAACATGATTTAAGTTATAGAAATCATTCGCATCAGATTCCAGAATCAACAGAATCTTATGATTTCTCCATCATGTATGGCAGTCAATTGTTCAAAGGCCCTGTTCCACAAAGCAATTGTACCGCTAACTTAAACTCGATACTTTACCATAGACCTATGAACAGTCAAAGCACTATGACTGCTTTGTGGAGTCCTGTTACGCTGCTTGCATGTAATGCATGTCAAGGTGCTTGTTTTGTTACCATACAGAAAAAGATAACAGTAAACATTGCTACAGTTCTGTACATTTATTCCATAGAGTTTATCACATCATGCATGGTCAACAGCTATATACAACTTAACACTCTACACCTGAAAATATACAACTAATCGTCTTTTCAAAAATAAATGGTACATTTGTCACGTAAAATGCTGCCAGCTAAATTTGAGAGAAATTCATCATGATCTGTGTCAACACATCCCATGGCTACCACTCAGAAGCTCCTTAATAACAAAAATAGGATTGGCAGACTGTAACCAATTTCACAGAAATGAACATGCTGAGTCATCATAAGTTAAATCCACCCCTCCCTTCATCAAATCTATCTTTATCACATCTACATCTACAGCAACCGTATTAGTAAAATATTAGTATCATTTTTATACCTATGTGACTGTTAACATCCATCCACCCTGTAACTACAAGGAAACTTACCAACCCATAATGAAAATGAATTGCCCTGTATTTAGTATTAAGTGAAATTGATGACAGTCTCGGCCAATCCCTTAACACAGTGCAATAGAAACAAACGATGATGTACGAGAAAAAAGTGGGATATTTCAAGAGTCAAAACCACAGCAGTTTTGAGGAGAAAGTCATGATCCAAACCAAGAAATACACACAATGAAAACCTTATTTCCTTCAAAAACAAAATAGCTACCAAGTCCAAAAAAGCTACAAAATTCAATTCAGGCGAATTTCAAAAGAATCCATTGAGAAGAAATAACAAATACATGTAAGCCAAACAATGACACATCAGAATCAGAATTCCAATATAATTAAGAATATCGTTATTGAAATGCATGTTTCAGCATCTTAGGAAAAAACAACTACACAAAACGCTGTTACTTCCCTCTTCAATCCAGCATGTTTTCTATTGTGTGTAACATCTTGCTTTGATAGGCAAAGGAAAGATCTCTTAGAGAAACACGAGAGGGGAAATCAGAAATCTAGTAATCTAGAAAAGGTTTAGAAAGGAAGGAATATCACTTCAAATTTCTCAGGACATTAAACCGTATTGACAGCGATACTGGCAACTTACTTATGAATGTGATCCACATGAGATACTAGAATTAACTTAGATTGATATTTACACCATTCATATGACAAGGAGCACATGGCTTGCCACAACTACAATCTGTACACACTCATGACAACATTATCAGTAACTCACATAAACATGGTGGAATTCTATCGCGTAGTCATAAGAAACAAAGCAGTGCCAGTCAAGTCCTTTTGAAACATTTCATTAAATATTAAATAGCAAGAGAAATCCAAGCATGCATGGTTGCAGATGTAAAAATAATTTATAGTTGTACCATTACTTGTCTTGCAGATTAAATTACCAAAAGCAACAGTACATAATTCTTTATTCCTTATGAATAAATCAATTATGCCAGGTAGTAAAAAATAAATTAATTCTATATTTGTCTCATGAGAATATAAATAAATCAACACTGATCTACATCTTTAATATTTTACCTGTCTCAAACATTCCTGACGATAAACACTAAACACATTCCGCAAGTGCAATGATATGTACTGATTCAGCCATTATTACAATCAGCATATTCAAAAAGGACTTGACAAGCTTCATGGCAGTGGATGGCGGACTTTTGGCAACCATAAACCCAATTCTGTCAATAGTCAACTGTGAAGTGCTACCCAGCAGCCTATTTTCACAAGACAAGTTTTAAACTCTCCTCGCTCTTCACGTCATGATAAATTTCTCACGATACTCTCACAACTGACAGTTATCACTTTGTTTGTACTTCAACAATAGCACTACAAACTATGGCTAGACAATCATGTGCCATTTTCATTAAGTTTCCATCTAACAGCTGATCAGCTGGCGAGAAACTAGTATTAATATATTTCTGTGTTCTTTTCGTCACAAGATCACCCATACAATTTCAAATCAATGTAGCCTAGCCCAACGATGAAATATTGCACACTACTGGGTGGAATGGTATGTCACTTTCCTCTCCATATACACGTTATTATTAAATAGCACAAAGACATAAATACCTTCCAAAATTTTCAAGCCTCAGAACCTAAAATCACAAAGTTATTTCGGCATAATATGCTGCATTCTAATAAATTTCACAGCATATTTGATACAGGTGTTTGCTTACAATTCAAAATCATTGTGAGGAGAAACCCTCCGAGTTATTCTGTTGCGAGCTTAGCTTAAGTACAAGACACAGGTTCTAGGAACCGTAACATAACAAAGACGGACAAACGGATGCAGAAGAGGACGCATTACATGACAGAATGGTATCCCTGATCTGGTGAGAGTAGCCTCCCATTACACGTACATCTACGCGCTGACGACATGAAATGACAACATTTCCATGAGCCAATGACATTATGACATGGGGTGACGTGACTTATAAACATAATGGTTAATGATCAACATGATGATGAAGATGGTGTTAAATACATGAAAATGTGGAAACGAATGACAGCAAATAAGTTCCCAATAGGTGAAAATTGCTGATTCCATACTCAGGGCTGCACACAAGAAACTGAGTTCATCAGATATATTTTGCGCTAAAATAAATACATTGCATCTCAGGTCAAAAAGGTGTTAGATTTAAATTCCAATTAACATTGTAATCAATCACATTTCTATTTCATCTGCAGTTTATGTTACAAATGGCTTGCCAGAGCACACATTGTGATGATCAAAATGAATCTATGAATGAAGTGACTTACAGCTGTACACGACAATTTCCTGTACATATATACACGGGGCGCTAAGCCCTCTTGAGCATTCATAGTTAGTGCCATTTTTCCCGACATCAAGCCCACCACAGAATATCTTACAGTCCAATATTCTGTCTTTGGCTTACGTGTTTTGATCTGTGTGTGCGTACGCAAGCTCTATAAAAACAACTGTCTGAATACTATACTGATAGGACAACATAAAATGTACCTTCAAGCCAGCCATGCAAATAGAAGCAAGTCTAAAGAACACAATCTGAGACAGCTAAAATTATCAACTTAAAAAGGAAATTTGGTAAAATTAACCCAGTTGATGGCTCCATATTTAAGGAGTGCTCTGTCTACTGCACACTAGCAATTCCATGAGAAGATATCCTGAGGTCGGCCAGGTGCCGGCGACACTGAAATGAGGTCCTGAGATCGCAATGTACATCCTTAGAAGCACACGGTACCACTGACAGCTCGACAGACATGACGGACAGACAGACCGATCTGCGCCCTCCTGCACTCTGCCGGCTTGTTTTGTGGTCGTTGCATGCATCATTAAAGCTCTATGATCACCCACCCTCAATGGTGGTCCCCTGTACAATCCGTACAGTAATCCATACAGTGGCTGTACAGTCAGTACATACACTAAACACAAACGAGCAAAACAATTCAAACTCAAAATAGCTGCCTTTTCACATCCAGAACTGAACAGACCCAGTCTTTTTTAGCAGGTCCATGCAATTCCAGACAAATCAGAATAATAATAATAATAATCATGATAGTCATATCCGTGTTATGAATAAGCACATAAGCTTGCCACCAGCCACACAGGTGTCCCTGCCTGCAAACAGACAAGCAAAAACCACTACATACGCTACCTCCCTGGCATATTGTTCCCATTAGTTAAGTAAAGTCACAAAATCTAATGATTTTGGCTTGCAAAGAACAACTTTGTTCAGTTTTTAATCCAACACACATGTACAACTGTTTCTTCATAAATAAGCCTTGGGAAATATCAGTGTGACGTTCAAGAAGTCTATTGTCTTCAAAATTCGGTAAAGGTGATAAACCACATCATTGGAAATGGTTCACAGATTACATATCCAGGTTCAATGTATATTCCAGTGTTTGTCGCAATCGGGTTAAACTCTATTCCGGGTATATTCCGTAATCGGGTATCTTCAGGCTTGTTACATACCTCATGGCTGTGCTGCCAGAGATAGCCAGAAGATCTGGCTGTATATCAGATCTGTATATCAGGTAACGCTTATCATCGAAGTATATCCATAGGTGAAGCTGCACCCTGGGTATCTATCCACTGGGTATCAGGATACCTAAAGTATCGGCTCATGATACACCTCGGCATCCTTGGGTATCCTTGCCATAATCTCCAAATGGTACTCCAAGTAATAGCTTGCTCCAAATAAATACATGTAGTACTCCATTCTTCCTCCAGATATTTGAATGTATTCCTCATAACATAATCTACTCCTGGCGTAGTTCCTGTATTCTGCAAGCATATTCCCAGTAAGCTAATCCAGTCTGTCAATATTCTCCCAAGCATACTGCAAGCATATTCAAGCTTCCTCCTCCGTGGGGCACTCTTCTGTACGATGCCCTCTTCAGCCCACGGTAGTGATGATGATGAGTGCATGAGCCAAATCCTGAATATGTTCCACCAGACCTGTTGTGTTCCGGGCTACCGAGTCATGCGAGAACTCACAAGGTGGGAAGATGTGCACCACATAGGCAGGCTGGAAATACAAGCAGATCACATCACAATTTGTTGTGTACAAGTAAAACCAAGACATCAAAAGGAGCCACACCAACATGAAAACAGCACCATAAAACTTTTTTTAAGCTTACTGACATCAGAAAATTAATGGCTTCATTGTATCAAATTGGGGAATTGAACCGAGCAGTATTACACCTATATCATGGCAGTCTATAATAATTTGACCAGACAACATCCCTCATTGTCAGAACCAAGTCACCGAGCCTGGCCACCCATTACTAACAAGTTGCCTCTTACAAGTTATAGTGTGCTGGGGATCTATCGTAACCAGGGTTCCCATGGGACAGGGTGTCAGATAAACGCTGTCCACTACCACACTGCCCCTCACATATGAAGGATGAAAGACGAGGGTCTACACACCTGAGTTGACCCTGGCATCGGGATGTTGACAATGCCAGCTGCCTGTTTCAGAAGCAAGTACTCTATGACACCTTTAGACAAGGCCTTGGTCTGCTCCTCCAGGTCCTGGTGGTCCCGGCCGAAGGGGATAGCCATGAGGATGCAGAAATCCTTCTGCAGCTGAAACAGGATATGGAGCAATGCTTACAAGAACAGGATAAACAGGATACAATCACTTAGTGTCAAAGTCACACTCGACAGCACGATAACACAAGGAAACTAAAGGGTTTCAGAAAGGAAAGTCAATTGAGTTCTCGTGAACCATTTTATCTCACAAGACAAACACTAGAACTGAGCACTTCTATAAACATTGTGATATTCAGTGACTTGAATATTGATTGCCAAAACAGGTACCGTATTTGACGTAATAAGCGCCCACTGCGGTATTTGCTAATATATTGGCTAGTGAACAATCCCAATTAGCACCCCTTCTGATAGATCAATGTTCACAAGACTTATTTATTCGAGTACAATATGCACTCGTGTGTTATATGCACCCTTAATTATGGGCAATTAAATTCTAGAAAAACATATCTGTCGTACATAAACATTTCAGGCTGTTAGCATAAACCACGAAATTTATCTTTCAACTCTTGTTTTTTTTCACCAAAATAATATTCTAATAAGAGCCCCCTACTTCTAATTTTGAGAGCGCCCTGGGCGCTTATTACATCGAATACGGTATGTCAGTCATGGATATAAACATCTATGGAGTGTGGGACAAAAACCAATAAATTGAGGTCACAGGCCTGATCCATACCTTCATACATATATTTCATATGGACATGAAAACATCAATACTAATGCTAACCTGCATCCTCTTGGAGACTCCATCCAGCTGTGAGTGTTCCATCCTCATCCTCTGGGCTATCCTCAGCGGCTGTAGGGCACCCCCTGGGATCTGGGGAGGCAGGGTGACCTTGGGCAGGGTACTGTTACCAGCAACATAGTGCATCTGTACCAAGCTGTTGTCATTCTTCAGCGCCACGGCACCTTGCCACACAACTGGGTATTGCTGGAAGAAAACGTTGCACATGTAAAGACGGTAACTTCTACAATCGTCTGAATGCCTTGGTCCATCTACACAAAATGATCTTCGCATTCCACCCCATACCTTAACATGATCTAATGGTAAGTACATTCACTGTCATACGGCACTATAACATCCTGATCAGATATACTGGGTCTCCTAAGTTTTGAACGTATGAAATCCTTCATGGCAGGGACTACACCTTATCTGCCTTCGCAAATTTCCTCACTTATCACAAAATAGCTGATCTCATTTTACGCAATTATTCATGACAGGTCATATTCTGTGTCAAACTTACTTCCAGTTTTCTCATGTGTTTGTCTCTGGGCATGTCGTACAAGGGACTGCGGGTCTGCATGAGGGACTGCTGGATCAACTCTGGCACCCCAGGACCTGGCATGTGGGCACTCTGGGGCTGGGTAGGGTTCCCAGGCATCATCACCTGGGGTCCACCTTGCTCCTGGCGGGAGGCAGAACGATGAGCCTCCACCTGCTGCTGCTGCTCCATCCTCATCTTGTCTAAAATCTGAGGTGGGAAGTGACCTGGTGGTACAACAAGCGACACGTCGCGACCAGGGATGAAGCCTGGCTGGTCGATACCCGGATACATCCGTGGGTCAATGGGCAGTCTGATTCCCTGTGGGAAGAGGTCTGGTCTGTAGAGATGGGGAGGGACTCCTGGAGGCATTTCGGGTCTCTGTCCAACCATCCCTCCTGGTGGAACAAACGCACTGGGTGTTGAGGATGGGATCCGCCCGTCAGCTTGAGACATCATCATCTTGTGATCGTAAGGCAAAGGATAGGCTGGCTGTGGTCCCTTGCTGCTGCGACCCTCCTGTCGGAGTTCAGGGTCGGCCAGGTTGAGGATTGTGGGGGACTGGGAGGGATGAGGATGTTCAGGCATCTTCCTCTCACGTGCAGCTGCTTCCTGGAGCATCATCTGGCGGTGCTGTTGCTGCTGTTGTTGTTGCTGTTGTTGTTGTTGCTGATGTTGTTGCTGCTGCTGCATGAAGTAGATCATCTCTCTGGATGGAGGCCTCATCTCTGGTTGTGATGATGGAGTAGGTGCATTCCGAGGACTGTCTGCATCTAAAGCAAACAAGAAACATTGATGTACATTCAACACATCTATCCATTCTGTGGCCTAGAGTTAACTTCACACAACCAGCTAAACAAACAGTGTATGAACCTAAGACTCCATGAAGCATCAGTATTGTCCATCTATTTGTGGTCGGGCTCACATATTCACTCAATGTCAAACTGAACTAAAACAGAAGGGCACCAAGGTTCACTGATTGACTACATATTGTTTTACACTACACTCAGCAAAGCTCCAATTATATCTCAGGAGACTGTACCAGTGGTTTATAAGATGAGCAATAGTCCTTATCATTGGAATATGAACCCTGATTAAGTACTGAGAAATGACCCTCAGACCTTTCCACAAAGTATCTGTCATAATTCTATGCTAAAGTATCAAAGTAATCATCGTCTAAGATTGAGGCATAAAACAGCGTCAAGGACTCTTTGCAAGGGTACTAGTTAATAGGTGAGGTCAAATGGGGTTTAACATCACATCCAAGATTATTATATAGCGATGTGTGCGCCCGTGCAAGCTTGTACTAGTCCTGACTAATTTCGGACGATTTCATAGTGCTAGCCCACTGAGATACCATCCTGCAATTTAGCATGAACACCCCACTCAGACACAGTATACGGGCCGACCAGTCTTTGTTTTAGCCCCTTAACAGCGGAACGCCAGACAAGTACCATCTGGGATGGATCGAACCCTGACCTTCCATTCTCCAAGTGGACACCCTACCACTAGACCACGGAGTCGGGTCTACTAGTTAATAAGACGTAGGGACCTAGCAGGCTCTAATGCTGAAGTGGCTCTCTATTCTGACCCAGGGAAACAATCATGGGGTACTGTGAAAACACCCTGGGGTGGCAGCTAAAAAGACTGATGTTATCTGGATGTGGATGTCCTTCGGATGAGCCTCCTCACCTTTGTTCTGCCGGAGCTGCTGCTGCTGCTGCTGCTGTTGCTGCTGCTGCTGCTGCATCTGGGCCTCCTGATAGATCATGCGCCCAGGCTGACCCGACACAGGCACATGTGGGTTAGGCAGACGCTCAATCACCTGCAACAGCAGCAAATATTCAGACTGACATACTGATGTCTAGTTTTACCTTCTGGTTTACTGGGCATGCTCCACATCTATTGGATGTTCATTTGGTCATAGGGACAGAATTTGACCTGAATTTATACTGAGGAGCGTTATCCAGTCTGGATTATTACATAAACTGCTGACTTGAACTGTAACTTTTATTTGTCTTAATCTGTCATTCATACTGTCCACTTTTAAAGTATTTTTGAAATATTATATTTATAATTTTAGCATAAACTGATCTAGTTAAACCATAAATTGAGTTACGCATCAACAACAAAGTAAGCATTGCCCAACCTTGCTCACCTGGCCTACAGGGCTGGCGGTCTTGGGAGAGAGAGAACTCGGGTGGCCGACGACAACTCCAGCGATGAAGGCATTGGCTGCTGATGTTGCAGGTGGAGTTTTGACACAGATGGCAACGTCGGGAGATGGTGCATGCATCCTGGGCTGTGGTCCTGACTGGGGATGACGCCCCTGACGAACCTCGGATTCTATCTTCTGATTCACTATCCTCTGAATGTCTGTCGTCCTTTCCATCCCTCCGTGACGCATGTCAGCAAACCTTTGTTCTGCTCTATGTATCTGTTCCCTTCTCACCAGGTTCTGAGGATCGTCTGTAGGTCTGATAATGTGAGGTAAGACTTCACCTTCCCTCTGTCTCTCTCCACTACGGCCCTGATGGATTGCCTCCTGCAGTTGCAGATGCTCTTGCATGTGGTGGATCTCTGGACGATGTCGGATCTGCTCCTCTCGCCTCATCTGTTCTTCCCGCCTCAGCTGTTCCTCTAGATGACGTTTCTGCTGCTCAGCAGATATGATTTGTTCCCCAGCTGCCAGCTGCTGACGGATATGATCAGCTTGGGCCCTCTGTCTCAACTGGTCAGCGGCAACATCTGATACAGACTGTCGTTTCAGTTCAGCAATTTGTCTCATCTGTTCCACAGGTCCTGGTTGACGGTTCTGATCCCTCTGATGGTGGGCTTGTCGCAAGGCTTCAGATGTTGCTTGTCTGGGCATGTCCCCAACAAAGTGAGGTTGCATCTGTCCCTGACTTGGAGGACGGGACATGTCTCTTGGGTTAATGGCATGAGGATTTGTCATTGGCTTTCTGAGACCCTCCTTGCTGTGATTCGGGGATTCTCTGGGACTCACTGGTGACATAAGTCTTGGGTCTACATGAGGAATGAAGGGAAAGCCAGGAGGTCCCGGCATCCTCTGACCTGCCTGGATCCCAGGGATCATGAATGGAGGTGCACCCATGTGAGGAGGTGGATATGGTTTTCCCTTGACTTCAGGGCCGGGTTTACCTGGTTCAAGTTTAGGTTCAAGAAGCTGAGACTTGGGAGGCTGGTCTCTTGGCGTTCCTGGCATCACCTGGAATTGGACATGACTGTGTGCACTTGGCGGCCTCTGAATGTTCATTGTTTCTGCACTGCTGACTGGTACATGGGTCACAGGTAGCTGCACACTCTGTGGTCTCTGTGGCTGAATCCCAGAGCTTGACATCTGTGGAGGTGGAGGTGTTGTCATTTGTGGAGGAATGCTTTTTGGTTTGGGCTGAGCTGGAGCTGACACAGGAGAAGCCAAAGCTTTGCTAATCAATGGTACAGGGTTCTGCATGATGGTACTGGTTGGTACGCTAACCATTGGCTGTGTTACAGGCCCTGCTGTTGATTTACCCACATGATGGCCATGTCTCTGCACATTGTCACTGAACTGAGAAATGTTAGATGGTGAGGAAAGTTTGTTAATCTGATTGTCTTCATGCTTAATAGGTGCCGGCAATGGCATGGTTGTGTTCAGCATCTTTGCTGTAGGCATAGGGCTGGGGGCTTGAAGCATGGGATTTTCGGGCACTGGATGGTGCATGGAAGAAATTGGAGACATCCCAGGGTCATTGCGGATCTGTGAAGCTATTGTGACAAGAGCAGGACTAGGCATGCTGACAAATGTTGAGAGTAAACTTCCAGGTTCAGATGGTCGACTGAGTTGGGAATGTTCAGATTTAATTGCATGCTCTTGTTTCAGATTCTGAGTAAGGATGTCATAGATTTTGGAGTTGACACACTTTTCTTCTGAAAATAATAAATGGTTAATGTGGATTAGATTCAACACAAACTCCATACAAAAGGCTTACTTTTATACTACCCCCAAAGTGTTTAGTAATAATGACCAGTTACACACATAGCTTTTCATGTGGTCCTCTGTGTCATGTCATCATCAGAATAACTAAATCTTTCTAATATTGATGTATTTGACAATGATAGAGTTGAAACCTATCCTTGGAATATAGCAGATTCTCAATTTGGAATCATTATCAGAAACAGTTAAAGGGAGTGATAGACATGTTTATTGGGAGTCACAGGTTGGTATTGATAAAAACCTGATTGAAACTAAGAAATAGACTACATGAACTCTACTAAATCCAAATGTCTAACCTGAAGTAGCTGCAATTGGTGGGGTTGGCACAGGCATGGACACAGGCACTGATGTCTCTGGTGGCTTCTCATGCTTCAGAGGTTCTTGCTTCTCTCCACCATCACTCATACCAAAGATTCCCTTGGACACATCATCAATGATCTTGTCAACATGGCTCATGAAGGACGAGGAATCATTGGACACAGGATGAGTAGCTAGGGACTGCTCTGCTGCATGTTCTGCTGCAACACTCTGCATGATGTTCTTGATGGCCTGAGCTTGAACTTCAGCTGGTGTCAGATAAGTTCCGCCTGATGCAGTTGGAGTAGAGAGTGAAGCTGGTGTTGAGTAAGGAGGAACAGAGGTTGGCTGAGGTGGAGGAATAGCTGATCTGGTCTGTGGTGTTTGATGCACTGGTCCAGTCTCAATTTCAGTTTTAACTGGTTCCGCATCAGCCGATTTCTTCTTCCTACTTCTGAGTGTGCGGTAGTGTTCAGTCTTCTCCTCTTGATCTTGCTCACTGGTCTCAAAATTGTAGATATTTTCCTTGGAGGTTGGTGGTTTATCTTCTGGAAATGCTGGAAACTTTGGGGATTTCCACTCATCTGATCTACGACCAGACTCTTTCTTTCCACCATCCATCTCCAATTTTTCAAGTTTGACAATAGGAGACCCCAATTCGGCAGCTTTTGGAGAAGCTCGGCCCCTTGGGGATGTTGAATTCTTTGGAGACTGAGCATCGCCTCTCTGAGCACGGGGAGAGGTAGAAGATCTGGTTGGACGTGGGGAGGTTCCCGATACCATTGCCTTGTAATTTGGCAGTTTTCGTTTACGAGTAGATCTTTGAGGAGTACATGGGCTGACATCTTGAGATGGTTTGTCATCTTCTTCAGAAGCAATAACCAAATTGCCCTCTTCTGGCTCTGGAAAACTGTAATTAGTAGAATCCTCTTCCTCCTGGTCATCTGTCTTTGCCATGGCACTCTCACACATCTCCAGGCGTGAACTGAATGGGTATGTTTTACCTGAAAAGCTCTCATCCGAAGTTGAAGACCTTCTTGTGGTCTCCTCACCCCAGACTGGTTTCACTGGCTCAGGATCTGAAATCTCTGCAGCATTTTCTTTGTTGATGTTACACGCTCTGGGTTTCCTCCCAGGTCTCGAGGCTCCTCGTCCACGAGACCTATCTGCCCTTGGAGATCTTAATCTTCTTGGCTGGTCTATCACTGGGGTAACATGCTGAGGAATGTCTTCACTTTCAGATTTATCAAAGTCCCATTTATCACTGTCAGAACTCAAGCCAGATTTATTGAGTGGCTCTGAAGAGGATTGATCCTCTGGATGAATTGGTTCAACAGGTGCCTCAACTTCATCTCGAGATCCCTTATTCCTGGTTGATCGCCTACCTCTCCTTGGAACTCTCTTGTTGGGAGTTTTGCGAGCAGGTTCAGGTTTGGGTTCTGCAATGACCAATCTGTCATCAAATAGACTAGAATCCATATCTGGAGAACTAAATATGCTTGTTTCAGGAATAGGCTTATCAGCAATAGTGACAGGAGTTTCAGGCTGAACTTTCTCCGAGGGTTTGGGAATAGGATCAACCTGTTTATCCATTTGTATTCCAGGTACCTCTTCTTTTTCTTCTTCAAGTTGCTGGGGGCCTTCCGGTTTATCAGATGGAGTAGGTTCAAGATCAACTTTCCCAACAAGGTGTGGAGACATATCACTACCTTGGATATGAGCAATTGCTGCTTCTGCCTCTTTCAAATCAGACAATCTGTCCTTCTCATCCAAGACTGGTTCTTCCAGATGTTCATCAGCAGGTTGTAATGCAATGTCAGGGACATCACTCTTGAAAGCATTTGTTGGATCCAGGTCTTCAAACAAGATAGATGCTACTGCTAGAGCAGCTTCATCAGATGCAGCTTGAGCAGCCTTTTCATCATTAGTTATGTCCGTATAAGAGGGATAGGTATCTTCAGGTTCTGGATGTTCTGGGGACACCATTGAAATGGATGAGATACTTTGGGAATTTTGCAAGGAGGGAAAGCTTGGAGCATCTGTTGATGGAGTCCTTTCTGCCATTGAGCTTGGAATCTTGGGCAAGGATGCTGTGTTTGGGATTCCAAGGTGGATTGTTAGGTCCTCCTGTGTTTCTGTATCATCCTTTTCTTCTGGGAAATGTATAACAAGTTTCTTTGGATCCATTTCTTCCAGTGATCGTGGAGAGTCATCAGCAGATTTAGCTTCTTCAAATGTTGGTTTGAATCTCTTTGTCCAATCCGGATCCAAACTCTTCTTAGGGAAGGGTTCTGGTGCATCATTACTGTCCTCAAAAGTAAATTCATCATGTTCAACAATGGCCTCCTTCTTTGGAGATTGGAATAAAAAAGGTGATTTCTTCACTTCCACGGGAGGTGATGCAGTATCTTCAGATTCCCTTGGAGGGCTGGCTAAGATGTCAAATACTTTCATCATATCTGGAGAAGAATCAATTGCCCTGGGAGACTGGTGTTTAACTATTTCCTTAGTCTTAAATTCAAGTACATCAGGTTTATTTTCAGCTGCAATTTTAGGTTTCAGCTCAGCCTCCTTCTTTTCTACGGTCTCAGGAATAGGTTTCTCTATCAGTTTCTCTATCAGATTTTCAGATACATGTTTCTCCTTATCCTTTTTCTTTGTCTTCTTTGGCTTGTCAGTCTTTGGACCTTTGTCCTTTTTGGTTCCCTTTTTGCTTTTCTTCGTTTCAGCCTTGTTGTTAAAACCAATATCAGCTTCTTTACTCTCAGTCTCTGTTGTCACTTGGATTTCAACTGGGACAGGAGTTTCATTGATATCAGGTAAGGGTTCTGGTGACAAAATGACATCAAATTCATGAAACTTAGAATCCACTGATGCATGATCAACTGCAGGAGGCTCTTTGACAGTTGCAGTGACTAAATCTACAACACTTTCTTTAGCACTAATATCTTTATGAATGTCTTTGGAAACATCTTTGTTGAAATCTTTCAGAATGTCTTTTGACTTGTTATTATCATTATTAGGACTCTTCAGTTTGTTTTTGCTAAACAAGGGACCATCCTTCTTCTTTGATTCTCCAAAAGACTTGCATTCAAACTTCTCAAGGATTGAATCTTGTGAGGCATCAAAGTTATACGTCTTTTTGGCCAACTCTGAAATGTCTGGGCCATCAAGTTTTGAAGATTTCTGTCCAAAGCTTGAACAGAGGGGTTCTCGTTTCTCAGTGTTATTTACTGTTGGATGGTCATCTATTTCCATCTTGCTATCCTTGCCTTTCCCATCCTTCTTTTTCTTCTTCTTCTTTGCTTTCTTTGCTTTTGGAGGTTCAAGGTCTTTATCGGAGTCCTCCTCTTGACTAGAGTGCCGATCAAAGGAGGGGAAAGTCTCTGACTGCACTGGTGGCTCAACTTTGGTCTCTTTGTTTCCAAATTCAGATAATTTATGCATTTCAGAAAATATGTTCTTTTCAGGGTCTCTAACAATTGATGTGAATAAGACAGGTGATGGCTTGTTAATTTCAGGTTCAATATCTGAGGGTTCTTTGCTAGGTTTCTTTGTCTTTGCCTTGGACTTCTTCTCCTTTGCATCAATCTTTGGAGGTTTCACTTTAGATTCTTCATCTGTTTCATCAGGCCTAGAATCAAATTTGGGAGCAGATGTTTTAGGTTCTTCTTCAGCAGATTCACTCTTGGGTTTTTGCTTGTCTTCTTGCTTGGTATCAGGTTTGCTTTTAGTTGCTTTTTCTTCAACCTTTGACTCAGATTTACTCTTTGAACTAGAAGTGTCTGGCTTTAGTTCACACTTGTCTACTTTAACAGTCTTCAGTTCCTCAGGTTTGACTTCAACCTTGTTTTCAGATTTCTTATGTTTTGATGACTTATCCTCAGATTTATTCTTTGACTTCTTCTCTTCTTTACCTTCTGACATATGGCTATCAGATTTTTCTTCTATCTTCAAGGTCTTGTGCTCTTTAGGAGTCTTCTGCTTTTCAAGCTTACTTTTCTTCTTCTCTTTATCCTCCAATTTCTTTTCCCGTATTTCTTCCAACTTCTTTTCCCGTATTTCTTCCGATTTCTTTTCCCGTGTTTCTTCCAACTTCTTTTCCCGTGCTTCTTCCAATTTCTTTTCCCGTGCTTCTTCCAACTTCTTTTCCCGTGCTTCTTCTAATTTCTTTTCCCGTGCTTCTTCCAATTTCTTTTCCCGTGCTTCTTCCAATTTCTTTTCACGGGCTTCTTCCAATTTCTTTTCACGTGCTTCTTCCAATTTCTTTTCACGTGCTTCTTCCAATTTCTTTTCACGTGCTTCTTCCAATTTCTTTCCCCTTGTTTCTTCCAATTTCTTTTCCCGCATTTCTTCCAATTTCTTTTCCCGCATTTCTTCCAATTTCTGTTCCCGCATTTCTTCAGTTTTCTTTTCCTTCACCTCATCAACCTTCTCCTCCCTTACTTCCTTCAGTTCATCCATCTTTCTCTCCTTAATCTCCTCTGCCCGCTTTTCCTTCACTTCTTCTGCTTTCTTTGCGTAAGCCTCCATCTGACGAAGTTCTGCCTCTCCTTTCCTTATCAAATCCTCCAGCTGAAATACCTCTTCCTCTTCTTCCTCAATGGTTGGTTTATCAGTATCTTTTTTCTTTGACTTTGATGCAGAGCATGGTTCTTTGTCCTTTGGCTTCTTCTTCTTTGGTTTCTTGGACTTATCATTTTTTCCCAGGTCTACGTTTTTCTTTTCTCCTTCATCCATTGTCTCTGGTTCAGTTATGCTCATTTCAGATGGGAAAGCATCAACAAATGATCTGTCCTCTAACCTCTTCTCAACTTTGACTTCTTCAAAGTCATCATTATCATCATCACTCCAATTCTCCCTTGACTTCCTTTTCTTAGAAGGCTTCTTGCTTTCAGACTTAATGATAGGCTCATCATCATTTAGAATATCCATATCATCATCAGAATCGGAGGATGATTCCAGAAACTTTCTTGCCTTTTTCTGCATGACTGTCTTAGATTTCTTCTTCCGTTTCTGTTTGATATATTCTTCAAGTTCATCAGAGGAAGAACTTTCAATAACCTGAGTCTTTTTCTTCCGCACTTTCTCTTTTGGAGGTTCAGGTTCTTCTTCTTCAGAGTTCTGTGTACCTGACATTCCACTCTCATCATCTGAGTTAAAGGAGCTGCAATCACTGTCATCCCCACGGTTTGACTTAGATTTCTGCTTCCGTCTTTTCTGAAACCGGTCAAAGTATTTACGGACATCTTCTGTTTCATTTTCCTTGCTTTTCTCAATAGACCGTCTCTTGACTTTATCATACATTGATACATATGGTTCAAAGTCATCGACAAGAAACTCAGCTAGCATCTTCCTCTCTGCTATGGCTGCTGCTTTTTTCTCTGCTGCCTTCCTCTCCCTCTCTTTCCTGTCTTCTTTCCTGTCTTCTTTCCTGTCTTCTTTCCTGTCTTCTTTCCTATCTTCTTTCCTATCTTCTTTTTTCTCTTCCTTCTTCTCCTCTTTCTTCTCAGATTTCTCTTTCGTGCTTCTAGACTCTGATTTGTCTCTGCTTCCTTCAGTCTTTTTTTCACTTTTTGATGAAGTCTTTGAATTTTTTTCCACCTTTTCTCCTTCCTTGGCTTTTTTCTTCTGGTCCTTCTGATCTTTTGAATCTTTAGGCACCTTGTCTTTGGATGAAGAGGAAGAGGAAGAAGAGGACTTCTTTGACTCCTTGTGATCCTTGTTCCCTTTATCTTGAGATTTGGATGCTGACTTATTTTCACTTTGAGAAGAGGAGCTTTTTGCTTTGTCAGGTTTTGTTTCCTTGCTCTTTACCTTATCTTTCTTCTCTGGTTTCTTCTCGTCAGTCTTCTTTCCTTCATTTTTCTCTTCAATCTTTTTGTCATCCTTCTTTTCTTCTGCTTTCCTCTCTTCTGATTTTTTGTCTTCCTTCTTTTCCTCAGATTTCTTTTCCTCAGCCTTCTTTTCTTCAGCTTTTTTGTCCTTTTCATGCTTCTTGTCCTCATGACCTTTGTCTTTTGATTTGAATTTCTCAGAAGTGTGATCTTTGTTTTCCTTCTTGCTCTCACTCTCTTTATGTTTGGGTTTGGTCTTCTCCCTACTGGTATTATCAACTTCTTTGTGACTTTTGAGCTTGGCTCCTGAGTCATGGCGTATCTTGTCCTTGTGAGATGAGGATTCATGCTTCTTTTCTTCCCTGTGTTCCTTCTCTTGACTATGGGACTTGGAAACCTTCTTATCTGTTGAAGATGCCTTGTGGTGGTGTTTGTCCTCGCCATCTTTCTTTGCATCGGATTTCTCCTTGTGGCTAGAATGCTGGGAGTGACTGTCATGACTTTTATGAACATTTTCCTTCTTCTTATCACTGGATGCTTCAGGCCTCTTCTCTGTCATCTCAAAAGACTTGCTTTGGGATGACAGTTTAGTTGACTTTGATGCTCTCTCATCACTTGACTTTGAACGCATCAAAACAGGTGGGAGTGAATGTTTTGTTTCTTTTTCTTCCTTCGGCTGTAAAGCTTCTTTCTTCAGTGGAGTCGAGTGTTGATCAGGATTGAACTTGGCAACACCAGGAGCTTCCTTCTTACTTTCCAGAGGAATTACAACAGGACTAGTAATGGACTGACTACTGGTATATGAAGATGTAGAGTCCGTTCTGGATGTAGTGGGAGTTCTGGAAGGTGAGGACTGGGTGTCCATGGGTTCTGTGTTATGGTTGGAGGACATGACTGGTGTTTGTAATGAATCAGAGGGTCGTCTTTTCTGCACTGGAGCAACAAGGTGATGCATTTCTTTATTTGCTGTTGGGATGGCTGTTGCTGTTGGAGATACTGACATGGTTCCAGTTGAGCTTGAGACAGGTTCGCTTACACTGTTTGGAGTACTGACAACAACTAAAGGGTGACTTGACTTTTGTTGAGGTTCCACTACAATGCTACCTGCAATAGAAGCAGCACTGGTAGGGATTTGCTTCAGTTGCTGCTTCAGAGTTTCTGGAGGAAAAACACTTGGATGTTTGGGTGACTGGAACCCAGACATGAACCCTGAATGAGACGAGGCCAACATTTGAGATGATGCAGACATTTGGGTATTGATTGGTGGTGACAATTGTTGGGTACTGACAGCTGATGGAGAAAGATGAGGGTGAACTGTTGAGGTAGATACTATCTGCTGCTGTTGCTGATGAGGTGGCTGCACTGGTAATGACGGTACTGTGAAAGATGGTGTAGAATGGTGACTAGTAGATTCTTTTAACTGTGCTGGTGTTAGAGGATGAGGTGCTGGTGACGTTGATCCTGGGAACTGCTGCAATGGAGGAGCATGCACTACCTGCTGATGAAGTGAATGGGACATAGAGGAAGGGGGTTGGAATGAACTACTTGAACCATCAAAACTAAAGGAACCCATTATTCCTTGAAGAGCACTCATTGATGTTACTGGCATCTGTTTCACAGCAGCTTTTGTTTGGACCTGATTATAAGTTTTGGGTGGGGAATTGGCAAGTGTCACTGTCACATCTTTTGGTTCATATTTCTCGTTAATCTGCTCAAGACGTTTAGAATCTTGATCAAGAATACTTTTACTCCGTCGGGACATCAACTGCTTCACAATGTCTGAGGGCTCAGGTTTCTTATCCTCTGAACCTTGGCTAAAACCAAGACCAGGGGTAGCATCCTGCTTCTTCCTGATCCTGAATTTAGAATACAGTCCAGTCAGGGGTGAGGTCAGTGAGGAAGCGGACGTACTTGGAGTGAGAAGTGATGCTTCCAGAGGTTTGTTCATTACTGGCATACTCATCTTCTCATCCAGGATTCGTATTCTCTCCTCCAGACTTAACTCTCCAGGAGTCTTGGGTTCCTCTGAACTACTATCCGAGAAAGAATCATCTATTTCAATAGCAGTTTCAATAGCAGCAGAGGAAGGACTTGTTTCCTCCTTTGCTGATATCATCACAGATGTAGAGTCAACAACACCTTCCACTTCTGACAGGCCTTTCTCTTGGATAGATTCCTTAGCAGAAGTCTCTGGCATTTCATAAGGAAATGGTCTAGTCCAGGTTTTTGTTGAAAGATTAATATCCTTAGGGCTAAGTTCAGACACATCATCAGCATGGTGACTCACAGATATATCCTCAAAAGCCTTGGGACTTTTCTGGTACTCCGGACTATTACGAATCACAAAAGTCAATTGCTCTTCTTTTGGAGAGTTTGTAGAGCTATCAGCAGGCACAACATGAGGAGAGATCTCCTTGCCAACAGCAGATGATGATATCCTGTCGTCAAAAGCATGTTGATGTCTCTTAATCCGAGGATCTTCTAAAGTGGTATCCGACTCCTCTTTAATAATAATGGGCAGGCTGAGAGACTTCTTTTCATGTCTCTCCACTGGCTCCAGAGGAGTATGAATGTCATGTCGGGGAGATTTGGACAAAGGGAAATACCCTGAATAACCAACATCCAATTTTGTAAGTCCATCGTGTAATTTCACATTCTTACTGTAGGAATCTATTGTTAAATCCTTCTTTTTCAAACCTTTCTCAGTCATTTCATCGTCACTACTGATATATTTATCGTTCCGTCGATATGTACGCACTTTTGAATTTATATCACCATCTTTCACATCAAATTTCCGGCGCTTAGCCTGTTGCCGGAAACTTGAGCCAGTGTCTGTTGGAGAATCAGTATGGTGGTCCTCACCTTCACTCTCATCCAACTTTGTCACTATCACAGGAAGGGCTGACGAAGGTGACTTTTTCCTTCGTGCAATATCATCAGCAGTCACTTTTGTCTCAAGTATCCGTAATTTCTCCATCTGTTTGCGATAACTTTTAGTACTGTCAATTTTCTTAATTTCTTCAGCAAGTTCAAGTTTCTTTTCCTCTAGCTTACCACTCTGAAGACTCTTAATTAGCTGTCCTTTAGTTCCATCGAATCTTCTTGCCACAACATTACGCACATCCTCACTGAGGTTAGGATCAGCATCAGAGGTGTCCTCTAACTGCTGAATCTTTTGCAGTAGTAAAGCCTTTTTACTATGCAGTTCTAATAAGTCAGATTCACCTAATGAACCATTTTCTGATTCTGGGTGGCTGTTGGTTGAACCTGGACTCCCATGAATCTGTCCTTCAATGAATGCTTTTGGTATCAAACGTGTCTTATCACCTTTTTCAAGTCTCATCTTTTCCGCAAGGAAAGCTTTTGTCACACTGATTTTTGAGGCTGTTGATTTTAAAGTCGCACTATGACTTTCACTTCGTTCCAATTTCTTGGAATTTTTGGCGAGGTCTTTGCTTAGCATGGCTTCCTCATAAGAACGTTTCCGAGAAGACATTTTCTCGGGCGGTTTCACAATTTCTGACTGAGGTTTCCCTGTAGTCACTGACACAACACTCCACGGTTGACTTTTAGTAGACACAGAATCATCCATAGACACATGCCGATGAATTGAATTACTCCGTTCTAAACGGGTTTTCCGTGAATAGTCATCAGGATAATATCGGTACATAGGTGGTTCTTCCTCAGTTGGTGTTGGAGGAGTATACGACCGATTTGATAATTCATCATCTTTTCTCCGTGTCGGACTTCTGGTGGGGCTGTGGAATGATACTGGAGACTGACTCCTACTTGGGTCACTATGAAGATCAAAGTCTCTGTGTTTTTCGAGATCAAACCGATCTCTGGAATAACTTTTATCGTCGGACCTACTTCGGTACCGACTTTCTGAGCGGTAAGAGTTCCGATCACTGCCTGGGCTATCACTCCGCCCATAAAGGTCCAATCTATCCTTACTCCTATCATCATAAGAGTCCAGTGATAAGTCCCGAGATGACCGCCGTGACGGTCTCTCATCATAACGTTCATCCGTACGTCTAGGGCTACTGTGGCCACGTTCTCTCTGTCTCTGACTATGGCCGTATTCCCTGAGTTCTTGTTCATAGGAATCTTCTGTCTTGAAGTATTCACCACTGCCTTGGGAAAACCCATCAGCTGACCTGAAACAATAGAAATGCATTAGAGACAAGGAAGAAGGTGTTGGGCAAAGGCTTAAAACCATAGTCTAACCACAATAATGGGTATATATGGGTATTTATGAAGGTACAAGTAAGGTTACCATAACAGGCAATCAACACAACAGCTTTGAGACTGCACATCCATGAGGGTGTATGTAGTGTATTTGAAGACTTTAATTAAGATAAAACAACACACTTTAATATATTATGCAAAGACTTCGGCCATATTCATTCACAGAGAATCATGTCACATGGGATAATTTACAGTAATGGCTTCAGTTTCTGAAAATAGAATGGGAATTATAAGGAAATGGTATTCCCCAAACCTACGCCTCAATTTGTTGGAACGTTATTGTAGCTAACACATGTTAAATCTGCGAGTCTTTTTATTAGAAAATATAAACAAAAATGGACCAAAACAGGCAATGGTGACCAAGGACAAAGTCTGAGGTGAATATTACTTTTTTTCAGGTCAATAAATACATGCATTAACCTCATTTAGAGACAATATTTTTATCAAATCAGTCCTGCAAACAGCAAAAAGGGCCACCCAATCACCTAGTTTTTAAAAAGTAAACAATGAAGGACGAAAAAACATATCCAATTTTTCACACACACACACCTCTGTCTGCGAGAGGCAAACTCTTCCTGGAAGCCCTCAGTGGAGCCTCTCCCTCTATCTCTGTAGGTCGAGGTACTGCCCCTGCTGTTTCTGGCTCCCCGGAAAAAGCCTTTCTTGAACTGTGTAGTGGGGGTGAAAGTTCGAGTCGGCCTGGAGATCAAATTCAAAATCTTTAAGATTGCATGTCTTCAATTTTGTTGTCTCCGTTGCGCCTTCTAGATTATTACATAAAACACAGACACAACATGAGGAGATCTTGACATGATATTTGTGCTGTCACAAACACATTTGTGTCTCATAAACACAAACCAAACAAGGCCTTGAAAAAGCTCCAATTCTAAGTACTTTTTTGTTTATAAGTAATGATAATTAGCAAAATATTCTAACATCATGCTGAAAATCCAGAGAGAAAAAACAGATATTGACTTACTCTTCCTGGAAAGTTTCAGGGAATTCAAAGTTTCTCCTGAATCGAGTTCCCCCTCGTTCATCTGGCCACTCTCCAGGACGCAGCTGCCCCGTCTTCTCCATCTTGTCAAAGAATTTGTTTTGACACTCACGGCTAGCAAAGTCAATCTGAAAAATATGTCATTTCAAATTGGACTACTTTTTCAAAAAGCTAATTCATGTAGTGAGTGAGTGATTGAGTGAGTGAGTATGGTTTTACGCCACTTTTAGCAATATTCCAGCAATATCACGGCGGGGGACACCAGAAATGTGCTTCACACATTGTACCCATGTCGGGAATCGAACCCGGGTCTTCGGCGTGACGAGCGAACACTTTAACCACTAGGCTACCCGACCGCCCCCAATTCATGTATGATCATACAATAAAACTGCACAGGAAACATCAAACATAAAATCAAAACATAAGGCAGGATATCTTCAACTAAAGTATCATCAAATTAAAATTAAATTTTTCTTCATTCAGTTTTTTTCGGTTTCTTTCCATTTTGAGACAACAGCAAAATGACACTTCAAATGTGTTTTGTTGATCTTACCTGTATTTTCTTGCCTCCCAAACTCCGATTCCTCATCTCATTGACAGCGTACTGGGCATCATCAAGATTGGAGAAATAGATCAAAGCTCTTCCTTTAGTTCTGTCTATCACATCGTGACTAACCTCTCCATAGCGACCGAACACTCGACAGAGATACTTGTCACCAACATTGTCACCTACATTGTCAAGCCATACGCAGTTTGTAGGCATGCTTTTGCCAAAGCCAAGCTGAAAACGAATGAAACTGTGAAAAACACCTAGCAGTTTTAAAAATAGGAATGTGTAAACAGTAAACAGATATCATAACTAACTTCTCAGGGCATTTGAAATGTTCTTTTTTACAAATTAACCTTTCAGTGCTGCTGTTCTTTGAAGATGCTAACATATGATGAATACCATGATAAACACTATCCAATCAAAATCGAAATCTAAGTATCATTCTAAAAGATTCACAAATCACTTAAATCACACCACATTACACCAACAGATACCTTAATTTTATTGGCTCCTATGTGCTCCCCTTCCATCTGTCGCAACGCCTTCACAACACTGACGATGTCAGCATACTGGACAAACGCATACGCAGAAGCTGCGCCTTGACGCTTGATATCAACATCCTGGGTCAAAACGTACAAAATATAGTAACATATGTCATTGTCTGAGCTCATTGTTTCAAATGATAATCGGACAGAATTGAGAGATACAATTTTTCTGCTGGAGCTATTGGAGCAGAATAGGCCCCCAGCCCCGAATGATTGTCATAATGGAAGATTAAATGAGGTCTGTGTGGTCACATTGAAACCACCCAAATCTCATTTTAGTTGACTCTTCTGACAATCATCGGCAACTGGAAGTGTATTTTGCTCCTTTATTCTCCATGGGGTGAAGCTTCTAAAAGCAAATATAAGACATCAACATGGTGGATCAAGAACACTACTTATATAATAAGAATCTAGATAAAACTATTTTAATATTTAAATTACATACGGTTTGACAGAAAATACTAAATTGACAGTTAGCTTGAGAAGAGTTTTGAATATCAATATCCAATTTTATGTAAAACTCACTATAACTTCTCCATATTCCTTGAATATCTCGACGAGATCCGATACTGTTGTATCCTTTTCCAGATTTCCTACAAATAATGTCCGCGTAGCTTTTGGATGGTACTCATCCAGCTCGGACTCGGAAGGACGGAATTCCGTATCATCTACTTCTGCAAAAAGACGACAGTCCATACTTGTTTGAGAGGCTACAGAGAACAAAGGAAAGCTCTTGGATCCCAATGGACTGGTCACATATGCATGGAAATATACAAAAACATTGGTGAGAAGGTAACGTTTTGTACTGCTTTCTAGCATTTTTGCAGCCATGTCACAGTTGGGACAAATAGTTTCACACACTGAACCCATAAGGGGGAATAGAACCCAGGCTTTGCTTATGACTGGCTAACACACTAACCACTGGGTTCCCCCAACTGTCCCTTAAGAAACAAAAGGCAATGTCAATATTAACATTTTACATTTTAACCAAGATACATGCACATTATCTTGAAAACTTCATTGATATTTATAGTGAAAAGGTCAATATAATTACACTGAATATTTAAGTCAATTTAATAAATGCTATAATTACTGATTGATCTTCCCACTACACCAGCACAAAATATAGTCAACAAATGATAGCGTATTTCAGCTAAAGAGCCAAGTTCAAGGGGTCCAGGGCAGTTTTTGATGATAGTGAAAGATGCGCGTCACAATGACCCAATGCAACACCTGGTGGTTGCATGAGTGAGACACCCATTCCACAGATCAGAATACCCTGTGCCATCTTCGCCACTGGTCACCCTTTCAAGGGTCACTTCCAAGCCATGACGATATGTATTATTACCTTGCAGTCACGCATCCAATGGTTCACCAAACCCATATGCCCAAGCCTTTTACAACAAAAATGACCACTAACAGCAAAAACTGTGCCTGGACACCTTACAATAGGATAATAACCAAACCATACCAATTCCATATCAAATAATTGGATTTCAAATAAAGCTGAATTTCTGCATACTAACCTACACCCTCGTGCTGGGTAACTTTGATGCGAGTTCCAAAGAACATCTTATCCTGAGATGCCTCTAGAGCCTTGGATGCATCCTCTGGCCTGCGGAAACTGACGACGGCATAGCGCTCGCCTGCATCGCCGACGACCTGCACTGATGTTACCTTGCCGTGTTTCTTATACTCATGGAACAACCCATCACGTAAACTTGTATCTGTAAGGAAAACCAAGTTTCAATTCAACAATAACAACAAAGAAACTCTCACCTCAAACTGACATCACCATAATGGCATTATCACAGGAGAAAACAAAAACTTGATAAAAGCAAACATCATCTGCAATACTAAATAAGCAGCAAATTAGCCAACAAACACTACCTTGAAACATGATGCTGAATTTACACAAAGCAATAATTCCACCCAAACAAAATTTCATCTCTCAGTTGTCAAACACGGGTAGGAACACATGTGAAATGACCTGAATTGAAAGCAATTTCTGTAATTTCGAAGCAAGTACAAAAATATATGGCGCAGACATACCACTAGAGCGAAGTGGTAACCCTGTCACACAGATGCCAAGAGGTTTCCTCTCAGCATTACTCGACTGGTCATCACTCTTCTGTTTATCGTGTTGAGAGTCCTTGCCATCCAACGATGGAAGCTTGGACCCTGCTGTGACCGACCCTTGTAACCGACTGCCATGACTGCTTCCCTGACTGATAAAAACATGAGAAACTATTTAGACATCCCCACATTTGAACTACATCTTAAAATGTGTTGCTGTTCACTTATGATGTCCCAACAAAGAACAAAAATAATGTTGAATCGGACAAGTTGAGCATTTCATATTTTGTTCCTGTGTCATCAACTCAACCTCACTTCTCCATTCACGGTGCCCTTACCTCCGTGACCTTGATCTTGACCTGCTGCTGGGAGAAGACCAGCTTCCACTACTGCTTGATCGAGACCTTGACCTTGGTGAGCGGGACCGACTCTGGCTAGGAGACCGGGATATGGAAACAGATTTTATACGTGCTGGCAACTCTGCTGGGCGAGCGATGACTGGTGGATGGGGTGGCGACACTGCTCGTGTTCTGTCATACCCTTCTTTCTCCGGACCATACCCATCAATCGGCGGTCTTCCTGGTCTCCCGGGATAGGCTCCAGTTCTAGAAAGAAAAATGAAAAAGGTAAAGAAGCAATTCAGATGAGCAACCCAATAAATACGAAAGATATGGAAAAATGTGTCACATGCCCCTATTAGCAAGATATAGTCTTTGTCCAACCTTGGAAATGGTAAGTTTAGACATAACCAACCTATCAAGACAGCAGCAGAAATCAATATGCCATGTCTAGGAAGCCTCTCACTCTGTCCATTCAAGACTTAAAAAAACCCCTCTGATTAGGCTCTTTAGGCATTACACACATGTAATGTGCTGTTAGGTACCAATAACCCGAGATGTGGCTTTCTGCAACTTAAACATTCAAGTTAATATATTCCAACCAACTTGCAATATTGCTGATCGGATGGAAAATGTCAACCTCAGCACAAATCAAGTCACATGACCAGTTGAAAGTAGATTCAGTTCCTTTCACAGACAAAACTTTCCTTGTTGCATCATACCATAAAATCTTTACTCTTAGTCAATGGTCACAATAAGGTTCCAACAAGAGATTTCTGGCCAATGATGATACTTCTGTCGTCCCATTCATGACTATTTCCCAGCACGTGTCAGCACAGAAAACAAGTGTGGTAACGTCCAAAACAAAACCATATAACACCTAATACAATAACACAAGGACTGAAAGGAAACTGTTGGTTTCATCTGGGAAGCATGTCTTATTCATGACTGTTGTAACACAAATATCCCTCAAGAACCCTACTGGCAAGACGCAAACCCAGATGTGTTCCTTGGGCAAATCTAAAACACCTGGCAGTAGTTCACTTTGACAAAATATCACCTAATCAATACACCAGCTAGACAAATGTAATACCCTGACACCACAACTACGTATATCTGCAACTGTCACCGAAGTGAAGATATCAGGCAAAGTCAGGAAAACAAAACTATTTACCTCTTCACTTCCACAAGAAACTTCACCTCGCAATAACGTCAATAGAAATGAATAAAACTTGTCAAAGCACCAGCCATTCAGCCGACAAATACCTCATGTGATACGAGGCATGAATGTCCCTCTTTAAATGGGCATAAGTTCACAGGATGATAATACATCTAGGTCACCAAATGTCACACATTATTTGTCCTTAAAACATCGCGCCCAGTCTGTGTTCTGCACACTAGTCAAACAAACCAGCCTTTAATATAATATTGAGAAGCATGAAGTCGTACAGTACAGCTCAGATATGTTAACCTATAAAGGAGACATAATAACAACTCGAGTACCTGCATCCGGAACACTCCGCCATTATCTATGACACAAGCACATGCAGTGCATCATAATAACACATTACACTGCATACTCACAAACAATAAATACCACTGTAAATTTAACACTGCTGCACGATAAAGATTGATAATGAACGAGCAATTGTTCGAAAGAGGAAGCAAAGTTGAAAATAGCTAACAACCAGGGTCATATCATACTGACCTGCCAACTGACTTTTAACAGTTGAAGCAACACCGGTCGAAGTTCTCATCAAGAGTTTCTAACACACTGCCAACTAATATGATCAGCCGGTAAGGGAGCAAAACGGGCATGTAATGTCGAAAACATATTGATAACAAGCTACAGGAACACTCTCCTCATCACACTAGCAGCCAACAAAGCTGATACAGTGGTTACTGTGTAATTAGTGCTGAAGTAGAGAAGAGCCACTCATCAACCATTCCACACACAGCATCATAAAATTATATGTCACATGACAACAAAAATGAGCCTGGCAACGTGAGCATGTCTATTATTCTCATCTCATGACCCATGATGACTCAGGCTTTTTACATGTAGCGAAAAAAAATAAAATAAAATGGCTGGAATGAGTAAAGATTTATTAACTGGAGTCAATGTAGCTCGGGATGGTAATTTCCCTCGAGGGTTCATCTATCTTGTTTAAATTCAGATCAGATGAGAAATTTCAAAATGGCAGTGTGGTCTACAAATTTCAAATGCCACTGACTATGGCCATACAGCAAGATGTTGAATATAGAATCAACAGGAATTGGATAGAGAATGATATGTTAAAAGTTGATTTGGCAAAACTGGTTTGTGTGTGCGGAGAAGAGTCATGCAATTTCTGTCTGTCTATAAATGGATTTAAGAGAGTAATTTAACAGCAATATCTTAATACCACAGAATGGTCATTTGAAGAAATCTATTAAATGTGCAATTTTCTGTGTGATGTGGTGTGGTGTGGTGTGGTGTGGTGTGGTGTGAGGGAGACTGCTTGTACTCATCTATACTAATGCTGGTTTAGTCTCAGCCCACTGAGATGCCATGCCGCAGTTTAACATCCACATGTACTTATTTCAGCACCTTCGTGCCAAGCGCCAGGCAGGGTAACTGCAAGTATCATCTTTAAACATATTTTGGTATGACATGGCCGGGGATCGAACCATGGACAGAAGCTCTATCTATCAGGTTTTATTGAAAATAGGATTTTGGTCCTTTGTATGTTCATCTGTGTTCTGGATCCAATACTGTGACAGAGATGACTTAGAAGACCTATAAGTTAACTAGGACTGATAACAAAGAATGTGTGGTGTTGGTGACAAATTTGTGCTCAAATTTACCCAATCCCTATATCCAAATTTCTCCTTATAATGACACCCTCTCATAATTGACGATATCTTCATATTTATGCTACTTCGCACATTCAACCTTCATATATGTTAAGAGAAAACAGTATTCATAAGCCAATATGATCATGTGTCATACTATTAAGGAAAAAACATTATATTTTATGTAGCACTGTATTACATATATTGAAATGGACATGTATACTGTATTATACCTAGCATATGGATATCACAATGTTTTCGCACCTCATATCATCTACCTTCAGTCTCACTGATGAATTCAACACGCAACATCACCTCATTGATTCTCTCATTGACCTAGATTTTCATCGATACCTCTCCCAAGGGGATTCCGGGTTAGAATAGGTCCCCGACAACCTATGCTTGTCTCCATGTGGGGATTCTGGGTTAGAATAGGTCCCCGGCAACCTATGCTTGTCTCCATGTGGGGATTCCGGGTTAGAATAGGTCCCCAGCAACCTACGCTTGACTTCATGTGGGGATTTCGGGTTAGAATAGGTCCCCGGCAACCCATGCTTGTCTCCATGTGGGGATTCCGGGGTTAAAATAGGTCCCCTGCAACCTATGCTTGTCATAAGAGGCAACTGAATGAATCAGTTGGTGAGGCTTGGTGACTTGGTTGATGCATGTCATCGTATCCCAATTGCGTGAATAGATGCTCATGATGTGAATCGCTGGATTGTCTGGTCCAGGATTAATTATTTACAGGCCTTCATGATACAGGTGGAACATTGATGAAGGCGGTATTAAAAAAATACACACAGATACACACACACTCATTGATACCTGTATGAAAGATCCAACATAGTACGAGAACAGCTTAGTAGAGCTAAAACTGCCTTTAAAGTATTCACTTGATCAGCATTTAGTCATAATACACTCAGCATCTTAGTCGTTAGTATCTTATGGTCGTTAGAAGCTTAGTACCCTAAATACATGATAACCCACCACACGTACCAGATGGTACCACTTGTACATGACCCTGCTTGAAAATTGTGCTAACACAGCACACTCAAAACTGCATGCATTAGGACTAAACATGCTAAATAGGTATTGAGACATCAGTGACTAAGTCAAAATCTTATTTTTGCTTAAAAAAACCACTGCAGATTATTGAAGCTGCACAACACAAATATTTCCACATATTGTAATAAAAAAAAAGCTGCCTGAAAACCGACTGAATTTTTTTTCTTCAGCCAAATAGTTTAAGCATACTGTTCTAATTGTGTACTAAGTTCAAGGTTGAATGACCCAAATACATCAGTGAGAAACACGGACAAACAAGCATGCTAAATAGACAGAAAACAAGTTCACCTATCAGTGTGTTTTCCATGGGTGAATTTGCCCACCCCAAATATCCTCTCCCTTGGGCGTCCTCGATACTGTTGATCATTATTAAATACGCTAGTTGGCTTTTCAAATGCAGTTGTGTCACTTGGAGGCAGGGTTTCATCTTCAGTTCTGGAAAACATAACATATTCATACAAACTGGTTCATAATGCCAAAATAGAAAGCATGCTGTTAATATCCAAATGTTCATGCACATGTTTTAGTACAGGGCTTCGGGCATTGGCTAAAATGATGACAGTGGAAAGTAAAGAATGTATATTTGACAGATTCCACTGTGTTTCAATTGCAATATTATCAACATCAACATAAGGTAATATCCTTTGTCATTCCTTCTTTCAGAGATATTATCCACAATACATGATAGCCTCAGGAGCATTCACTGGAGTGGAATTAGGCACATTATAACTTCTTTATTATAATACTCATATTGCCTAATGTCCATTTGGGATAGGAAGGCGTAAATATGGGTTAAACATCAATAACATTAAAATCTAGGCTATGCAATAGCACAGACCGTAGTTCTTTCAGTCTGTGTTATTGTGTTTTCACTAAAAAGGAAAACCTTCAATTAAACAAAAATTGCATAAGAGGCAGTCGTGCATAAACAACAATAGTCAGAGCACAAAAGCATCTTTCTTGATCTTCCTAGGCATTGAAGTGTAAGCTAGGCCTTGCAACTGACATGAACAATAGGTTATATTGTGGCATTCTGTGGTGTCATGGGGTATGTTGAGCAACATTTCAACACGTGCACTTCATTCCCTTCAACAGCAATCCAACTTTTCTGGGGCAGTTTCACTGACGATAATACCTGGGCATCCTCACCCTATAATACCACGGCAATCAGTTCCACTGACGATAAAACCAGGGCATCCTCGCACTATAATACCAGGGCATCCTCACACTATAATACCATGGCAATCAGTTCCACTGACGATAAAACCAGGGCATCCTTGCACTATAATACCAGGGCAATCAGTTCCACTGACGAGAATACCAGGGCAAACAGTTGTGCGAGTAATCAGTTCCACTAGCTATTACAACAGCAATCATTTCCACTGAATACATATGGTTGCTAAGAATTCTGGGTTAGAAAAGGGGCAAGGTAAGAGGAATGGAGGCCATTTATTTATTTACAGACTGCTGCAGTGATTTTCTGTGGAAAATGTCTTCAGGACATTTTGGATGACAATGTATTAGAAAATGAACCAATCTGAAACCCTGCACTGTGACAGAGCAGGATTGCAGATGTAGAACAGACAATCCACAGAGCATAATACCAGTGGAACTCAACACAGTACCTCCATCACAAGCTCCACCAACCATAAACCAGGGTAATCAGTTCCATATACTTCAGTACATATGCACCAGGTTCCACTGATTGCAGTACCTATGAACTTGAGAACAGAATAAATGGCCATTGCATTCTGTCACTACATCCTATTGAAAAAGGTTGTCAATACAGTTTTCCAAAACACTGTGTAAGTATGGATTTGTGAAACACCCATGCATATGTACTGCCTGTTATATAAAGAAACTCACAGAGCCATCTTATTTATTGACCACAAAAACAGTGTACATAGGTAGCATGAACAATACCGTGAGGACAATGGGCCTGACCATTTGATATTGTGGATGAGCCTGGGACGGTTCTGACAATAAGTAATTTGTTCCGGGGGAATAATAAAAGACATTTTTACACAAACAAATAATAATAACGTTTGGCTCCTCCCTGAACCTATTATTTTCCCTTCTGCTCAGCCCTTATGATAATGCTGTAGTCCTAAATGAAGCAGGATTTTTCTCAGGTTCAGATTCTGAAACAGCCATTTCATGGGGTTTCCTTTTCAATTTAAATGTAGTTGCTTCTTTCTATCAAAATCATATATTTTCAGAGACAACGCCTGAAGTCTTGGGTGGCCATGGGACCCATCCATATTACTGGAACAAAAATGTTTTTCTTCCTCACATAAACATGTCATTCCTTAAACAAACAAACCCAAAATCAACATTTGATATAATACCATAAATGTCATTTGTGTTCCTCCAACCCAAAATGTCTGGTCAAGTCATTAGCAGCTGAAAACCAAACAGAGGAGAAGCTTTCAACACCTAAATGTTTGAACAACAACTTCACTGGATGTCTTTCATTCCAACCATATCTGATCAATCTTGAGACATTTAACAAGCCCTTTCCACACCCGTTACTATCTAGCCATGAAGCAAACCCTCTCTCTCCCCCAACGAACCTCCATGCACTTATGTGTACTTTAAAGCACCAGAACCCAAAGCCTTTTTATTGGGCCATAATAATGCCTGCGAGTGTGATCTGGATGTCTGTGCCCCTCCCCCCTCCCTAGGGGAAGGATGATGGTGTGGGCAACTGATGGGGGGTCCCCCTGATGACCAGGACTTACACAAGGGATTTAGCACAAGGGTCACAGTGTGAATGATGGGAATTCTTCTCTATAGGGGATCTAATAAAGGGCTGTGATATCAACACCAGACTGAACACAGGGTCCATTGGGTGGTATTATTGTTGAATGCTTCAAAAGGTTTGGTGATCAATTGCATTGCCTTGGTGAAGTATCGAAGCAGAAGCAATGCCGACGTCACTAGGCACATAATATGCACTGGATTTGAAGTCGTGATCAAAGCTTCACCATGGATTTACTTTTCAGTTCGGCTGCAGTATTGACATTTTTGAGTCAGCCAAAATAGCAACTTTAATCAAGATGGTTCAGTCATTATTCTGCCATTGGGGGAGATCAAGGGAGTATCACACACCAGGGAGCTTACACAACCACAGTCATTAATCTTTGGAAAGTATTTCAGGAAAACAAGAAGGCAATGACTCTTCTCTTAGGAGGGGGATGGTCTCATGCTATGCTGAACAGTTCCTGGACTGTCTACACTTATTAGCAGGAATAACACTCTCAACTGAACCCTTAAAGTACAGCTCACAAAGGAATGCACAACACAGGATGCTGATGGGCTTTCCATCCTAATCAAACAGGAATGTTGAACAGATCTACATTTTAGAGCTTGATCAGTTTGAGATTGATTGGTGAAGGGTCTTATTTCTCATGCAGTGTTGAGTGTATTGCAAGGGTCTATTGGTCTTCTTCCACCATTGTACTGGTATTCAAATCTAAGGACCTTAAATCTGTCATCTTAAACATTAGGGTCATGATAGGGACTCTTCAAAATTCATGAATCATTTCAAACTCTTCTGTTTAATGCAACCAACAAGTGGCTTGAGAATCAGTTCAACACGACACCATATTAGTAGTTTCACAAAACAAGATGAGAAGAACAATTCTACTTAATTAGATGACACTACTGACTGCATCTTTGTGTTGCCTATATGTGTGATGTGCTAATTTTTCTCCAATGTGTGGACTTCTTGGGTGGTCAACAGTTTATACATTGCAAATGCACATATCAAATAGAATTCAAAGGGCACAGAACCTTCATAAATCAAGGCACTGTATTACATCTTTGTCTCGTAATGAACTTCCATCAGCTGGACATGGCAATTTCTCCTTGTGCCAAGATGAAGTGATTAATGAATTTCTGACCAGTTGAAACAGGCCAGGTGCTGCTCCCTCCTGACAATGGCTGCCTCTTAATATGTTGATATGAAAACCAGATTATTGTGTTGAACAGTCAGGCTTAGTCACACACAAATTTATCATTTATTTTAACTTGCGCGTGGTGAAGACAAACATAAGGTTGCATTTTTCAATAACAGATTGATCTGATGCAAGTTTTATATGGTCAAATAAAGCTGCACAATTCAGTCTTATGTGATGTGCTGTTTTTTACTTCAAATGACATAATTCCAATCAAACATTTATGTGCGCAAAAATGAATAAAACTGACCAGACAATTATTCAAAAGAAATCATTCAAAAGGACTAACATCAAATATTTTCCTCGACCTATTTCCTATTCGGAAGTGGCCCTTCTGAGCATGTATCCTGATCAGACATGTTTGCCTAATAAACTCAGTTAGACTATCACCCTCGGACAGCAAGGTCAGCCGTTGGTCATCTTTCCAATTCAGTGTTAAAGTTAAAGCCAATAGCTACTTCAAACAGTTATTCGACCATCTTGATTTGAAGGTTTCATAAGCAAGTTTCTCATCCGCACCTTCCCTCATTATCTAAACATGAAGAGTGAAAAGATCCATTAGCCTTTCTGCTTGTCTCATTGTGATCCCAACAGCCAGCAGATGTGGACTGGATCATTACATCATAAGTATTTCATTAAGTTACCTCATCAGACAGACAACCTTGGGGCTGCGGCCTGCAGGCCTTGCTGACCAAAGGTCAAGGCCATGTAACGAGGAATTACAGTACTTCAGTGGAGTTATTACCCTTCAGAAGTACTATAAACAGATATTGTCCAGTTGGGGAGAACTGACCAGACAGAAGATGCAGATCAAGTATGCCCCTGGGAAAGATTGTTATTACACACCAACAGCTTAATCCACTGACAACATCTATGTATTTCATGGTCAACCAGACCCACAGGCTTGGATTATTCATTGTCTCAAGTGGTAGACCCACACCAATTCAGCTGCATACCACCGCACATATCAGAAATTCAAACCTGCTTTGCTATTTCAGGGTCTGGGGCACCTCAACTCCAGATGTTTTATCTGTCCCTGGAATGGTCATTTGCACCACTCACTCTAAACAATTCTGTCAAGATAATATTTCAGCCAATGCCCCTTTAATATTTATGGCCAATTAAGGCAAAGCCTTGATGGTATATTGAACTCTGAACAGCCTCCTTCAACCCAATGGCTGTTGAGGCCAGGTGCGAGTAGCTGGTTTGCAGGACCAGTTTAACCTCATTGGTCAGGTACAATGGGCAATTGCTCCCAGATGGTCTCTGCAGGAGCATTTGATGAAGCCCCTGCAATTGTCTAAGCCTACTGGAATGAGAAGCATGTTTTTAGTTAGTCTTGGTTGTTTAATGGCATGCAGAGCTGTGTGTCTGGCAAAGGCTTCCTCATTCATTATTTGTAACCTCACTCTGCAGTCACAGGGAGGTTGATCAGACCATCACGCAATGTCCATTCCCATTCCACTATTATTAGTTCCAGGGATCGTTCGAAAAGAAGGCAGAATCGTATAGGATCCATTAAGCAGAAAGCCATGTATTTTTACTCAAGTGCTGGAAAAGAAAATCACCATATGGAACACCAGTTAGCATTCTGAAATGTCAGCATAATGAAGTACAAGAACAAAGGACCTTCTGTAGTACCTTAATACAGCAGTCTACATTATCAACCGATCAGGCAATTTGCACTAAACCAACTAACCACAAGCATTTCAGCTCACAGACTTTGATGTAAATATTCTCCCAACTTTAGTGGGCATTGGCTCTTGGTATCCTCCATGGCATATTGACAATCTTGTTTGGCAGCTGATTCAGTTCTTACTGTGATTGAAATTTACAATTAGTACTCATTAATGATTGATACCAGGGATTTATAAAGTTGGCTGAATAGCCATTCCCATTTTCCTTGAGACTTGCACCAGTTGGTGAAGAAAATATGTCATAGGCACAGTTTTAGTCAGTTCGAATTAATTCAACCTAATCCATGAACTGAATAGATATTTCACTGAAGCAATGTTAGTGCTTAATGCTGTTTGTTCCAACAACCTGTCTCCAGATAGCTTCTCATTATAGACATGATCAAAACCATCCAGGCTCTCAATAGTTGGATCGTGCAGTGTACAGAGAGAATTGATCCAAGGTAGTTGCCATGGCAACAGGCCATTAGAGTAATTGAGGATCAAACATACTGGAAGGTGGTTGTCAATAATGTCTGACACTGCCCATGGGGTTGCTATCTGTATTCAGAGTGAAATGAGATTTTCGCCTCCGATAGCTGGGCTATTGACCCCCAACGGTAGGACTGTGGGATATTTGATTCTGTATTCTCTTTCAACTCACCTGTTACTTGATGGAATTTTATTATCACTGTTCTTCATCTACATCCTGATCAGTAACTACAAAGTAGTATTATGCCGATTTCTTTTTCTCTCGACAGGGAATTCCGCTGAATATTAGATGAACATTGATTTGCCGAGAGTAATGACAGTGTCTCCCATGTGACATTAAAGACAATGTTTTCAATATGAAAGAGAAATGTCAAGCCACGGTTGTCATGGAAACACTGCATGTGACATTTCGTCTAATGAAATTAAGCTCATCTAAGATGATTCTTTCTTGTCACAGAAGGATGAGAAGGATGAGAAAAATACACGTCAGTGGTCCATTATTTTTCACGATTCCATTACATAAAGACTTATTTCCAGAGTTTGAACAGCCCTTCTAATGTTGATCATCATTTCAGTTCAACTGTACTTTTTTCAAGTTTCTATCATGTTTTCTTTGTGATGCCAATTATTTGCTGGGATCAAAAACAGCATTGTGCCATTTGTGTCAAGCCATCTCTGAGGATTTCATACATAATGCTGGATGTCAGAACCAGCCACCACTCTTCAATTATGAACAACTCACACTAACATTATTAGTGATCCAGAAAGGTCAGCCCTATATTTTACCCTGTTCAAAATCTGCTGGGAACAAAGAGGTCTGCCACTCGGCCAGCTAAGTACAACAGTTGTGAAAGCCTCATATCTCAGAAGCTCAGCGTCCACACCCCTTCAGCAGTCCCTTTGTGCTCCTTGCTTTTGTCTTGTGAAAGGGCTGTCAACCCTGGCCAGTCTCCATTAATATTTGAACTGGGAAACTGAAGACACGAACAAAACCTGGCGGCCATCTTACCCCCGTCAATTCTGGTGAAGGCTGACATCAGTAAAGCTTGACAAAGTTCTCCAACTTTTTCCGATACTGATCATTCAGATATTGTGCAAGAATCATAAACAGATACTTTGTTTTTACAGTTTTCCAGCATTTCTGTTGCTATTTTCAGAGGAACAAGAACTCTCTTATTGAATATCACCATAAAATGGTGATAAATGGTTTGAAATTCAAGAGGATGTCACAATGTCTGCTTCAAAACAAAGTATCAGATATTGACAAAAGACATCAAAACCAGTGTCAGAACTCTCTCTATTTTGACAAAATACCTTTCAAAAAACTATTTCGTAGTAAACCATGAATGTCTGCCTGTTAGCCACGTCAAATATCAGCTAGCCACCAATGATATTTTGTCCTCTCTGTATAAGATAATCAATTTGACCAAATGGCTTGCTGTGATCAGGATTATCAATAAATCAGGAGTTATTTACAGACATGTAATGGAATATCGTGAGGCGAAAACAGAGCATTGTGCAATATCCATCAGAACATATAAGGAACAGAAGAAAGAAAGCACAAAATGGTTGTAGACGGGAGAAAACCAAGTCTGCATAAAATGAGTGAATGGACCTTCAATCTACAAAAGGCAGTCTGGAAAATTTCACGTTCTTTACATCAGGAATATTCAGTTTGCAAACCATATTATTATTTTGTTCTTTTTGTCAAAAGCATCTATCTAAATTTTGAAATTTTGGTTCAGACAAGAGGCCACTGAAATAATGTCAGGGATCTGTGGGGACTTCTATCACAACATAGAAACAGACCCACTTGTGATACAGATGGACATGAGAAAATGCAATGGCATTTGATTCTTTAGTCCTCTCATGTGTGTTTTTTTCTATGTAGTTTTCTATCTGCAGCTATTATAGACAAAGCTGATCACGTTGCTTGGAGCTCAATACATTAAATATGCTTTCTCCTCTGCTTTGTCTGCCTCCAAATCAGCTTGCATTAGAGTTGTACACTGGGAGTCTGTGCCAATAACCACAAGTCGGTGCCTGATATCATAACCTTGTGCACATGGCATGTTGGTTGAAAAATGACTGGAAAAGTGCCACACTCAGCAATATTCCAGCCACATGACTGCAGTCTGTAAATAATCGAGACTGGACTAGACAATCCTGTGATTGACATCATGAGCATTGATCTACGTGCCACCTTTAAATCAGTTTAAAACATGTTAATCAATACACTTCATTTCGATGCAATACACGACTCCATAAAGTCATGATACAATACACGATACAATATGCAGTACAAAAATTACAAACTGCACTTCACATGTAAAGGGTTCTTTTGATATTTGACCTACCATTGTGATGGTGATTGCATTGCGAATTAATGTACACCAAATGGAACACCAATTACACAAGCACTTACAAGAGGTATTTACTAATATTTAGAAATAGATCAGTGTTCAAAATCACCCTTGAAATTCAAGGGGTTGTCACTGCCCTTATGTTAAAATTTAAAGATTTAGGGGGTCCCTGGATTTAAATCCTGTAGGAGCAAATTTAAGGACACCCCCCCACCCCACCCCAAAACAAATTCATTTTGAACAGGAGTGAAGTTCCTAAAGATGCCACAGTGAAACTAGTTCTGTAGCTTGAGTATAAATTTCATGGAAAAGTTAGCCAGCCATTCAAAATGGTGTGGTTATTGGAGGATAAATCACAATGATACTCCATCAGTCAATGTTGTCAGTGAGCATCCTGAAATGAGATCTCGTGCCTCATGTAACCAAATCAGGTTTAGGTCAATCTGACCTGGCCACAGATAATTGTAACCAAATGGAAACAAGCTACTTGTGACCTATGTAACACTTAACACATCATGTTGACACAACAACCTAATTTGGCTTATTCAATATTCCCTTCACATGAATGAAAGTCAGTTCAATCATAAATCCCAAATGTTTTATACACATAAGTTAATCAATTCTATTTCGGATTACAATCTGATCATGTGTGCCATAATCACCATTACTGGTTTCATGTAAACAGGAAAAAACAAAAAACTGGAAGATCGCTTTAAAAGTTATTGAAGCGATTATTTCAAGTTTGGGCAATATCTTAACTTCCACAGCTTATCTTTTGACATTAAACAGGTTTCCATGACTAACTCTCAAGAACTGTTTTTATTTCTATCTGAATCAAAGCTGCAAGCTGCTGTGAGGTCTGTGATATCTTCAACTTGAATGTCCTGGGGACAGCAGCACATTCTTCACTTGTGAGCAACTGCCTGAAGTTGCCCTTATCAGAAACGGCAATTCTGAAAGGCTGGTTTCTTCAGTTGGCACCAGCTTCAACAACCTCTTTCAAATATGCTCCAACAGATTTCCTCCCCTGTGCCTGTTTGAAATTCAAACCTACAGGCAGAGAACCCACTTGTAGAATCTGCAAATGGGTTTAGGTAGCCAAAGCTGGCGATGGAAGGTCATTCTCGCTTTAACAAGTACGTTGGGAGCAGCTATGTGAAAAAAGGAAACTTCCTGGTTCACAGATCAACACTGATGTCATGCTTTTCTCCCAGAAGTTGGACAATTCCAAATGTCTCTTATACTGGTAGTTCATACTGACATAATGGGAAAATGCAAATTTCCAAAGATTGAGAATGCTTCAAGTGAGTGTGTGCTTGCTATTTGTTCTCTTGGTGCCATATTAAAGTTCTGAAGATACTTGGTGTTCGTAACATAATTCTTCTTCCCATTCGAACAAATTTTGCCATAGTTATGAAATAATTCTGGCTGCACATTATTCGTGATCAACATAAATGTACTTTAACTCTTGTCCCAGATATTAGAACTTGACTGACTCCAAACCCTGCTTCACACTGTCACTGATAAATGCCTTTAAAATGTCTTCATGACATTTTCACACAATAATAAACATTCATTTTTCCTAAACAAGTCAAAGATTTACTTAATGTGAAGCTGACAAACTATTCCCAACATGTCCACACATTCACATAAACATAACAAACAGATCTAAGACACAAGTTGCTTATCACTGATGATGTCTTTCCCTCACATCATAAATAAACCAGCTCCAAACAAAAGTCATCTCAATATTTAATGATGTAGGACATGTCCAGGTTATCCTAAATGGGATATTCATATTCCTTGCAGCCACAAAGGTCACATTTTAACTCCATAATGATCCAAAATAGCCTATTTGTTCATACAATACTCAACAAAGGTGAACTGGCAACTATCCAACATTTTGAGCAAAAACAGGCCACCTTTTCCTTCTAAATATATCCTGTTCACTGGCAGATGAAAATCCAGATAAACACAGGGCTAGCAACATTACAATGGCCGATGATTGTAGATACAGTACAAGTCTGCCCCAATCAAATCGCTGGAATCAAGGGCTGGCCACAACACCTGTGGCACTTAATGGAAATACACAGGTATCTGGTATGTGAATGTTACACGTTTTCAACTGCTGACGAGGCAGGGCCAGGTCCAGATAGCTTCAGCTCTCTCCTTGGTCGACTGTGTACAAGCTGGTGCTCAGTTACACTGGAAAACTAGCCCTGAATAAACAGCATGTGCAAATGAAAGGCATTTTTTGTTTAGGTTATACTGTGAGAATGTTGATATTTTTGTTTAACATAATCTATTTTCATCATGTTTCTTCCCATACTTCCCTCTCGAAAGTCAGCTACTTCAAATGTGAAATTTCAGATGGTCAACTATAAAAACTCATTTATTATGGCAATCCTCATTATTTCATATTTATGGTAAAAAAATATGAAAAGAATTTTTCAGAAAAAAACATAGCTGTCCTGTAAAACAACAAGTATTTGTGGAAGTAAAAAACGAAAGCATGAATTATTCAACAAAAACTTCAAAAGCCTTACTTAGTCTACTTTAGAATGCTGAAGCGATTACACAAGGGATGTGTAGGCCAGTGAATATGCAGAGAGGCTGTATTCATGTCCTGTTGATCCACATGGGCCTCACCTTCAGCCACACAACTGCTCAGTGATTGCATCCTGTTTTCCTTATGACAAACTGACAGGGAAGCAGATGCCAGGGAGATATGTAGAGGCTGTTTCCTGTAGACAGCCTTGAGGTTCAGCCTGCTGAGTTGTCACAGCAGATGGCAAGGGGTCATATTTTAAGTGTGGCAATGTGAAATTATTGACCATGATGAGATTACGTTAACTCGTAACCAGTCGCGAATTCCTCATCGCAAAAATAACCATGATGTTTGCCATCAGTTTTCTATGTCATACTCAAATATTGTTTATTTGACTTTTTGTACCCCAGGAAACAGCATTACTCAGTGGAAATAGAAACTAAGATAAAGTACTGGTATTGCAGTGATTTGATAACCTAACGCATAAATGTATCACTTTCCCCGTTGTCATTACAAATGAGAAAACCTGGCACATGTTTATTCAAAATGTGTTGGAGGCAGAACTAATAATGACGCAAGTATTAGAGGAGAGCCACAGCAGTGCTTGAGGGCAACCACAGACTAGAATTCACTCGTCAGTTTCTGCACGAATTTTAAAACGTCATCACAAAAATACTCCTTCCTTTCACTTCTATGAGTTGGACAACATGACATTTCAATTCTATAATCCAAACTTCATTTCCTTTTGTTCCAACCAGTCTCATTTTCTTTTGTCTACACATTCAATTCTGTCAAGCCCCTCCTCTTAGCATGTGCAAAGGCTGAGCTAGACTCTTGGAGATCCTCATTATGGAACATACATCAAGTCAAGATGGCAAGTGCACGATGTGAGCGCCATCTAAGACTGGCCATACATGCTGAAGAACTCTGTTTGGTGAGACAACAAAGTCCAGGAGGGAGCCTTGGAAGCCCCAGTTGCAGCTGCCGACTTTGATGACATTCTGTCATTGTCAGATTGGAGGAGCTTCCATATCCGACTGTCTCGTGTAAGAGCTCCTTCAGGATATATATGACACTCCCATGCTTCTAACAGTGACTGTTTGACTAACTTTGAGCATCAGACCTTTGAAATGGATAAGGACCACGTCTAATTAGGTCAATCTTCAAAGTATCCAAGAGCGAAGGCCTTAATTTTCACGTCTGCTCCGACATCAAGACTAGCATGTGCGTTTGAAGACAACGAATAGTTCCAATCAGTAGCATGTACTTGTATGAGGTCTAATGAGCATAGCATGTATTTACAACACAAAAATATCCCCCAAAACTAGTGCTGAAAGTTGAAAACAGATTTCAGTAAAGTACACTGGCTATAATGTCAGCAACATTATTTATGCAAATGTCACTTCTGGATCTGACATGTTATGCACAAACTCTTACATCTGTCATCCATGATGTCCTGTTTATTCAAGACAAAACAAATCAATAAGAGCAAGCGAACACCCAATCCAACACAAAGGGTGAACAGACAAGGTGCAGCAGAAAGCATACAGACTCAACTGTGTTTTCCCCCCAAGTTGAATGACATCTGCTCGACACAGCAGACTGTATGACCTTATGAGTCATCTAGCTGACAGCAAATTTTGCATGTTAGACAAATCCCAGTCATTGTTATTTCTGATGTCAACAATGTTTAATGTAACACCAGCCTGGTATCATGTGTGAAGGACGACTGACAATAACAGTAACCTTTGAACCAAACCGGTGACTGTGTACTGCATTTACAAGATTGCTCCATTTTTAATTCATTACTATGTAAACTAAATTTCAAAACAAATCTTTAATTCCCCACTGCATTGAAGTCAATTATAACATCTCTTTTTTTAAACTCATTTCGGTGCGTCTGGAAATCTAGAATTGACTTTGTCTTCAAAAATGTTGCAGCCTTTACAACACTAACCTAGCACAGGAGGACATTCTTTTGCTTATGCAATGATATTCCCTTTTTTGAAAATACATCCAAATCACTAGAAAAAATCCAGACCTCTTCCATTTCCCTGCAAATTAAATCCACTGGAGCAGATTCCAATCAACAAGGGAATGATATTGGTAAATCTGAACATGGTCCAAAATCAAAGCCATATAAAATGGAGGCTATTGCATCAGTTGCCGGTTCTCCTTGCCAGCAAATCATCAACAGCTACCTTCATCCAACCAATAAGCACAAAAACAGGCAAAAAGATGGCAGGCAAACTTGATAAAGTAGAAGCCAGGCCTGACTGGGGGCCATTCACTGCATCGCCTGATCAATCTGCTCGCTCTATTTTCGTTTGATGTTAGTACTGCCCACACACTTTGGAAGTTTCCTTGGCTTCTAATCGAAGAATAAAAAACTCGCAAATTAGATTTATTCCCCGTAGAACCTAGTCAGTGAAAGAAAATCAATTATTAATCCTGCTCCCTGAGTGGTTGCCATGGCAACCAGACACTGAGCGAAGGCAATCAAATTACCTTGTGGAAAGTCTCGCCTCAAGACATTCTTCATGATTAGTGGCTATGTCGATTCTGAATTTGTTCCTTCCACAATAGTCTCAGTCACACCAAACGGAAACCTCACCACTAGTGAAACAAGGGAGGACCTTTTCAAGTCTTGGATTGTCATCTAACTTCAAAAAGATTGTTAGCAATAAGAGAAACATCTATTTACATATAATAGTTTCAGAATTGGCCATCAACACCACTGGTTGCATATTCATTGATCAAGGATGCCCTCACACCACATAGTATCATTTACACAAGATTACGGTCAAACTTGGACACGACCAGGTAGGGCTGGCGCAATGCACTTCATGTTGATACAATTCATATCGACAGTAAGGTTGCATGTGTAGACTAACTCATAGTCTCTGAAAATATATCATTTTGATAGAATCAATTAAATTGAAAAGGAGCCCCAGGAGGATGGGAGATTCAGACACCATAAACATCTGCATTGGGACGACATGTGCTGGGGTCATTATCAATAAAAACAATCCCATTCTACAACCATCAGATAAAGGTCCCCAGGTTTTACAGTCTGCCCATATATTGGCCCTCTTGCTGAGGTCTGTCCTCTCTCCATTGAGTGCTGCTGTCATCCCCTCATGTGGCCATAGTCCATTCCCTTATCATATCTTCTTACAAAGGAAACCTTTTCAATGAAAGTAAAAAGACCAACAACTGTCTAATACTTCGAAGATGTCCTACACTGAGAGAGCACTATACAAACATTGTCTGTACAAAATGAATCGGTTTTGGGACAAAGAGTACCAGTAAGTGAAAAAGTCAATCAGCTGAGATCGTCCTGTAAAGTGAGTGAGTTTGGTTTTACGCCGCTCTTAGCAATGTTCCAGCAATATCACGGCAGGGGACACCAGAAATGGGCTATAGATACACCTTGACTTGCCTGTTGGATACTAACTGGACTGCATACAAGGCATACATATTTCACACACATGGAGCAGGACTCACCCTGTGCTTGTTAATTAAGATGCAAATGTTAGAAAAGATTTCTGACCTCTAGTGAGGATGTTGGTCAAGCGAGCGATGATAGTTTCATGTTTACTCTGTATACCGACACCTGAAGGAGTTCTTGCAGATGATAACAGACTCTGAACCTGAGGGAAATCTACACTTGCTTCATTTGGGGCTTTTGCATTACAGAAAGAGCAAGGCAGAAGAGAAAATAATAGTTCAGGAACTGTGAGACTGTGTGATAGATAGACAACATGACACATGTTCTGAAAACAAATTGACTGAAACTGTGGCTTGAGCCTCTCTCCCTACTTGTATCATCTTGTATTGATACATGACTTTCCAAAACAATACTCATATCATTGCACAAGATATTGTATTGTACAAAACACCCTCAAGGGGCAGGTTACAAAATCTATAGTACAAATATAACTATATATAACTCAACATAGTAGGACTTACACATTGCACGCAGCAGACAATATGAGACTAATAACAGCATTTACAAGAGTTGATGTATTAATGGAGACAGATCTTCTGGAGAATGTATCATTAATAATTTTGACTGACATGGCTTGGATTTATTATCTGAGCTGGAGAACTGACTTCATCACAGTGTCACAATGCGCTGAGCACTCCGCCATTCTTTACTACCCAAACACCAAGCTAAATGTAGTGGTAAAATTGCAAAATGTGAGTCCTTTGTCATGAAATATCAATCCCCAAATACAACCATGGCAACAAAGCGTAAATATTCCACAGACCATTTCATCAATGGTCATTTCCTCAAGGCCTACACCATAATCAATTTTGAAATGAGTAATAACAAAGGATGCATTAACCACTCTTTCAACCCTTCCAACCGAAACGGCCAAAACTAATAGTGGTATTACCAGAGCTTACCTACCACAAAACAGTCTACATTCATCGAGATTAATCCAAAAGCTGAACCCTTTTAATCATATAGTAATAGACTTCACAATGTCCACTTATTGTTCTCATGGGCAGACTTCAACGTGTGATTAGGGTCTAACAATGACGTTTTCCACCCTGTGGGGATGAACTGTAAAAGTTTCAGCATCAACAAAGAAGTGAGGTAACACTTGTTACCTAATAGGCTGGATAAGTCCTAGGACTGTGTAATCATGCCAGCTTTGGCACAATGCCAAGTCTATACTTCGCGTGGTAAATAATTAATCAGCCCAGTCATGCTGTCAACGGAACGACATGATCATCATAACCAGCCACACCTGCCGTCTCATATTCACATAATCCATTTCAAAGCCGCTTGTACTCCAACTGGTGTGTTATGAAGGGGAGTATGTGGACTTACATGACACAAGGTGTTTTGACGAACTGAATTCATGACAACATTTACGAACATTCACTGGATGCATTTTCATTGATGCTCTAAAGCAACAAAATAAATAGCTGTTGATGACAAAATAACAGATTTTGTAAGCCTTCCCTTTGCACTTTAAACCTGTGTGCATTTGACTGAGGAAAAGTACAAAGAATTTTAGTCAAGTCTAAATGACAATTAAAGGCTGAACCAGTCACCACAATATACATATGGTATCAATGTCCACTGCTCTGTACAAACAGTTCTCTCTTTTCTAACCTATTCTGCAAGATTCTCATGACAATTTACATCTGACAGGGTTTTACCTTCACTTACAAAACTGTGGCTTCATGGGACCTGCTATAATTAGTTTCATTATTTAAAGAGTTGATAATTATTTTAAAAACAAGACGTTTAATTTTCTTGTCCAGAATTTGTTACAATGATTATTATTATGTGTCCCTCAAAACGAAACATTTATATTTTCCTGCATCCATTCTATTTGTGCATACTGAAGGCACATTTCGACGTCGCTGTTGTTGGAAACAATTCAACACTGTGCCTGAGCTTGCAATGCAAAAGCTGACTGACAAGCCTATAAACAGGTTCTCTTCAACAGCAAAAAAAAAAAGTCCACAGCTTCCAAGAAACGCTGTGTAGACAACAGGATCTTCTATGAACATCTTATACTACACTGAACACAGACGATCTAATCGTCACAAGACATATCCAACATGTATGCAAACCTAATGTGAGGTGGAGTTATATGCAGCACTCTTTTTCCATTGTGCAGAGTACAGACTAGACGGGGGCTGTTAAGCAAACATCTTCAGATGTATATCCCTGAGATGGGTGTGTTCCATGTTGAAACGAATGACTGTATAATCTTAAGTTGGAAGGACAGTTGGTTACAAGCTCAACTGTCCATGAACCCAACTATTCACTAACCACAGAACCACAAGTCTGCAAGGGATGTTATGATACTGTAACATAATGCATGGAAGCGTCACTCACCAGATACACAAATACTGGGCGCAGTGTCTTATACAGGAAAACCTTTATTTATCCAAGTGAGACGAGTATGGCTGGTGGTGGGACGTATAATGTGGTCTGTTTGATGAGAGTGGGTATTATGGTATTGATCAATGTAATATTCTATAAATTTAACAAGAACACTGGTTTGAAAACATTTGTGGTAAGTGTCATCAGATTTGAAAAAGAAATTTGATCTACAACCCAAGTTCAGTGAAGAGAAAGGTGCCTGTCACAAAAAACGACATCTTGTTTCTATACCGTACACACCATTCACTGTTTCAGATATTTCAGACGTTTAAATGTTCCTTTGTAATTTTTTTCCCATTTAAAGAAAATAAAGAATTGTGATTTTAATGCCAGGGTGAAGTCCTTGTGCCAAGCACTCAGTTCATATCATAGTGATTGGGGACAAAGTAGACGAGGCTGGACAAAATGCCATGGCATACCGGAAAGCTAAGGTGGGTAAAAAATCACTGATAAAAATCTAAAGAAAATTAATTCCACAAAGGCTTTTGACAAAAGCAAGGCAGAAACAAACAAGTGAGGATTGACAGACAGAAGTTTCACCTTAGTACTGTCAGATTTACTGAAATGTAAACCCAGCATTACAACAGGCAACATAAAACTGTGAAACAAATCTATTTAAAAGATTTTTTTAGTCACAGAAGGTGAATTTGGCCAAATTACACTGAATAAATACTTCAATCCACGAGGACTGTGTTCACACTTTTCAAGCCAACCCAATAAGACCTCAGCCATCACTGTTCCACCATCAGTGTATGAAAACCTCCTTGTGTGTACTGTTGTGTGTGAAAGTGTACACGGACTAGGCATGTGACATATATATATACAGCTGTTTCAGTGAATCTTGCCTGTTTGTACTGATAGAAATGACCTTGACACTCCAGCAAGGTCACCATCTCTCTGCTGCCACCATTCTTCCATTTCCACGGCTCAAACAACAAAACCTTTGTCAATTCATATTTGAAAATGTTTATTTCATAAAATCTCAAACATGTAAATAGTCAAAACATTTCTAAATAGAGCATTAAAAAGCCCTGTAAAAAAGTAACAATCAATAAATTCAACAAATGATTAGTTGGCAATTTTGTGAGGAAAAAATAAACTTCCTGACATTTGCACCTTGAAGTCAATTCTGATTTACAGAAAAGAAAGAAAAACTCACTTCACAGATGAGAACAAGGCCAAACAGAGAGCATTTCCTGTTAGTAGAGCGAAGCCAGGGAAAGCACTTGTGGTTATTTCCAACACATTTTGTGCTTGGTATTCAGAATTCTTGGCCAAAGTCCAGGAGAACCCAGAGGAATCCTGGGCAAGGCGCATCATTTCCTAAATGTCATAGCACAAGGACAGGCACGTAGCAAACTTGCATAAATAACTCGTACAAACAAAGCTGCATTTTCAAAATGGTTGCTAAGCACATCTGAAATTTATTCAAGCTAGTCATCTCGACAAAGCAGTCCATTAAGATCTAAAGGTTGGCTGTTTGAGTGTCAGCCCTGGAACCTCTTTGTGGCGAAGCAACAAGCCAACAGGCTTGACACGTCAAAGAAGCACTTGCAATGCTGGTAATTTCAGAAACATGACTTCATATTTGAACTCCTACAAGAAACCAACATAATGAGATTTTTTCTATCCCTCTCATGGTTCTTTTCCTTGCAATATCCATTTAGTTTTTGGATTATTTTTGCAGTTGAAGTTTTTGTCTCTATCAAACTCTCCAATGAGATTTCTAAAAACAGTTTGATAATTCTATTTTCGTATGATGTAAGAATGTACTTTGAAATGGAACTATTTACTATCAAGAGAAGTTCTCATCCAAATATTCCTTTCTTCAATTTCATGCAATTTGTCAACAAAACTAAGTAGCTGTTATCGGATCTTAAAATTGTAACTGTCAAATGGTAAATACTGAAACCAAATCTTTACCAGGTAAGGGCTTTTGTGCTTCTGGACTGAATTAAAGTCTTCAGTCAAAAATAAATACTTGATCTGCAATGTAAGTTTTAAGGCCTGAAAGTTCTGTAAACATATCAGTTCTTAAGTCACATTGCCTCAAGCTTCAAATAAAACATAAAATTGAACAAAATTGCAAAACCAAAAGCACTTTTTCCTTCTTGATGGTGATCTGTGTTGTTCATGGTCTGAAGTGGAAGACCTGGCAGACTGCAACCAGCAGACAACAGTTGCCAGAAAAGGAAGCAGACGTCTTTCAGCCAGCTGCTGACATGGGCTACAGCTACATGTCTGGTCGCATCTGTGGACGAAGTGGCTGCAACCATATCCAGTCTTGACCATGGTCATCAGGTATCCATTGGCATCACATACATAGTATCCATCAAAGAACACACAGACAGTACAATCCATTTGGGTATTTAATCCAAGGGGTGGTATCCACAGCAAGTACTCCATCAGTGAGCTTTCCATGCCTACCAAGCATACCTGGCTTTCACCAGGCTACATCAGGCAAACACTGTGTCTGTAGGAAAGTACTCCAAGTAATCCACGTCTGCTAGTATGTCCGTTTGCCTGTCCATCCATGTGTGCATTAATGCAACTGTTGACTGCATAGCAATCCATGAGGTATGTAAAATCCATGTTGAGATCTCCAATAGTGTACTCCACGTAAACAAATCCAAGCGATGGGTAAATATCCGTTTTCCGCTGCTAAACAACGTCAAATGTGTAAATCCAAAATAAAAGAGCGAGAAAAAAGTACAGTTTCAACAACCGCGCACGCAAATATCAATACTCCATACACGACAGTTAACTGCATGGTATTTCTGAAAGTGTGTAAAGACAGTAAAGAGTGATAATCTTAGAGAACGTGATATATCCATCGTTATGATCCAGTGAGCTGTATACTCCAGGGTAGCAACTCCAATTGAGAGCAGGGACTAAAACAAAAATCCATGATGGGAAAGTACACCGGTGGTACTCCAATAGAATATCCAAAAGAGTACAATGTTCCACATAAGAGGGGAGCAAAATAAAAGCTGGTCACGATGTGAAATAGCAACTAAACCACACAATTGAAGTTTTACTTTACACGCACAGCACAAAACAAAACCGACCAAGGCAAAGGCTTATGTAGGTGTAGTGTTCCAAAACAAAATCCAAAATGGCAGTTTGTATTGTTAGTCCCAAGTTGATAGGCAATGCTCCAAAGATGGTCAGGGGTTGTGTCCCTGTCTAGCAACGGAAAAGTAACTAAATGCTGAATTGAACTCAAAGTCAAGAAAACAGTCTCAATTTTGTTGCACCTGGAAGTCAGCTCATACTTCTACGGTTTAATTTCTACAACTGCGTGATCACCCAGTTGCGTAGATGCAGGTATGAAAGGCATCTACTTTGGTCACGTGACAATCCCAAAAGACGTGCAGCTACAGTGTCTAGTACTATGTGAACGACTGTTAATGCTTTCTGTGAACACTGCAGAAGATACGCAAGGGGTAAGTCTTGTACTAAGTCATTGTTCTACGTATGGCATTTGGTTTAGTGATGTGTTGGATGTTTGGCAGAAAGAGATAGACTACTACAGTACATGTCAGACGAGCGGACCTGTCACCCGGATTTCTCCCACCGGGAGCTGGACGACAGATTGACGCCATCCCAACGATAGAAACACCACCATCAACCAACATCGGCAGGCAGAAATGTCAACTTACCCCTTTGGCCAAGGGAATGATCCTGATCCACGGGCAGCACTTCCGGTTGGGACATGAAATGTTCCGCGGTCGGGTTCATGAGTCCGAGTGACAATGCTTCCAGTTGTAGATCCCTCGCAGTATTCCGTTCTCAGGGAACAGTTCTCCAGTAAGTTCTCTGCTCCATGGGCCTTGGACGCTGACTTGATGTCCATAAACGCCACTGTGGCTGCTGGGCCGCCATCACTCTCCTTATTCAGGTGGAGTTTTACACTCTGGATTTTACCATATCTGAAATTGGAACAAGTTCAAGGTGAAAAAGACGGAACAGGGAAAACTAAATAAATAAAATTATGTTCTATTTGTCTGAAATTCAACAATTGTGGATCTGTAATATTTGATTTAATGGAGGATCTGTATTATTTGTTCCATTCCTGAAACCAGATGTAGAACTTAAAAAGGACACATTTGATTAAAACTGGGCCATTACAGCTGAGCTCATCTATTAGTGCTTTGAAATAGTTGAAGTACCAAGAAGGAACTGATTTCGAGGTCTACCCAAGGGGCAGACAATTTGATTTTATGGATGCTGGGATTTTTTGGTAATAAATATTGTTCCTGAAATCAACCCATAAAATAATTTCTCCCAAAGTTTAAACAACATTGAACAATAAAATTGTCCTGATACAAATATTGGCTTGGCTCCTCCTTTCACAGAATTTTTTTTATCGAAGCAGTGACTGAAAACCTTCAATCCACATCGAATATGAAATGGTTGGTCCTCAACAGAATACATTCCTGGCCTATATTCTTTATAGCACAATGGGTATCCATGAACAAACCATGAACATTTTAGCCAAGTATTACCAACATACTTCCATTGATTTTCTCTAGTTTTAGGACAAATCTATTGATCCTGTACTTCAGCATCCTCCCATAACATGGTGGTATGCATTCAGGCTGTAATATCAATTTCAGAACATGTTGAATGTCAACAGACCCTAATGTCTCCGGTGAGTGGTACTGGATTTCAACTTTTGCAGTGCACTACTGAATAAGGTTAGTAATGTATTCCCAAGCACTGCCATGTCTGGAAATCTGTGTGTCAATTTGGCTATGGGTGGTTCAAATAGACAGAGAATACTATCCCATAATTTCCATGTTTCTGTGGGGTCTTAGTTTAACTGTCCCTAGTGATGTGCCACCAGACACACTCTGTCTATCTGTGTCTGAAACTGAGGCTGTATGAAACACTGACTAGGCGGGACTGGCCAGATATACATGTTATTTTATTGCTCAGGAGAGTAAGGAAGGGCCTTTACAGACAGACTGGTTGTGAGAAAATCTTTTACATCGAACAGGGAGATATGAACATTTATTATGACCCTGGAACAAAACTTAAATATTTCAAAACTAATCAGTGAGTGAGTATGGTTTTACGCCACTTTTAGCGATATTCCAGCAATATCACGGCAGGGACAAAACAAATCTCAACTGACATATTAGTCATATTAAGAATAATGACATGAAATTCCCCTTTTTGGAAACTTGTAAAGATAAAGTCAAGGCAAAATAGTACCAAGAGTCAATTCTATTACACCATATCCACAAATAAAAAAGACCTTGTGCAGAAATACATAACTCATAGAGCCAGGGTCTGTTGACTTCCAATTCAATGAAGGACACAAGCAAGGATGTACTTGCTAACACTCTTATCAGGAACGATTGCTGCCAATCATATCACCCTAGTGATTACCTCGGGTTGGAGTCTGGGTCTCAATGCCAAAGTTACAGTTAGAAAAAACAAATTCCATTCAGAAGAATACTTTCATGAAATGCCGATTCATTTCATACAAGATACAGTATGTTTATACATTATGAACATCTAAATTACTTCAAAAGTATGATTTGCTAAAAAAATCTGAGATACAAAGTGATATGGCTCACATTACAAGAGTGTGTGAAAAGAAAATTGACCAAAAGTACAAGTTCATATTTTGGCCCTTTTATAATTGATTGCCCACGTATTAATTCAATATGACTTGCAAACAAGCTGGCACTTGGGTACAAGGTCTAATGCCCAGCAAACATCTGTGGCATTGACTCAAACATGCCTATATTGAAATTTGGGTCCGACTGTTGGTTTATCAGCTATGCATATGCTGAGTGACTACATTATACATGTCCTTGGGAGGCAAGATACCAACAGCTGCTGCTTGCAACGACCCAACTATCAGAGCATGAAGCTGTCATTGGAAACTGATAACGAACTGGGGAACATTCATCATTAATATTGCACAACACCTGACACTGTAATGTTGGTCTGTCTTCTCTCTTGTACCATGACCTTGGCACCTGAATTGTTTTGCAAATGGCCCTGTTACAAATTCAAGCACTCTGCAACCACATCTGCCTTGCCTTGAGACAAGCATACAGGAATTTATGCATTTATTCCAGCATGCACTTTCTACGAACTCTAACCATGAAGGACATTTCCAACTTCGACGCAAAACATGTTTGATGCAATTCCTTATTTCGACTTGTATCATATATGTTTTATCAAGTGAACAACTGACTTCACTTTACCTAAGTATACATATTCCGAGTTCAGGCATACTCACAAAAAGAACAAATACGTGTCGGAAAATGAAAATTATGCGTTGCTATTCGTCAATTTTGCACACAAAAGACCAAACAGCTATAAAAACATATTGAGTTTGTACACAAAAGTATTTGCTGTGTCAGTGATGAGACATGCTTTTTCAACATTAATAAGTGAGTGCTCGTCCATTTCCTGTCTGCTTGATTGTCTCATAACAGACACAGCAAGTAGTTTTGTGTGTGAACAGGGTGTATGTTTCAGCTAGTCAACAAAACACATTTCTATCTAATTCGACAGATGTTATTTTCAGTAATTAGTGTTGCCATATTATGCATTTAGTGTTGTTTATTTTTAGTGTTGTTTATTTGTGTGTTTTTTGGTCAACTATTGAATCATTTCTCTCACTATCCTCACCCCTTCAAAATCGGGGGGGGGGGGGGGAGAAAGGAACATACTAGTTACTTCTCTCATTTTTTTCATAGTATTTGTTAATCTGTCACGCCATGACTTGAAAGGCTCGAGTGGTCCTTAACTTCTTTTGAGCAGTATATTATTAATGTCTCCAAAATCCAAAGACTGTTTGTTTTGTATCCTGTCCAGCCATTAACATAATCACTGATAATAACCTCTATTCACTTCCAATGCAGGGCATATCATGTGATCAAACCATAGTGCAATTGGTTCAGCCTTCTAGACGTTTCTGCTATCAGCTACACCCCGATCCACCATGACAGCTTGAATTCACATGTGAGATCTCTGCTAACCCACCAGCCTTGCTAGCTGTTCAGCTCAACAACACAACACAGCCAATAGAAGATAGACAGGCTTGACTCGGCAGGAACAGTGAACCTGGCCTAGGTGCACACCTGCTTGTAATTCCCATCTAGATAGTACTCTGAGAAGATACTAGTGCACTTTGCGTGTATCTGTGGCATGCTCCTTGCTGGTGAATACCAGCAATATAAACATGTTTACACCAGATATCTACCCTTTGGCTGTGGAAACATTGCCATGTCTGATTTAGGCTTTCTTAGTTTTCTCTTCTGCGCATTATGTGTCTTAAAGGGGAATGGACGTCTAAATAATAAACTGTTGTGGAAGGAAATGCTGAAGTCATAGCAGATGACTGTTGATTCTTTCTGTAAAGTTGACCAAATTATTTCAAACCAAATTCTTCATCTTCAAATGCCAAACTGTTCCTTTGCAACCTACCATTTTTAACAATTACTTAGTTTCAGCTTTTATCACATCCGTTCATCCATTGAACTGAATTTTCACTTGAAAGAGGAATATATTCACACAACAATGATTTATTGACCTAACATTCAAGTATTTAATCACATGTAGCTTTATTTGATCCAACAGGACCTATTTACCTCCACCCATATTACATATGAACACAGCCAGGCAATCTCTGTACAAGCACCATTACCCAGTCACCAAACAAGTTGGGTCATAAAAATGTCAATCGTTGACTTTTGAAATCTATCCAAGGACTGTGGACTTTGCCATGATAGATTTGCCTGTACGGGTCACAGCAAACCCCAAACCTGCTCAGCTGGCAAACAGCCAAGCTTTGAGTCACAATTGTCACTTTCCTTGGTGGTAAACACCCTGAGGGGAAGCGACCTGTTTACAGGATACTACCCTGTCCCCCCGTTCTACTTCTACTGCGGCTTCATTAGAGACACCATCAGAATCTCCGCCCAGTGTTATCACTGGGATAGGGCAAAGGTCAACTGGCAGCTAGCCAAGTTTCAAATGACACTCGGGTTCCCAGGGTGTGGGTCTATATCATCAAGCTGAACAACAGTCTACATGCTCTGGTCGCTGTGGAGAGACAGATAATGGACTGAGACTTGTACAGGGCTGGAGATGGGCCAATTACTGTGCACAGTATTGCTTGCATTCGAGGCAAACATCCTTAGCCCCAAGTCACATTAAGAATATAGCTTTTAGCATCAAGATAAGATTTTGTTATTTTGGGTGATATTTCATGTTTCTTGAAAGGAATGTGGTGTAAAATATTTAGACTATTTCCATTTTATCTTGAGAAGCCATAACCAAGGGGTGAGTTCATCAGAAATGTACCAAATAGTAGCTTCTGACCAGCCAGTAGTCCAAAGCCTGTGTCAAGAAGTGTTTTTGTCTCCTACACTTAGCTGATAATAGTCCACATGTTAAAAATCCCCTGAAATGATTCAAAAAGAAAAGACTGGGAAAGTGTTTGGCACAGACAAATGCTATAAAATGTTGTGCAATCTTCATGTGAATCATATTAATTTCTCACATGCAAGGATGGGAATCAGCAGTTGCCTCCAAGTCAGACTGGATTGAATTTTGAAGCGATTTGAGAGGACATGTGTATATATACTCATGATTCTGCATGACGATTTTATTGAGTGAGTTAGTTGGGTTTTATGCCATTTTTAGCAATATTCCGTAAATATATCATGGCAGAAATGGACAAGACACATTGTACATTGTACCCTACTATCGCTATCATTTCGTTCAAGTGGCAGTACAAAGTTGATGTGACTATGAAATGTACACTATTTAAACCCAAAAGCTCCTTTCAAATTCCACAGATAAGCCCGTTAATATCAAATTCCTCACCCACAAACATCAAAACACTGTTATATTTAGATACAACACCCAAAATAATGAGGCTAGATGCAGCCAGGAAGGA